ACTGAAGATAGATTGTCATGACTAGTTTTCTGTACCTTCGAGACAGTAATTGTTATGAGGCATCATGCAATTTAACGTTTCCAATCGAAGCCTTTTCCTTTTAATAATAATCATCATCGTAATGAACCTTGCATTTGATATAGCGCTTTTGTGGGCAAAATGCATGAATTCACATTAGCAAAGCTTTAATGGAACTTGAGGATTCGATCTCACACGTTATATGATAATCCAGGTATCTATTGGCATCTTGAATTTTGACAAAATCTTGTCCTGTTCAATGGTAAAGTGGTAGACAGCAACTGAACTGTTACTGAGAAGGGATTAATCCTATTTGCAAACCACCAGGCGAAGTTCCCGTACTGTGCCAATACGTTACCGCAGGGGAGAAGATTGCAAAGCCCCCCCCCCCCCCCCCCACCCCCACTCCCACACCCACACACACACACACCAAATCAAGAGGAGAAGTAATGTTGGAAAATGCAACACAAAATATGTCGAAGCAAAAAGCACTCTGGAGCAGCAGTGACGAGATAATCGGTCACTGGAGGTTGCTCACAGAAAATTCCCACCCCCCACTTGTTGGGGGGGGAATAATCCTACCTCATCCTGATAAATATTTATTTTACAAAAAGATGTGCTTGGCTTCGTGATTTCAACAACAACGTTACGTTTGTACAGCGCCTTTCAGGTCGGGTGCACGTCCCAAGGCGATTTCACCCTCTAGCAATATGATCATCAGTCTATTTGATATCACACTGTGCCTGATAGAGAAAAAAAAATCTCCCAGTGGCTGGATTCCTGTCGGAATTGAATCAGACGGGTTTTGCCAAGCCTAGATGGTTTACTAGTCCCTGAATTATTTAATCCAGCGTTTTTTTTAAATTAGCAGACCTGTATCTAATCATTGACCCTCTCTCTGTCTTGTCACTAACCAGCACAGGATCATCAATTGCAAAGCATTCCAGTACACTTCTTTTTAAAAAAAAGGAAATGATCACCAGGACTGCTATGGGAGAGGGACTGCTGTGGTATTGTAAAGTGTTCTCACCTGAAGAATTGTCTCTCATGTGTACTTCGGACATCTGTAGTATTTTCGTCACTATTCATCTGGTAAATGGAGTGGCGCTACTTTTTGTCGTCCACACTGAGTTTCGTGATTCCTAAATCTGTGAAACACAAATTAAACCATTACGAGACATCACCAGAACAGTGCAATCATTATACGAGACAGTCAGAAAATAAAGAGTAACCGCAAACACATCTGATAACACGCATCCATTAATCCATTAAAAGGTGTTAAAGGCATGAATTGTTTTCAACAGAAGGAGACCTTCACCCATTCACTGCACTGTCGTGCTTTGAATCTTCATTTCCTTAGAGTTAAACATTGACATTTCCTCACTTGAACATTAAATAGTAACTTAAGATCGGTGCTTGTGTTGAAGGTTTTCTATTAGAATGCATGTGGTTGGTGGTAAAAGGAATTTCCTGAACAAGGAGAGACACCCATATTTATCACACTTACTGAATGAGTTTAGCAATAATATTGGTGGGGACCACATTTGACCAAATCCCAAAATTTATGGTTGGGATAAAGCATGTGCATCCCCAGTGTTAAATGTAGTGCAGGACCTAACCAAACCCGCACATTACAAAATGTCAGATCAATAAAAGGACGCCTTTAGCACTTCATTTCCCTAAAAATACTGCTGCGTTATTAATCTGATTCAATCATATGAAGTACTAAAAATTTTATTTTGCGTTGCTCAATCATTCAGTAAATATACTGCATGGCATATGATTGCCCCCCCCCCCCCCCACCCCCCCAAAAAAACGACAATTATTTAAATACTTGCGATTTAATTCTAAAACTGCGGAGAAATGCTACACCCGGACTTAATGTTTCTTGCGAGAAGAGGAGGGGATGAAATTAATCAGCAGTATTCCCAATATTGGTGCTGTTGTTCAGCTCAGAAAATCGGGTTCAACCGCAGGTGTGTGTGGACATTCTCGATAGAATCCAACAACCAGTACAACTCTGAGCCCCAAATGCTATGCCTTGTTTTTTTAGACGAGTTAATTTTTCAATGTTTCCACCTATGTTTATGAATAATCTCGCCCGGATCCATGTCGAATAAAAGTGACCAGATCCTGGAAAATTGGCAATAATATGTTATAAAGAATGAGTAATTTCCGGGTGTCCTTTTATTCATTGGGGGTAGACCCATTCCCACCAAAGATTGTTTGCGTATCTGAAACGCACCCAACTCCCCGAAAAGCAATTACAACCCTTTAAACCCTCCAAATCGCCCAACGGTGCAGGTGATCCCTTTTCCTTAATTCCAAAGTCAAAAATAAAAACATGCAAACAAGTAGTAAATCCCAGCTTCCCATTTCTTTGCATTGAAATAGTTTACTGACCATCAAAGCGATTCTGGGCTAAATACTTTCTTTCACAACACTGTTCTTTTTAAGGCTTTCTACTCACCCATTGCTCCCTATGATCACTTGTATTACTGTTTACTATTTAAAAATAATGCCTCAATTTTTACTATAGTCATTTTCATCACTGAGGTGTATGAGACGAGTGTGATCTCACGCTTACAAACCTGTGGCGTAAGGAAATACACTTGTCCTGTCTGACCCTACCCTTTTCAGAGCCACCAACCTGTGGTTTAGGTTTAGTGGAGCAAAGGCGCAGACAGTACCAATTATTGCAGAGGATTAGTGTTTTTTGTTTAATCTTCTTCAAGGAATAGGCACAAAGGAATGCAAAACCCACCGCAGAACCCACCTCCAAACCAATCGCAGGTCCCCCCGCAAAACCCACCGCAAAACCAACCGCAGAACCAGCCGCAAACCCCACCCCAAGACCCGGGGCAGACCCCAAACCCACCAGCCACCTGTCAGGGCAAATTTTCTTTCTGTCTGAAGCTGGGATGCATGAAGCCGGAGGAAGTGTTCCTGAAGATCAAGGATGGGAAAATGAAGGTGTTTGGGCAACGCTTAGAGAAGCACAAAGGTCTCAACGGGGCGATCAACTTTACCATCCGAGGGTTTTCGAACGAGTTTGACCTTCCTCCGGGGGTGGACGCCAGCTCAGTGGTCTTCAAATTCACCAAAGATAGGATATTGAAAATCAAAAACAAATCGCCTCCGAAAGACCCTCCCAAATCTAACCCAGCAGCCCCCCTCCCTCCAGCAGCCCCCGCCCCTTCACCACCACACTTCCCTCCACCACTACCACTCTGCCCTCCATCACCACCACTCTGCCCCTCACCACCACCACTCTGCCCCTCACCACCACCACTCTGCCCTCCATCACCACCACTCTGCCCCTCACCACCACCACTCTGCCCCTCACCACCACCACTCTGCCCTCCATCACCACCACTCTGCCCCTCACCACCACCACTCTGCCCCCCATCACCACCACTCTGCCCCTCACCACCACCACTCTGCCCTCCACCACCACCACTCTGCCCCCCACCACCACCGCACTGCCCCCCACCACCACCACTCTGCCCTCCTCCACAAACACCCCCCCAAACAGACATGAGAATGCTGCAACCAGTCCCTTTGGGTCGCGATACGGATCTCAATTCCAGTCTCAGCGAAAGCCAATGGAGCACTGAAGATTGCCTCAGCTCCAGCATCCTGGACACTTCAGACACCTGCAGTACGGCATCAACCCTATGGGGGAAAACACGGGGAACACGCATTAACCCGTGTCCTGACTCCCCAAAAGTCACTCTCTGTCACGAGCCCCAATGCTCCTGCGGAAAACACAACCATGAGCCCTATGTCTTCAGCCTGGACTCGGATGGGGAAACCGAGGACGATTCCTCCACAGAAATGTCCAGTGAATATTAAATGTCCCTCCAACTTGCTTCACTGGCTGACTTACTGACTATTAGGCTGTGCTAGTTTTCTCTCTCTAACTCCAACCAATGTGGCTTGAGGTGAGGCCCCCAAATCTAGGCTCTTGCCAACCTGCACCTAATTCTTTCAGGAATTAGTTAAGCGGAATGTGTCACTCCAGGGAGAAAGTGCCCGTTTTCCATTCCAGCAATCTATCCCTGGAATTTCTATGTGTAGGTAGGATGAGTGGATGAGTTTGGTTTGGATACTCTTAAGCAAAGTGATGGGGCTTCCCCATGTGTCAGACACCCAGCTGACCAAAAAATTTAGTCAGAAACAAGGAAATAAGACATCCACTCAATGTGCCTTTCAGTTTGAAAATACTCTACTGTAAACCCCCCAAAGTTTGCATTAATTCCAAACTAGAAACACAAAGCAGTTTACTGTTTGTGTATGATGAGGAAATGACAGGGCAGAAAATGGTTGTATTACTATCAACATTGATTTCCTCTCCTACTGCAGGTGTTTAATAAAAAAAAGTCAGTCTTTGCCGTTTGTTACGTTTTAAATTAATTCCCAACTTTTCTCGGAAGTTTATCATTGCCCTTGTCAAGGCTCTTCAAGTGACTTTATGAATGACCTCTCATAAATGTTGTTCCTTAGCTTTCTTCATTGAAGACAACTAAATAAACCAGGCAAAAGTAGGTTCTTATCAATAATAATAATCCTTACATTTGATTAATAATAATTAATAATTATTAATAAGTAATAATGAAAGGCTTGTTCTTTAAAAGAGTCAGAAAAGAACAGATGTGCCAAATGCCCTTTTTCTGTGCTTAAAGCTTTGATGGTTCTAACAGTATGCACAAAATATTGTCGTAGGTTGGAAATTATTTTCAATTGAACACATGTAAACATTTACATTATAACCAAAATTTAACCAAGGCCAGACTTGTGAAAGCAATGTACTTTTTTTTAACTCTTTGAGACAGCTCCACAGACCAGCACTAGGACACACAGAACTAAAGCACCAGGCTTTTTTAGATATGATTTGAGTCACATCAGCCTTTCCATACCAGCTGTCACACTTGACCTGTCTCACAAAATACTGTGGTTAAAAATAGCAGAGGCATTCAGCATTGAAGCAATGGCTGCAGTAGCTGATCCCTGTATGCATTTCCACCGCATTCATGGAACCAACGTGAGGCTGGATGAGTCGGGGACCCAGGCCAGCAGGGTCGAGAGCTTTGCCAATGGGGTATGTTTCAGTCGAGACCCTTTGGAACCCGCTACAATTTTCCTCGTGGAAATTGAAGAAAAAGAACTAGGATGGTGTGGGCACATGAGGATTGGATTAACATCGCTCGATCCAAGGAAATTAGAGTTTGTTCCTGAATACTCTCTCCCTGACCTGGTAAACTTGGGGAACAGTTGGGTTTTTGCCATAACAAGGAATCACAATAAAGTCGCCACTGATGAGGAGGATCCAAATCTTGCTTCAAGCCCATCCTTTTCTCCTATGGAAGCCTATCTGCAAATTGGAGAATGTAAGATCCCAAAGGATAAGCTAGTGGGTAGAAGTAGACCAGGAAGATACAGTCATATCTTAGATGAACTATTTAAAAGTAATATACTTCCAGCGACAGCCAGGAGAAGCAGGGTTGGGGTTCTGTACACCATCAATAGTGCTGGAGTGGGAGACATGCACATTGTCATCAATGGAGAGGACATGGGTCCCTGTGCCAGAGGAATCCCCACTAACCAGCCGCTTTATGCAGTCGTGGATGTGTTTGCTTCTACCAAGAGTGTGAGGATCATACAAGTTGAGTATGGCTGTAAGTATTTCCGCACGTGTCAAAAACAGGGCAAACCGATTATTTTTCTCAACTTTTCAGTTTAATTTGTTTTCTGGCTGACATTATTTGGGTACATTCTTTACATTTGGATGATATACTGGGACTTTGAGTGCAAAGCAAGCTGCATTTGTTAAAGTACTATAAGTACCTGCAGGTATGTTTGTGATGTAGTTTCACTGCATTCATTCCCTTCATCTATTTTATTGTGAATGATGATAATGACTTCTGATTAGATTTTTTTAAATCTAGAAATCATACTGTTACTTAGAAAATAGGCTGGTATATTTTTACATCTATAAAGTATTAAGGAAGGAAATTATAAATAAGTATATAGAGGGCCATATCATAGTATGTTTTGGCACTCAATTAAATTAGATCGTTTCTCTATCTATCTATTCGTAATTGCATGATAAATGGTGCTAAGTATTAGATTAACTCAATGTAGCATAGCTTGCTAACACTGGAACAAAGGGCATGTTCCAAAGAGGGAAGGCAAACAGACAGTTCAGAATTAATAATTTTACACAGAATAAGTGCTGAAAGTGAGGAAAAGGTTACAAAGGGAGATGGTGGAGACAGATTCTGCCAACAAGCTTACATTTCCTGTCAACAAGTTCCCATTCAGATGAATGTTGAGTGCAAAGCAAGTTGCATTTATTAATTAAAATATTCGTGGCCCTACTCAAAGAGAAGGAAGTTTCTCTCTCCCGGTGTCCTGGCCATCAATCCTCCAAATACAATTTGTTATTCATTTCATGGCTGTTTGTGAGACATTGCTTGGCTTCCGCCTTCTCAATGAGGCACTGACAGCATCAATCTCCTTTAACATAAAACCCTGTAGAGGTAATGAACACCCATTAACCCTAATATTAATGGTTAATGGGTGTTCCCATTTAAACAGACATTATAATAATAATCCTTGCATTTGATATAGCGCTTTTCATGTTTTCTAGACGTCTCAAAGCGCTTCACAGAATACACTGTAAAGTGAATTGACTGTTTATTTTGTAGGTGAAAAGAGGCAGCCAATTGCGCACAATTGTATATTATTAAAGTAATGCAATTGAACTTGCTATCGTATCCTTTCCTCCCACCTTTAAAGCTCATACTTCTTTTTTACCATACTTTTGGTTACCTTTCCATCCCTCCTCCTTCCTCATCTATCCCACACCAACCTCAGGCTACCAGGCAAATGCGTGAAATGATCTGAGACATCCTTCTGATGTGATAGACGCTAAATGTATGTAAAATTATTGTTGTTACTGAGAATACTTGCTATTGCTATCGAGTCATTTTTTAGATTTGCTGTCTTTCCTGCAAACTTAATGGTGTACATATACATGAAGTCTCCCAGATATGAATGCTTAAGTAACAATTTCACTTTTGCTCTTTTTTTCTGGTTGCAGTTCCATCTCTACAGACATTGTGTCGTCAGGTTATTCAGAAGCACATCATAAACAGACTAGCCATCGACTGGCTAAAACTACCGGAATTGTTAAAGGATTACTGCAAATATGAGTGAATCCATGCAAGACAAAGCATGTGTAGAAAATATAGTCCACAGTACACCAAGTGGTTCCATATGCTTTAATATGTAATCTAATTGAAGTACATTGTGCATTATGAACTGGAGTTTTTTTGGTAACACTTAGTAACATCAGAATATGAAATCCATCCCCTTACAATATGAATTTGATTTTGAATTATATTTATTTAGAAGGCATTCACTCCATATAACTGGAAAGCCTGATTTACTAATGAAACAAGAAATGACGTGATCAAAGCAAAAGACCGTGTGCTGCTGTGTTTTCATTGTTATTCAGAAAAAATAAGGAAATTCTCTGTGTCCTGTGTAACATCCCCCAATAAAATTGGTCATTAACTTCATGGTTAGCATTTTCATCCACAAAACACTGGTGCATATTATCATTGTCTTGGAGCAGTTTCGATTTGTGCTGATTATACTAAATTGTTATTAGATTATTTGTTTTTTTCTTGCATTATTTTGCTTACTTACATTTTTAAAGTTATAAATGCATTGTAGTTCTCAGTATCTTGCAATTGCTCGGAGACGCTACCCTACGTGAAGGGCGCTATATAGATGCAAGTTGTTGTTATCTTTAAAGTATCTGGAAGTCAGTAAGCTAATTGCTACGTTTCACTGATTCCATGGTTGAGTATTAGCCAACTTGGCATGGACCAGCCATCCAACTTGGTTTTGTCCTGTGTAACTGGGCAATGGAAGAGAGGACAGCGATGGTCAAAGGTAGAGGATATTGGGAACTAGTTGGAGTGAGCAATGGAAGGTGGAGAGCCATGTAATGGTGGATAAATCATGTGGGGAACTAAATACTGCAAGTAATTAATGGAAATAGATGGTGACATAATTGGGCCGAATGGCCCGCTCCTATGCGGTAACACACTATGTATATCCATGAGGTAAACAATCCAGGTTGTTGACTTGGACATTGGATTTGATCCACAAAATAATGGACTACAATCAGAACTACAATGTGGAGTCCTGTAGCTCAGTGGTTAGAGCACTCGCTTTGCAAGCGAGAGACCTGAGTTCAATTCCAGGCAGAGGGCGAAACCTTGGGCAAGTTTCCTTACTCCACACAGAGCCTAATAATAATCCCTCCAAAACCAAAAAACAATAATAAATTGGTCATTTTCAATCCACGACTGTTTGCGGGACATTGCTGTGCGCAATTGGCTGCCGCGTTCGCCCACCAATATACAGTCAATTCACTTTACAGTATATTCTGTGAAGCGCTTTGGGACGTCCTCCCGACGTGAAAAGCGCTATATCAAATGCAAGGATTATTATTATTATAATAATAAGTTTTTTATAGCTCTGATCCAATCCAAAGTGCTCAACACTGTGCACAGTGATCTCCCAGCCGTCAGAGACCGCGCTCTCTGATTGGATCGCCTGCCTGTCACTCAGGGGCGGCTGTGACGTACGATTGGCTCAACTGGCCGTCGCTCAAACTTCTCACGCCGCTGAACCAATCAGCTCGCCGCTCCGTGAGAGAGCGAGAGAGGGCGGAGAAGGGGCGGTCGGTGTGGCTGCGTCACGTGATCGGGGACGCTCGGCAAAATGGCGGCTTCCAGTGGAGGGAAGAAGCTGCTGCCGGAGTCGAGCAAAGGCACCTCCGCCGCCTCCGCCCACAGCTCCATCCTCAGGAAGAGTTCCTCGGAGAAGCCGGTCACCGAGGCCACCGGCAGTGGCAGCAAATCCTCCCGCAATGAGGACCTGCACAGCGTGTTGGTGACCAGCGTCCTGAACCTGGAGCGGCTGGACCTGGACTTGTACAGGTAGGTCCCCCCCACCCTCCCCTCCCCCCCACCCCCCAGGCCCGGTCCCCCCCCCCACCCCCTCCCCCCAGGCCCGGTCCCCCCCAACCCCACCCCCTCCCCCCCAACCCCTCCCCACAGGCCCGGTCCCCCCAACCCCACCCCCTCCCCCCCAACCCCTCCCCCCAGGCCCGGTCCCCCACCCCCTCCCCCCAGGCCCGGTCCCCCCCCACCCCCTCCCCCCCAACCCCTCCCCCCCCACCCCCTCCCCCAGGCCCGGTCCCCCCCAACCCCTCCCCCCCAATCCCTCCCCACAGGCCCGGTCCCCCCCAACCCCACCTCCTCCCCCCCCCCTCCCCCCAGGCCCGGTACCCCCCCCCCCTCCCCCAGGCCCGGTCCCCCCCCCCCTCCCCCCAGGCCCGGTCCCCCCCCTCCCCCAGGCCCGGTCCCCCCCCCCTCCCCCAGGCCCGGTCCCCACCCCCTCCCCCAGGCCCGGTCCCCCCCCACCCCCCAGGCCCGGTACCCCCCCCACCCCCCAGGCCCGGTCCCCCCCCCTCCCCCCAGGCCCGGGACCCCCCCTCCCCCCCAGGCCGACCTCCCGACATGAAAGGCGCTTTACAAATGTAATGTTGTTGTTATATGTGACTGTATAATAAACCTGGATTTTGCTATAGCGCCTCATCACATCGTTGAGACGTTTAAAAGCACTTCACAGAATATATTGTATAAAGTGGAGACTGTGGTGAATACTGCTATGATACACACCGTGAATTTGCATGTCTCTATGGTGTATTTTGGGGGCGAAACACGGCAGCCATTGTGGACAGCAATAATAATAATAATCCTTGCATTTGATATCGCGCTTTTCACGTCGGGAGGACGTCCCAAAGCGCTTCACAGAACACACTGTAAAGGGAATTGACTGTATATTTGTGGGCGAACGCGGCAGCCAATTGCGCACAGCAATGTCCCACAAACAGTCGTAGATTGAAAATGACCAATTTTATTATTGTTTTGGTTTTGGAGGGATTATTATTAGGCTCTGTGTGGAGTAAGGAAACTTGCCCAAGGTTTCGCCCTCTGCCTGGGATTGAACTCAGGTCTCTCGCTTGCAAAGCGAGTGCTCTAACCACTGAGCTACAGGACTCCAATGTCCCACATACAGTGGTAGATTGAGTGACCAATTTTTTGAGGGAATATTACCACAGGAAAGTGATCCTCAAATCGATCAACAACCGGGTTCCTACTCACTGCTGGATAAACACATACGTGTGGAGTAAGGAAACTTGCCAAAGGTTTCACCCCATCCGGGAATCAAATTGGTTCCACTCGCTTGAGAAGCAAGTGCTCTAACCACTATATTACAGAGCTCCATAGAGAAACGCGCTGTGAATGAGAACTACACTGTTCCTCAATAAAAAATATAGACACACGTGTTGAAAAAGGAGCTGCCTCAAACACACAGCATGTTCTCACGTTTAGAGAACCCCACTCCTTCATAGAAGAATCATTAAACAATTTTAGGAAAAACACAGATTTTGCTGGTCAGCATGAAAAGCCAAAGATTAGACATCCCTCATTCTGCTATATGCCTGGACTCTCACTGTGTAACCCATTGCAGGCTGATGGAATTTAAATTGCATTCACTTTTTCAACCACTATGTTTCCACAGCAATGAGCACAGCAATCGGTGCACTTTCACGTGAGTTTGAATCTAATCCTTGTTTATGTATTGAAGGTGCTTACCTTTTTCCTCTGCTGACCTCAACACATTTAAACAGCATCAGACAGCCCTGAAAACGTACAGTTTTTTTTAGGAAGAAAGAGTGTGTTGTATCTGAATTAAATGTAAAGGGAGCATTTTCCCTTCACGCTGTGAATTGTGTTGTTTGTAAATTTGTTAAACCTTAGTTCAATAGATGTGTGGCTTTTATGGTTATTTGGTCTTGTACCACACCTTATTCAGACTTCCCATTGTGAAGTTTCATAACATTCATGTCTCTATGGTGTATATGACAGCAGTATTCATAGCAACACTTGTTAATTCACTCTCCCATTAACTGAATGAAATCCTTCTGTTTAATGGTGATTTTTAAAGCTACCATTCCCCAATTGGATTGGTTCTAATGGATATTAGCACTTAGTGTCAGTCTGTGCATACCAAAGCTTTGAGGAAAAAGCTATTACCACCAACTGACTCTCCTTTGAGTTTGTTTCAACGTTAAAGAGATGGACCATATTATAAAACTGATTGCTATCCAGTCTGTCAAATCACAGTAAACTTTAGAAAGCACAAAATGGTAAAGTGTATATGAGAACTCTGATACACATAATGTTTAATGTATTCATGAAGGTTAGCACTAACATTCAAACTAGATTTCAGAATAAAGAATTAAATGAAAAGGGAAAACTAGATTTGTCACAAAGGAAGGCAAGATTAAAAAATGTTAAATGAAAGTAAGGCTATTATAGATATCCTTGATCTTGCAGGTGAGATCTGAGGTATATGTGGAATAGGGGTTGGGGTAACAATATGAAGATAAGGTACTTGGGGTTTCTTTAAAAAGCTATTTTATTCAGTTTCTTTCTCAGCCTGGTTACTACAGTATACACTCTTTATATGTTGTATTTTATAGAGGAACGCATCACTGGGTCCCAAGGAGTCGCATGTTATTTGGGGGTCAGATTGTTGGACAGGCCCTGGTAGCAGCTGCAATGTCTGTATCTGAGAATATTTATGCCCATTCATTGCATTGTTACTTTGTACGAGCAGGTAAGACAGACAAGTGGCTTATCCATTCAGAGTTTTTCCTTCTGTTCCATCCCAAGGTCAAGGATGTAGAACCATAGTGTATATATTGTAATTTTTTGCCTTGAGAACAAATTGTTAGTTGTATTTAAATGGGGTGGCAACACTGGAAATTTCACCAACAATACCCGGGATTGGCGAGAGGAAAATCTGACAAGGTTTTCACTTTCTAGTGGTACCTGCTGGAATGTGAATGTGTTGTGTGAGGACAAAATCGAGTTTTCTATGGTTTAGCTTTCCTGATTTTATTTTTCTTCCCCATTCCCTTGTTAAAAACAAATAACTGGCACTCACAATCAAGATTTAGACTTAAATAATGGCTACTTAAGCAAGTTATCAGAAAGTGACAGTGATACAGAACCATGCTTTCAGTAGGAGGGAAATAAAGAGGGAAGTGACTTATACAATAGTAAAAAATTCCTCAGTTTCATTTGAGTATAATTGAATTAAGTAACTTCTAGGTTGAAATGAAAGAGATTCTTTTTTCTGTGGCAAAAGTGTCCTGATTTTGCTTACAACCTGACACACTTAATTAAGTGTGTAATGTATTCATTTACATTAAGATAGTTCCTTTCACATTTGGAGGGTTTTTGGGTATTGAACTGAATCAAAAAGCCTGGAGGTGATCACTTTAGTGAACTTCAGGGCATGTAATCTGAAGGAAGATTTGTTTCTCTTCCTCCCAAACTATAAATAAGTTTCCCACATCCTCCTGCAGCACCCTGACTATGTTGAAATCCAAACTTTTTGTCAGTATCTCAGGTCTGTGGAACTCCTTTCTTCCTCATTTCCTCCCTTATTCATAATCAATGTTGCCTAACCAATTCTTCTCAAATCATCTGGTTTCCTTTTTCAAAACTTTTAAAACTCTTCACACTTTACAGGCTTTGCTGGTGTATAGTATTTACAGGCTTGGTTTCTGAATTATGTTAAATGCTCTGAGATGCTACCCTGAATGGAGGCCTCTACATAAGTGCATGTTGTTGTTGGACCACCATTCAACCCTCTCCTTTTACAATCTACTTTGTTGCTGTAGGTGACCCCAAAGTACCAGTCCTGTACCAAGTAGATCGTATCCGAGATGGGAAGAGCTTTTCTGTCCGTTCTGTGAAGGCCATCCAGCATGGGAATCCGATCCTGATCTGCCAATCTTCTTTCCAGAGGAAAATGGAGAGCCCAATTCATCACCAGTTCACCATGCCAGTGGTCCCTTCCCCTAATGAGTTATTGACCCAAGAAGAACTAATTCAGAAGTACTTGAGGTATGAAAATAACCCTATAACTGTTAACAAGATTGTGCCACACAACTTCAATCCTGATTTAAACACACAAAACGTCCTTACAGCAATCTTTACCCGACAAATTTTAGAATCTATTGCACCTGTTGCTAAAATCCCTCAAATAAAATTTATCCTTCACTTCATGGGTGTTTGTGAGACACTGCTCTGCCCAAATTGGCTACCGCCTTCACCTATAAAATACACAGTCGCAGTAAATGCTGTGAGTTACTTTGAGACAGTTCAATATGAAAAGATGCTATGTGAAATGCAAGAATTGTTATTGTTAGTTGCAAATCTATCACTAGAATTGTGGATTTGAAGGCCATTTAATGGTGATTCTGATTACAAGACTGTTTTTCTGACTGAATTGCTATAATGTGTGTTTTTTTAAAAAAATGCAATTCAGATGTAAAGCTGCAGCAGGCGGGTCTATACAATTTCATCAAATTGTCATTTCAGAATTTTCATCTTAGTGTTTTTTTTGTTAACCAATCTTCAGAGATCCAGCCTTAACTGAGAAGTATAAAGTGGGTCTGACCAAACTATTGGCTGAGGAAGTGCCTATTGAAATCAAACCCATCAACCCACCAGAATACTACAGACGTGTAGCTTTAGAGAGCAAACAACACTTCTGGGTCAGAGCACGAGGTTACATAGGTAAGAATCTGGTTTTGTCATCGTTTATATAAAAAAATAGGCCATTTCATGACCCTTCTCTTCAACCATGCCTTCAGTCACCTTCCCTCCACCTCCTGATCCCAACCCCCAGCTTAGGTGCGAATCGCTAACTGTCCAGCACCTTGGGATGTCCTCCTGTCATGAAAGGCACTGTACAAATGTAATTTGTTGTTGTTTGTATCTGTGCGACAGATGGACATTTTAATCCATATTTATTGAACAGAAGGCATACATTTGTGGTTACTCAAATGTCATGCAATGTTTCACAGGTTGCTTCAGGATTAATATAGAGAAATACACCTCCAGATATGTTAGAAAATTCTACTTTCCTTTTCAATTCTTTCTTGATGGGAACAAAATGTTGCAACAGTTGTGCTATCTTTAGAATACTCTGCCTCCTCGTCCTCCTCAACTTCTCTGCTGCCTTCGATACTGTGGACCACTCCATCCTCCTCCATCGACTCTCCTCTCACCTCATTCTTCAAGGTTCTGTCTTTGAATAGTTCAGGTGTTATCTCTCACACTGTTTCCAATTTGTCTTTGCCAATGATTTCTCTTCCAGACCCCACACAATCTTGTGTAGTGTTCCTCAGGGCTCTGTCCTCAGTCCCCTCCTCTTCAACCTCTTCATGCTTCCCCATGGTGACATAATCCGCAGACATGAGGTCAACTTCCACATGTTCGCGGATGACACCCAACTTTATCTCTCTGCCTCCACCCTCAACTCCAGGACCACTGACGTCCTGGGGGACGGACTGTCTGTCTGTCATCAAGTCCTGGATGAGGGCCAACTTTCTACAGCTGAATATCAGCAAGACTGAGGCCCTCCCGATTGGCTTGCGCCAGCGCCTCTGCACCTCAGGCATTGGCAGCATCAGCATCCACGGTTGTACACGCCACCTCACCAAGCCAGTTTGGAACCTGGGCGTCTTGTTCGACCCTCAACTGTCCTTTCCCCCCCCATATCTGTGCCATGACCCGCTCTGCCTTCCCCCATCTCTGTAACATTGCCTGACTCCACCACTGCCTCAACCCTCAGGCCACCAAAACCCTCATACACAAATTCCATCACCTCAAGGCTCGACTACGGAAACTCCCTCCTTGTGGGCCTCCCCAACTCTTGGACCTCTGCAGCTTGTGTCCTCTCCCACACCAGGCTCCGTGACCCCATCAACCTCACCTTTGCCCTTCCACTGGCTCCCCAACCCTAGGAGGGTAGAATTAAAAGTCCTCATCCTCACTTTCAAGGCCCTCCATGGCCTTGCCCCCCTCCTACATCTCTGACCTGCTGACCCTCTATCAACCTCTCCGATCCCTGTTCCAGGTCTCCCGCCCTACCATCAGCGGCCAGGCTTTCAGCCTCTCTGCCCCCACTCTTTGGAACTCCATCCCACAATCCCTTTGCCTCGCTCCCTCTCTTTCCTCCTTCAAGGCATGATTCAAAACCCTTCTTTTTGACCTTGCCTTTAGCTGCCCTCCTACCCTCTTTGCCCTCCCTCATTCCAACCCCGCCCCCCCATGCTTGGGTCCTGATTGTTCAGCGCCTGGGGATGTCCACCCGACGTGAAAGGTGCTTTGCAAGTGTAATTTTGTTGTTGTTCTACTTATTTACCATCTCTAGAGGGAGCCCTTTTGTGTAATTTCATTAAGGGTCATTTAGTGGCAGAATTCTGTTATTGCATAAAACAAAACAGTATTGGACAAACTATGGATGTTGTAGGGTTTTGGACTTTTATGCCCAATTGTAATTTTTGTTAAACTACTGCAAATGTATATTGTTAATTTTCGTACTTACTATGAGGATACTTACAAGAACAACTTGGATTTATACAGCGCCCTCCACGCCGGAAGGTATCTCAGAGCGCTTCACAGTAATGGATCCTGGGGCCTAGCCAGGGGGAGGAAGGTGACCAAAGGCACGGTCAAAAAGAAAGGCCTTCAGCCGAGACCTGAAAATAGGAAGAGAGGGGTCAAGGCGAAGGGAATGAGGAAGAGAGTTCCAGAGCCTGGGGTGTAGTGGCTGAAGGCACGGCTGCCGATGGTGTAGCGGAAGGGGACAAGGAGGAGGCCAGACCCAGTGGAGCGAAGGCAACGGGCACTGTTGAGAGGAGGTCAGAAAGGTAGGGGGCTGCAGAGGAGTGGAGGGATTTGAAGACAAGAGTGAGGATCTTGAAGTCGATCCTCTCTGGGATAGGCAGCCAGCACAGTCTGGCGAGGATTGGGGTAATTGGGGAGCGGAGTTTGGTGCGGGTAAGAAAGTGGGCAGTAGAGTTTTGGATGACCTGGATTTTGTGAATGGTAGTGGAGGAGAGGCCGGTGAGGAGGGCATTTGAATAGTCCAGTCGAGAGGTGACAAAGGTGTGGACCAGGGTTTCAGCAGCTTTTGAAGTGAGGTATTGGTGGAGACGGGTGATGCGTCAGAGGTGGTAGAAGGCGGTGCTGATGAGGGACCAGATGTGGGGGAGGAAGGATAATTGGGGGATGAACCTGACAGCTAGGTTGCGTACGGATTCGGAGAGTTTTAGGGGAGGTCGGGTAGGTGGAGGAGGAGAGAACCATCTGATTTTAGACGTTGACGAGAGCCAATGAGTATGGCTTCCGTCTTGTCAACATTTAGCTGAAGGACATTTGTGCTCATCCAGCTCCTGATGTCCAACAGGCAGCTGACAGAACATCAAGGGGTCTGGGCCTCAAAGTGAGGTGGAAAAATAGAGTTGGGTGTCATCCGCATACATGTGGAAGTGTACCCCATGTCTGCGGATGACATCCCCAAGAGGGAGCATATAGACTAGGAAGAGGAGAGGGCAAAGGATAGATCCTTGGGGTACCCCGCAGGTAAATGAGTGAGAGCGGGAAGAAAAGCTGTTTGTGCAGATGTACTGGCGGTTCGTGAGGTAGGACTCGAGTGAGGTTCCACTGAGGTGGATGACGGAGGAAAGGCAGTGGAGGAGGATGGCACGATCGACTGCAGAGTTTTGAATGACCTGGATTTTATGAATGGTAGTGGAGGGGAGACCGGAGTGCAGCTATTAATATGAAAATATTACTTTTTTTAAAAGACTTTTTTTTGCCTGTTGCTTGAATATGTTCTAGTGTTGTTCAACGCCTTTAAAATTTATGAGGAACTGTCAAGATAGTGGTGAAAATATTTGTTTTGAAGTTAGTGACATTCTCATCCTGTACTTTGTACTTTGAGATTTTGTTATGGATGCTATAAAATTAATGTTTTTATTGCTGAAGTATATGTGCTTAAACCCTACAATGTTTCACAGATTGCTGCAGGGTAGTTTAGTGAAATAAAATTCAAGATTTCATTTGCTTCTGATTCATCTTCATTCTGTTGTCTTTCTTTCAAAACTACAACAAATTGCATTATATTGCGCCTTTCACATGGAGTTGTCTTGGGGTGCTGACTGTCTGTAAGAAAAAATTGTCAGTTTTGTTAAGATTGTATCTTGGTGATCCAATTACAACAACAACTTGTATTTATATAGCGCCTCGGAGTGCTTAACAGTGGCATAGGCTGATGCCGAGCCCATGGGGATGGAGAAGGTGGCAGTAAGCACGGTCCAAGAGAAAGGTCTTCAGTCCTGATCTAAAAGAGGGGAAGGAGGGGGCAAGGCGGAGGGATTGAACGGGTGAGTTCCAAAGCTTCTGGGTTAATATCAATAAACAGAGCTACATCCAAGAAGAAAGTGTATGGGGGTCGGGAATGGAAACCGAGAGGGAGAACATTTTAACAAGGAGAGAGATTAGACGCTGGGGAGGGATCTGATAAGGATTCTGGTAACGACTGTCAATTGCAGTATTAACTTTTCTGTTTAACTGGATGTTTGGTAGGTGAAGGGAACATGAAATTGCATTGCTGTGTCGCTGCCTATATCTCTGACTACTCCTTCCTGAGAACGGCGCTGCTGCCTCACTTCCAGTACAAGGTCAAGTTTATGGCATCATTGGACCATTCCATGTGGTTTCATGCTCCGTTCCGGTCGGACGAATGGATGTTGTATGAATGTGAGAGTCCCTGGGCAGGTGAGTTCTTGCTTTCTATTTTCATTGCCCTCTTACAGAGTTGATCATGTGATTTTTTTTAAAAAAAAGCTTTCGTCTGTACCAAGATATCCTGTCTGGACATTGATGTGCAGGGTCACAGAGTAGCAGAACATAGCTTCGCAGTTGTTTGGGATTTCAGCCAAGCAGTTAGGCGAAGAGGCTGGATGAATCTCCTTTATAATAATGGCTAATAGGACTATGAGTCACTTTGATGCATTACTTAGCAAGAGTTTCAAAAGCAGCTTTGGCAGATACGGAACACCCTCTAAGAGAAAGTATGTGAATGGAGAGAGAGGGGGAATGGTAAGAGAGAGAGAGATGTTTTAACAATGAGCGAGATTAGATATGGGGGTGGGGGGATCGGGGGTGGGGAATAATAAGTGTTTTGGTAGCACAGCAGCAGGTTATTTCTACCAAGCGTGTTTTCCTCTTGTCTATAGTGTGTTTTTTAGGGACGCTACCTTGCATGAAGAACGCTCTGTAATGCAAGTTGTTGTTGTTGTAGGTTCCTGCAGAGGTCTGGTCCAGGGCCGTCTGTGGAAGCAAGATGGAGTATTGGCAGTTTCATGTGCACAAGAAGGAGTCTTTTATGTGAAACCATCGGCTGCAGAAAGCAAATTGTGACCAGGTTAATTTAAAATTAACTCCTGCTTCTGCAGCATATTCAGTGCAATTTGTTGTGTAATCTGTCCAGAGGTAATATAGTAATAGGTAAAGTATTCTGCAAAACTGCAGCAGTTAGAAATGTTTGTTAAAAGCGGTTTGTTTTCTGGGGTTGGCTTTGCACACGGTTCAGAAAAGAAATTGAGGGATGGCATTAAATCCTGAGCATTGCGTACATCCACTGTGCTGTGAAAGAGCTTGGCATGTCCCAGTATGTGTTGTACAGTCTATGTGCACCTGAGAACAACCTCAGTGCCAGGTAAAATGTAACTTTTTACAATTAAAATGTTTCAACATTAAAATCACCAATGTGCTGAAGTGGTTTTGGATTTATTACTATCAATATGTGCTATCATTATGTGGAGTCCCATAGCGTAGTGGGGAGTGCACTCGCCTTGCAAACCACAAGGACCCAGTTGATGCCCGGGTGGGGTGAAACCTGAGGCAAGTTTCCTTACTCCACAAACCTCTGTTTACCTGAACTGCAATCTAGCATTGAAGAACCAGGGGGCAGAGGTACGGTTCCATGCAGCATTCCTGAAAGACTCCTAGGATGAAACCTTGTGACAGATGGCACTGGGGAAAAAAAACATTTGAACTCTTACCTTCTTCAGCTCATTGTCCTCCATGCTAATAAAGACAAAATGTTTGTCTGTCAAGAATGCAATAACTGATTGATGTAGAGACATGATTTATACATCAGCAGAAAGGTCTTGTGGAGGGAGGGAGTGTCACGGGCATATTTGTTTGATGGGTTCTCCTAACATGACCTAAACAAGCTCATCACACATGTGTGGACTCCCAACAAGGAGTTCTTCCCCACCCCCCACCCCCTTGCCAGGAGTCCTCCCAAAAGGATATGTGTGCAAATATGTGAACAAGGCATGCTAACGAGTTCAATAGCACATTTTCTTAATCTTAAGGGATAAAGATGCCTAAGAAGCAAAGATCAAGTCTTTCAAGGAAAAATAAAAATTCCAGAAAAGAGAAGGCCGATTAAATGAAAAATACAGCTAGATAAAAAAAATAGCAATACATGAAGGAGCTCCTACAGGTTTATTGTGCAATGGTGATACAGAAAAGGAACTACTATTTATAAATATTTACTTTAAAAGTATCGACAACACAAGTCTCATTCTTTAAAAACTCCACTGTGCTGTACCAAGACTATCAACATAAAATGCTTTCCTCTCTACTAAACTAACATTGTCTGTAATAATTGGTTTATAGTGAGCAGTGGAATCCATGCTGTGAGTGCAGACATTTAGTTTTTGGACTGGACTTTTATGCGGGGGTGTGGGAGAAATGCTCTAAGGATATCAATGATTATTCCTGAAAGTTGGAATGGGGCCTCATTTTACTCCATTAATGAGGTCTTGATTTGCCTTCCCTGGTACATAGAATACTGTGCGCAGTGAATAGGAGAATTGTGAGGACATCTCACAATTGTTTGCTATACTGGAAGTGCACACCATCTTTCTCAGGGATACAGTATAACCTAAAAGTCTGCTTGTAGTTTACATAATACTGGTCCCCACAGCCCCAAATTGGTCTTAGTGCAATCGCCTGCTCCACAATATCAAATTCAGAGCAACAGAATTCAGCAACATTTACACAGCCACTTAAATGGACAGAAGCTGGAATCAACTGTTCCTGAAACCAATATATACAATAGTGTATTTCATTTATATGGCACCTTTCACATTGGGAAGATGTCCTAAAGCGCTTAACAATCCTGCTTGGCCACCAAGTTGGAGCCAAGGGTGGGAGGGGAATGATGACATACCACAGAATTACTTCCTAAAGATATCCTTAGAGCACACCTAAACTTACTGCAACAGCATTTCTCTACTAACTGTTTCTGCATTGTCCATGAAGTCAGTCTAATCCCTGCAGGTGTTTACTTTTTCCATTTATGTAAACATCTGCTGAATCATAGGTAAATGAGGCACTTTGGATTAGGCATGAGAATAGCCCAGTGTTCATTTGCATCAGAGACAGATCAATGGCTTTTTGTGTCTAATACTCTGATTCAGGGAAGGCACAAATATTTGCATGAACTTTGTACATTGAATTGAGTACAGTGTGGATATGAAGGTGATCCTGGATTTCTCAGAATTGTTTGATCTACTGGATATTTGGTCCACTTTAATTTCCTCAAATATAAAATATTAATGTGAATGAAATTTTGTACAGCTCCCACTCTACAAAAAGTAAACGTCAAGCTATTACCGCTCTTACTCATTCTAAAAGATCTTTAATAAGATGTTCTTTAAGGCTAGGTTGGTTTAAAACATCTGTTCCTGCATCCTGAAGTTGCTGAAGTTTGGCTTCACACTGACGTTTGTCTTTGGCTATTTTCCAGGAAAGTCTGATATTGGACTGAAGTAACGGCACCAAAAGTGCATGTTTGTCCTGATTTTCCAGAATTTGCACGGCCCGCTCGCAGTAAGCCTGAGCTTCTTCCAACCGATCCAGTTCCTGGTAGCAGACAGAAAGAGCAGACAGAGTGAAAACTAGGTGCTCCATGTCACGGGAGGCCAGCTTTTCTTGCAAATGAAGAGCGTTGAGCAAGGTATGAATGGCATCCTCATTCATCCCAGCTCGCAGTAACCCCTGGCCTGCCTTTAGATCTCTCAGGTAAAAGAACTCCAAGAACACTTTGGATTTGCGAATGTCCCCAATCGAGTGGATGTGCTGCAGATACTGTTCGAAAGATCGGCTGCGTTTGGCTATCGTTTCGTGCGTGAAATTCTTCCGTATTTTCTTCCGAGGAAAAACTATGTTGTCCATTTCCTCCCTGAAGTGTTTGTTCAGCGTCTCGTTCAGTTTTGCAAAATCAGTGTAGCGTCGAACGATTAGCGCCTTGTCAGTATCGAACATGCCAGATTTGATCACGTTTATGGTGTAGGCCTGTGGGAAAGCGAGGCAGCTTGTTAATTCTGTTTCCAGGTTAAAAAGAACCGTTCCCTGTATAGTTACTGCACTCATTAACACTAAGAAATAGTTACGTGTATAATGCTTATGTCCTCACTGCGTTGTAACTAATCACTCTTATTGAGGCTGGCCAGACCAGACTTTTGTAAATGGTCACACAGCCACACATCTGGGTAACAGTCTCACAAATACCAAATGGAAAACGGCAGGAGGCAGCATTAGTTGAATGCCAGATCAAGCAGAAGAGAGAAGTACAAACCGTTCTATGGAACTCGAGAGTTACAAGTTGCTAGGACAGAGGAAATGTCATCTGAGAAATGCACCTGATCAGATGAGTTGACAAAAAGGCTCTTCTTCTGGGTTAATGTTTTTTTAAACTGAGAAACAGTAATTGTAGAATGATCCAAAGACTTTCTGCACAACATAAATCTGGCAATTGTTTGGGGGAGGAAGAGGAAAGTGAGAAAAGATGTATTTGACCTTTGAACCTCTATCAAAGTCTCATGCCACATTTGCTGTGTGCAATTGACTGCCATGTTTCGCCCACAAAATATAGTCAATTCACTTTACAGTGTATTCTGTGAAATGCTTTGAAGACGTGATAAGGCGCTATATCAAATCCAAGGATTATTATTATTAAAGTCGGTACCTGGGCAGCACATCAGTGAAAAGGGCTCAGCATCCCCAGCCTGGCAGATGCTTTGTTCTAATGGCTGTAAATCTCAATTTACTGATATTGCTGACAGGTGGTGTATCATATGTGTATTTATTCTGCAGGTTACTGCTGACACAGTGCTCTGGAGCAGTAATGGTTTTAACTGGCGTCAGTGCCCAGTGGCTTCCTGTTTTCTGCCTGAACATGAAAATCTAAAGCTGCTGGAAGGTGCTTATTCATGATTTGAAGTCGGGGCTGAGTCAGTGCAGCATTAATAATTCAACTTGTTTTTTTCCATCCCCAAACAAACAAGGCTGCTTTGCAACATTTCTAATGATATGCCATGTCACTGCAGACAGCTGGGTAGGAAATACCATGTGCAGAGTTGGAGTGAACAGCTTCCTTAAATAGACTGCCAGTGACTCATGGTTCAAACCCATCTGATTACAGTTCTGTACTTTATGTATAATCTTACTGTTGATGCTCATTAAGAAACTTTTACACAATTTTGTTTCCCTGAAAATACGAGTATGTGTATGTACACATCTAATTGACGACCAGAATATAGTGTGCAAGCTGAATAACAAGGAAACCGAATAAAAACAGATTTCCCAGGAAACCTCACATGCCTGATCTACTGCAAATCTATTTCCTGTTCTAGAATTGGCCAATCTGAAGATGTGCAATTGGGCATCCTGATGACCTAGTAGGTAAATGCACTAGAGGCCATGCTGTGCGCAAGTTCCAGTAAGTATTCAATTTGGCTGATCCCAGCCAGGATGCCACAATAATAATAATATCCTTTCATTTGGTATAGCGCCTTATGTCAACAAGACATCTCAAAGTGCTTCACAGAACATACTGTAAAGTGGAGTGAGCTTGTTCTTTGTGGGCAAACATGGCAGCCAATTTTGAGATGTCCTCTTGATGTGAAAGGCGTTGATTCAAATATTATTTTATAAAGACAGAAAACAGTGTGAGAAGATGTAGGCCAGAGGGAAGAATCACCTGTCAGATATTTCCTGGTATTCTAAACGGGGATGTCAGGGTACATGGTTAAAAACGCCTCCCAGATAATCGGATCAGTATTCAAGTCTTAAAGTGAACTTCCTGCAATGGTTTAATTGTTCACTGCTCAAAGCAAAAAGAAATTCCACACAACAGAATTTGTTATCAGCTTGCCGTTCAAGATCGCCCTCCCCTAGTTATTTTGGTGGTCCAAGAAGCATAGTGTAGAATAAGGATGTGGTAAACGTTGCAATAGCCCTTCAGTTTGCTAGCTGATCTGTGCAAACTGCTGTCTCTGAGGAATGTTGACATTAGGTATGTTTTCAGCTCATATACCGCACTGCTGAAAATCACCAGTAACACAGCTATACCAAGCCCAAGATATCTTCATTACTGCAACATTAACACTCATAGAAACATAGAAATCTATAACGCAGAAGGAGGCCATTTGACCCATCGAGCCTGCTTCAGTTCACAGAGCAACGATATTGCTTGAATCTCACCATCCTGCTTTATCCCCATATGCCTTCAAGGCCCTCTCTTTCATAGGCCTGTCTACTTCGCTCTTGAGAGCTACAATGGAGTCCTGTAGCTTAGTGGTTAGCTTGCTCGCCTCATAAGTGAGAGGACCCGGGTTCGATTCCCGGACAGGGCAAAACATTGGGCAAGTTGCCTTACTCCACATGCCTCTGTTTACCTAGCAGTAAGTAGGAACCCGGTTGTTAGTCAATTGGCAGATTGGGGGTAATAATCCCTTCAAAATAAATAAGTAATATGGTCACTCAATCCACCACTGTTTGTGGGACACTGTTGTGCGCAATTGGCTGCTGCAGTTCACCCACAAAATATAGTCAATTCATTTTATATATTCTGTGAAGCGCTTTGAGATGTCTCAAAGAAGTGATAAAGCTCTATATCAAATTAAAGGATTATTATTAATATTATTTTAATTGAATGTCTGAATAGGAGAATGGGGACCTCCCACAATGTGTCGCTCACCTGGACAAATTACTTCCACAGCAGAAACACTCACCACGTATTTAGAGGACGAGTCCTGCACCACGTTGGCACTGGTCACCTCAAACATCAGTTTCTCTACGATCAACTTCCCTTTGGTTTTCTTCCAGTTCTCTTGCAGCTGGTTTGTGAGCAGACTGTACTGATGGGGTGCACTCAAGGGCTTCTCTGCAAAAGCAAAGCAACCAAATAGTTCCACTGCAAAGGAAATACAGCAGCGATAAATGCATCCGGTGCATTTGCTTATACCTTGAGATGAACCTAAATGAACAAATTATCGTCAGGAGGACATCTCAAAGCACTTTTAAAAAAAAATGTGGTCATTCAATCCATGACTGTTTATGGAACACTGCTGTGCCGCTTTTCACCCACAAAATACACAGTAAATTCACTTTACAATATATTCTGTGAAGCACTTTGAGACGTCTCAACAATGTGATAAGATGCTATACCAAATGCAAGGATTATTATTATTAACATTACTGCATTGGAGCCAAAACTCTATTCTTTCTTACCCGCTTCCCATAAAAATTGTGTATCTCAAGGGGAGGGAAATCAGGTAAGATTTACAACTGTTTTGTCTCATGACAAAAACAGAAGACCCGTTTCCTAAAACTGTACCTCACTTCCTCTCATATACGATTGCTGATCTCTGTCTAGTTGGGCAATGTCTGTCAAGTGTAGGCAGTGCATGAGCTCAGGACTGAGAATTGTTACCCACTGTGTTCAAATCATTCGCTGTCTGGACTCACAGACAACGAGCCAACATTTAGACAAAATACTGCAAGTGCCTTTGGAACTATTTGCCAATAGTTAGTGGTCATAGTGAAAGATAACAGCACAAGTTGGAGGTAACAGACTGATCACTAGAAATGATGGCAAGGCAATCTTGATCTTGATCATCAAGTTGTTTTCATGCGGGAAGGGGGAAATAAGGAAATCTGTATTTTCAGAATATGAGAATTCAAAGGCACTGCTTTTCCGTCGCGTACCAAACATTTCGGGGCAAGGATCTTTAATGAATGCTTCAATGAAAGCAGTGCATTTCACATAAATTAACCTGTGTTTTCAGATTGGAACCGAAACTCATTTATTAAACAGTGCGGGTCAACGGCCACAAGGTCAAATACACGACAGACTAGTTGATATTCCAAGCCAAACATACCGTACAACACAGAGAAGCAAGTTTTAGATCTATGGTCTGGTAGGCATATTGGGGCTGCAATTTTTTGAAATTGCAGAGATCATAATTTACATCACATAAGATTTTGTATAATGAAGGATATCTCTGCATTTCAAATTTAATTCATTCAAAGCTTTGCGTCGATTCCCGTTTTTTGCTCAGCCAAACTCTAAAACCTCAACATTGGGAAGTCTCTGTTTTAATATTTAGTTTTGCTTCTGTATTTTTCATCAGTGAAATGACAAAAGGTAAACTACAAGCTCTCTCTTGAGCAGAGAGCGAAACAGCGTGAGGAGGGACCTGAGTGAGAATTCTATTGAGGAATTTGGTGAGAGTGGAAATTCAATGCAGAGGGGGAAAGAGGTGCATAATTATACACTATATAATAATTGTATTAAAATAATATAAAATACGTCTGGGAATATGGGAGCGCAGATGAGACCGGTTGCATGCACAATGTGTGCCCTGTGGGAACTCCAGGATGTGTTGTGTGCCTTGGACAAACATGTGTAGGAAGTGCCTCTGACTGCTCGAGCTTGAGCTCAGGGTTTCTGAGCTCGAGGAGAGGCTGGTGTAACTACATGGCATACAGGAGGCTGAAGAGTTCATGGTTCGAACGTTTCAGGAAGTGGTCACCCCACAGCCACAGAGGGTTCAGAAGGAGAGTGAGTGAGTGAGTGACCACCTGGCATGGTAGGAATAGGGGACAGGTGGTGCAGAAATCCCCTGAGAGTGTGGCACTCACAAACCAGTTCTCTACTGAATACCGATGAGGGTGATGACACCTCTGGGGAGGGGAATCAAAAGCAAATGAATGCACAGGGGGACACAGGGAAAATTGTCATTGGGTACACAAGGGTGAAAGGAGAAGACAGACGTTTCTGCAAGCAAAAACATGACTCTCACATGGTACGTTGCCTCCCTGGTGCCAGGGTTGAAGACATCATGGAACAGGTTACTATGGATTACTCCCAGTGCCTCGTGCAGGTGAGTATCAAAACAGCAGGATTAATCACATGAATGCATGGCTGGAGAAATGGTGCAGAAAGGAGGGCTTCAGGTTCCTGGAAATTGGGACCAGTTCTGGGTCAGGTGGGACCTGTACAAGGTGGATGGGTTACACCTGAACAGGGCTGGGACCAATGTCCTCACAGGGAGGTTAACTAGTGTTGTGGGGAAGGGTTTAAAGTAATTTCGAGGGGGGAAGGGAATTTATGAAGATAAATGGCAGCATGAATACAGAACTGGCTGTGAGACAGAAAGCAGAGAGTTGGTGTGATCGGCTGTTTTTCTGACTGGAGGGAAGTGTGCAGTGGTGTCCCCCAGGAATCAGTATTGGAACCACTGTTCTTTCTGACCTATATAATTGACCTGGACTTGGATATAGGGAGTACAATTTCCAAGTTTGCAGATGATACTAAGCTAGGATAAGTAGTAAACAGTGAGGAGCATAGTAGCAGACTGCAAGGGGACATAGACAGACTGGTAAAATGGGCAGATGAAGTTTAATGTGGAGAAATGCGAAGTGATGCGTTTTGGGAGGAAGAATGAGGAGAGGCAATAAAATCTAGAAGGGGGTGAAGGAACAGAGAGACCTGGGGGTTCATATAAGTGAATCTTTGAAGGTGGAAGGACAGGTAGATAAAGCTGTGTAAAAAAAAAACATACGGGATACTAGGCTTTATAAATAGGGGCCTAGAATACAAATGTCACTAAGTTATGATGAACCTTTATAAAACACTGGTTAGGCCTCAGCGAGAGACTGTGTTCAGTTCTGGGCACCACACTTTAGGAAGGATGTCAAGGTATTGGAGAGGGTGCAAAGGAGATTTACCAGGATGGTACCAGGAATGAGGGACTTCAGTTATCAGGAGAGGCGAGAGAAGCCGGGATTATTCTCCTTAGAGCAGCCCAGGTTAAGCGGAGACTTAATAAGTTTTCAAAATTATGAGGGGATTCAATAGGGTGAACAAGGAGAAACTATTTCCACTGGTGGGTGGGTCGGTAACCTGAGGACACCAATTTAAAATAGTTGTTAAAAGAAACAGAGGGGAGGTGAGGAGATTTTTTTTCACACAGCGAGTTATTCAGATCTGGAATGCATTGCCTGAAAGGGTGGGGAAGCCGATTCAATTACGACTTTTAAGAGAGAAACAGATAATTATTTGGTGAGGACAAGTTTGCAGGGCTGTAGGGAGAGAGCGGGGGAGTGGGGTTGAATTGGATAGCTCTTTTCAAAGTGCCGGCACAGACACGATGGGCCGAATGGCCTCCTTCTGTACTGTACAACTCTAGGATTCTATGAAGATAAATGGTACAATTTTAAGGGGAGTGCAGGAACAGAGAGACCAAGGTTTTCACATACATAAATCCTTGAAGGTGGCAGGACAAGTTGACAAAGTGGTTAAAAAAGCATATGGGATCCTTGAGTTTATAGATAGAGGCAGACAAATAGCTGGTTAGGCCTCAGCTGGAGTATTGTGTCCAATTCTGGGCACCACACTTTAGGAAGGATGTCGGAGCCTTGGTGAGGATGCAGAGAAGATTTACAAGAATGATACCAGAGGTGAGGGACTACAATTATGTGGAGAGACTCGAGAGGCTGGGATTATTCTCCTTGGAGCAGAGAAGTTTGAGGGGATACTCAATGGAGGTGTTCAAAATTATGAGGGGTTTTGATAGAGTAGAGGAAACTGTTTACTCTGGTGGGTGGATCGGTAACCAGAGGACACAGATTTAGGATAATTTCAAAAGAACCAAAGGGAAGACGAAGAAAAATTTTTACCCAGAGAATTGTTACGGTCTGGAACGCACTGCCTGAAAGGATGGTGGAAGCAGATTCAATAATAGCTTTCAAAAAGGGATTAGATAGGTACTTAAAAAGGAAGAATTTGCAGGGCTATGGGGTAAGAACGGGTGAGTGGGACGAGTGGTAGCTCTTTCAAAGGTACCATGGGCCGAATACCCTCCTTCTGTTCTGTAAAATTCTATGATTCTATGAAGAGGGGAAAAAACATACTGCAAACATTATTTGGGGAGGAGAAAAGTACTTGCAATGTAAAGTGGGTACACTCTTAATGAACTTTACACAAAGGTTTTCTCCGGTAAAGAAAAGTAATGTTAAAGTACAAAAACTGACTGTGGCACTCCCTAGATATCAGCTGTTTTCACAGAACAGCCAGAAAAACCCACAGCGGTTGCAACACAGTTATTAACCATTGACTAGGGAGATGACTCGCAAAACACAGTGGACTGGCTACCAGCAGGCACTGTGACAGTCGATGTACCCACAAAGCAAACACTACTGAATGTTCTCGAAGCACACAAAGTACAGCATTAAAAAAATAAACATACTGAAGTTTGGGCATACTACTATGCTAGCTCATCTTCTGTGTCTCATCCCCTCTTTGAGTAATATACACTGGGAACTTTTACAGTCCATTATCAACCATAGTTTATATCCTTCCTCAACTACACCCACATATGATTGTCAATTTCATTACAATTTACATTGATATAGCGCCTTTCAAGTCAAGAGAAAATCTCAACGCGCACAATTTAATTGTTCCCTTTTTGCAATAAAAATTACCCATAACTGAAAAATAAAACTTTAGTAAATGAAAAAATATAAAATTTGGTAAAAACAAACACAGCAGGAATGCCGGGTGTTAACATCAGAACCAGCACATTCAGGGAATGAAGACACAGAGGAATGATAGTTACAAATTGTAAGAATGGTTTCTGATTTCCGATTGCTGACAGATTCCCGTTTTATGGATGTACTTTACACTCGTCCAGTCTGAGTGTACGACTGAAGTCATTGCTACATCTCCAGCAAGTTTGAGTTGGTTGATAAAAGACTACCCTTCACCTTTGCATCTTTTCTCCACGCCTTCAAAACCCTCTTAAGTTCTTTTTGGCCAAGCCTTTGGTGGGCACCCTCAAACTCCCGTTCATTTCCTTCCTCTTGGTGAAGCACTTGGAGAAATAATCTTAGGTGAAATGTGTTGCACAAGTAAAGATTGTTTTTGATATTTTGCTTTCCTGTTCAGCGCTCTAGTCGCTGACTTATTTGCTAATTTCAGTCCTACCTGGTGCCTCTGTGTCTCTGCTCTGACCTTACAGGCAGTCTGGCTTTCTTTACTGCTCTTATATCTTGCTAAAAAAGACCAGTCTCTTTGCAAATATTAACAACCGATGGAAAAGTACAGACCGAAATGAAACCCCTTCCACTCCCCAACTGACAGCAGTCACGGGAAACGATGCTTTGGTCTGGTTTAGATACAAAGAAGCTTTGTTGCATCTATAGTGATTCTCTGTGCACTCCCAGGTTCTGTGGTTTACTCTGTAAATGTACGTGCCCATTCCGCATTACGTGGTATTGCAGGGCAATACAGTATCAATCACTTTAAAATCGGACGGTAACTAACCACTGATTGTCTTAATATAGGTTTCACACTGGTTTCTGCTTTAGAGAAGTGTAAGCCACAAGCACCAAATAACACTGCCAGCCCCAATCCGACACTTGGCATCTGCACTGTATTATCAGCCATGCATTATAATGCCAACCCCTTACCAATACGCAGCCCCTCGCTGCACTGTCCGCCCCACACTGACACAGGCCTCACATAGTACTGTCAGTCCTACATTATTCTGTCAGTCCCTTACTGGCACTCAGCTCCACACCATAGTGTCAGCGCTAGGTCCTGGGTTCACGTCCTGATCTGATCTATTATCTGATCTCTCCTGGAGCAATGTTGAGGGGATCTGTGGTTGCTTTACAATTGCAGGCTCACAGGGATTAGGGTTACGAGAGAAAGTCAGCCAGGACTTGCACTCGAGATCAGGAACCAGCAATCTCTGCTTATAAAAGTAATTTTTGCATTTGATATAGCGCACTTGATTTTTGATATATCTCAAGTCATTGACACGTTTCAAAGCACTTCACAGGATATACTGTAAAGTGGATTGACTGTGTATTTTGTGGGCGAAACGCAGCAACCAATTTAGAACAGCAATGTCCTACAAACAGTTGAGTGACCCAATAATTTTTTTGGGGGTGGATTATTACCCCCAGAAAGAAATCCGCCAATTGACTAACAAGCTACTTACTGTTGGGTAAACAGAGGCATGTGGAGTAAGGAAACGTGCATAAGTAAATGTAATTATTGTTATAATGGCAAAGAAAGAAAACACACAAAAACATTAAAAAGCAGAGAGAGAGAGAGAGCACTTCTGTACAGCATCTCAATGCACATGACGGTTGAGCAATGAAACTCTGCACAGATACAAAAACATACTCCAAATGAAAAAAAAACAAATGAAGATAAAGAGGTATTCTCACTTTCTAACAAACAATTCAAAATGATCCTTAAATGTGTTAGTCACAAATATCTGAAATTTCCTAAACGTCACATGTCCAAAATGTCTGATGCTTATAATAATGGGTCTCGAATTTGACATAGCGCCTTATCACGTCTTCGAGACGTCTCAAAGCCCTTCAGAGAATATACTGTAAAGTGAATTGACTGTATATTTTGTGGGTGAAACGCGGCAGCCAATTGCGCACAACAGTGATCCACAAGCAGTCGTGGATTGAGTGACCAAATTATTATTATTATAAAAAGTAAGGGTTTAATACACCGACGGAAAAGCAATCTACCAATCAACTAACAAGCGGGTTCCTACTTACTGCTAAGTAAACAGAGCATGTAATCACCATAAGACACTCAACGCTTTTTATCTAAAGCTTCTTCATTAGTGTATTGGCTGATGGAAAAAGCACCACTTACCCACATTGCTATTTATACATTGCCCTTGACATGAACCTTATATTGATCTGTCTTTGTAGCTTTGCTTTAAGCAAAATATTACCCTAGGAAACACCTTCATGAGCTGGGCAACTAGTGTACGGAATTCTGCTCGTTAATACAACACGACACCACCCAACCCAACCCTCCCCACACACACACATAAACAGAAATAAGAGTAAAAAAGAGACCTAGAGACCCTTAAGTCCACCTCATAGGACCATAGGCCATTTAGGCCCTCGCGCCTGTTGCATTATTCTACTGGCTGGTCTGTACCTCAGCTCCATTTACCCGCCTTTTCTCCACCTGTCCTGCCACCCTGATACTTCCAAAAGGATTCCATTCTACATCCCACACAATATTCCAAGTGCACTTCATTCAAAAACGCTGAAATCATTGCCAATTCGGGGAGAGAGAAAAAATATCTTGGATAAACTCCCAACTTCCAAAGTCAGCTGCACGAACTCCGAGAATCGCCACCAACATGACAGCCTTAATACCTTAATCATCCCTACACTCGGCTACATGAGCAAACGAGCAAATCAGACATTGGGATCTGTCTTTAATATCTGCAGCCTTGACACACCGCAGACTGAAACTAATTGACTATATAACTAAAAACAGGATGTTGATCTAGAAATAAATAATAAACTTGCAATTTACCACAGAACGTTAACAACCCTTGCATTCAATATGGCGCTTTATCACGTCACTGAGAGTCACTGTGTATTTTATGCAAATTGTTAAGAAGGTTGGTTAATTGTACCAAGGTTAACTGCATGAAATGGGTGTAGCTCAACTGATGAAACCTGGTAAAGCAAGATTTTTAATGAGCCTCTGCCCAGAGTGAACGCCATCATATTTTTAACGGGCTAAAAACTGCCTTTGGAATTTTGAGAACGCAATTTCTCCAAAACAAGTTTGAAAGCGAATGCTTACCCACGTTCTCCACTCCATCACTCTCCCAGCTTTGTAAAAAGTCAGGGTCGCTGTCCACCGCGTCAGGCTGGGTCCCTTCCTCAGCCACCGTGTCCGCATCATCGAAGCTCAGTGTCCCGCTCAGGCGGGAGGACAGACCCTCTGTGTCGTCTTCAAGCTCCGATCCTTCGGGGAAATCTTGAGCCGTTTCCTCAGTTACGTTCTCTTTTCGGACCTTCCTTCGAAACCGGTGCAGAATTTTCGAGGCCATGCCACGCACTGCGTCCTGCGAAACGCACAGGATGAATTTAGCCAGCCATGCTTTGCATTTACATTACCCCCGGCAGCATTTGAAGTCAAGAGGTGTGTTCGACTGTGCCACCTCTTAAATCCCAAGACACCGGAGACACAAGAAAGAGAGCAGTGAGCAGCACAGGAACAACAAAACAACAACAAAATTACATTGGTATAATGCCTTTCACAGGAGTAGCCCATTCAGCTTCTCGAGCCTGTTCTGTCATTCTTACGGCTGATCTGCACCTCAACTCCATTTACCCACCTTTGCTCCATATCCCTTGATACCCTGACCGAAGAAATATCTCTCCGCTCCAGTCTTAAAAATTTTAATTCATCCAGTAGCAATACGGTCACTTCAAAGCTTGGGAAGATTGATGGCTGTTACATTTTTCTCTTCAGCCACTGGCTCAAACTCCAACCTTTGCTCCCATCCCTTCAAATAGCTTGAGTTCACAATTGTACTGCAAGGCCCTCAATCTCCATCTGCAGCTCTCCACCTATCTCACCATGTTCCAATACACAGAGCACTTGAAAAAATACCAAAGTCACTCTTATCAAAGGCAACGACTATTATATTATTATTATATTATTGTTTGTGGGGTTTTGCTGGCACAAACCACGGCTAAATTGCCCTCCAAAGAGCATTACTGAAGCTCAGGCAGATGTTTTCAGTGATAAGGTGCTAAATGTTTACTTTCTATTGTGACTCGCCTTCCTTTGAACTTGTTATCCTCACTGTGTTTACAATGTGCTTCCACTAACCTCAGGACAAGTCACTGACCTGAAACTGAGCCGCTGGTTCAATCCAGCCAACTGACTTCAAATGTCTGAGCCCCTGGGAAAAAATATAGCAATAACCGATTCTTTAATATCATTGTTTTCCAAGGTCATCAGTTTCTCTTTCTGACACCATCTTCACGAAAGCACTCCACTACCCCGCGGTGAAGGACACTACATATGGTTTCGCCCACAAAATACATAGTCAATCTGCTTGACAGTATATCCTGCGAAGCGCTTTAAGACTCTGCGCCGACGTGATAAAGTGCTATACCTAATGCAAGGATTATTATTATTATTATATAAATGCAAGTTGTTGTTGGCGTTCTCCTCTTGAAACCTCCTGAATCGAATTACTCTCGCTGGCATTCAGTTGCAGAGCAAAACCCGTCTTCTGGAACGACCCTTGCTCAAGGTGGTAACGAGAGCGAGCCCAGGCAGTGGGGTGGCATCGGGTCGCTGGCATCCCACTCACGGGCCAAATCTTAGTTCGGTTTGGAATACTCTTAAGCACGGTGATGGGATTCCGCATGTGACAGACAATCGGTTGACCCCAAAAAAACTTCAGGTGCCATGACAGCTGAGCCCAATCTCTACACTTTCCAACAACATAGGGAGGGTGGGGGGGAAGAGAGAGAGAGGAAGACATCTCTGACTGTAAACTGAGTTTCCACTATTTCTCGCCTGGGCTAACCCCAATCGGTCAGTGCCTTCAATTCTAAGCAGCTGTAACTCCTGCCCAACTAACCCAGCACCACCTACGTACATTTTACCCCCTTCCCCTCACCTCCTCCCCAGACATTGCTAGTTTTACATTTGATTAAAAAATTTTTAGAAAAACACTTTAAATCCAAACTCCGCCACTTGATTCTCATTGTAATCATGTAAATAAATCTCAGTCAAGAATGCACATTCCTAGGCTTGTTTTACAGCAGTGACATTCCTGTTCCTTTCTCTCTCTCTCCCCCCTCCTCCTCTTTCACTCACTCTCTCTCTCTCTCTTTTTCTCTCTGTCCCCAGGGACTTGTTTTTACTTGGGAGACAGTTTTCCCCCTTTCTCACAATCTGGCTGTCAGACTATTTGAGCCGCAGATGTTAAGAGGGAGAAGGTGTTTTTGTGGTGGTGACCGCAGGCTCCCGGGGCAGTGACTTTGCTGCGTAAACTGGGGAGACGAAGTCTGACCAGCGCAGAGCGCGTTATAGCGAACCTCGGACCAGCGCTTTTTACCCACAGCGATGACTCCAGCCGCCCCGAGCCGGGCCAGGCTGGGCTGGGCTGAGCCGGGCTGGGCTGGACTGAGTCGGGCTGGGCTGGGCTGAGCCGGGCTGGGCTGAGCCAGGCTGGGCTGGACTGAGTCGGGCTGGGCTGGGCTGAGCCAGGCTGAGCTGGGCTTGGGTGAGCCGGGCTGGAATGAGCCAGGCTGAGCTGAGCTGGGCTGAGCCGGGCTGAGCTGAGCCGGGCTGGGCTGGGGTGAGCCGGGCTGGGCTGGGGTGAGCCGGGCTGGGCCGGGCTGGGGTGAGCCGGGCTGGGCTGGGGTGAGCCGGGCTGGGCTGGGGTGAGCCGGGCTGGGCTGGGATGAGCCGGGCTGGGCTGGGGTGAGCCGGGCTGGGCTGGGGTGAGCCGGGCTGGGCTGGGGTGAGCCGGGCTAGGCTGGGGTGAGCCGGGCTGGGCTGGGGTGAGCCGGGCTGGGCTGGGATGAGCCGGGCTGGGCTGGGGTGAGCCGGGCCGGGCTGGGGTGAGCCGGGCTGGGCTGGGGTGAGCCGGGCTGGGCTGGGATGAGCCGGGCTGGGCTGGGGTGAGCCGGGCTGGGCTGGGGTGAGCCGGGCCGGGCTGGGGTGAGCCGGGCTGGGCTGGGTGAGCCGGGCTGGGCTGGGGTGAGCCGGGCTGGGCTGGGATGAGCCGGGCTGGGCTGGGGTGAGCCGGGCTGGGCTGGGGTGAGCCGGGCTGGGCTGGGGTGAGCCGGGCTGGGCTGGGGTGAGCCGGGCTGGGCTGGGGTGAGCCGGGCTGGGGTGGGCTGGGGTGAGCCGGGCTGGGGTGGGCTGGGGTGAGCCGGGCTGGGGTGGGGCTGGGATGAGCCGGGCTGGGCTGGGCTGGGGTGAGCCGGGCTGGGCTGGGGTGAGCCGGGCTAGGCTGGGGTGAGCCGGGCTGGGCTGGGGTGAGCCGGGCTGGGCTGGGCTGAGCCGGGCTGGGGTGGGGTGAGCCGGGCTGGGCTGGGGTGAGCCGGGCTGGGGTGGGGTGAGCCGGGCTGGGCTGGGCTGAGCCGGGCTGGGGTGGGCTGGGGTGAGCCGGGCTGGGCTGGGCCGGGCTGAGCCGGGCTGGGCCGAGCCGGGCTGAGCCGAGCCGGGCTGGGGTGAGCCGGGCTGGGCTGGGCTGAGCTGGGCTGAGCTGGGCTGGGCTGAGCCGGGCTGGGCTGGGGTGAGCCGGGCTGGGCTGGGCTGGGCTGAGCCGGGCTGGGCTGGGCTGAGCTGGGCTGGGGTGAGCCGGGCTGGGCTGGGCTGGGGTGAGCCGGGCTGGGCTGGGCTGAGCCGGGCTGGGCTGGGGTGAGCCGGGCTGGGCTGGGCTGGGCTGGGCTGGGGTGAGCCGGGCTGAGCCGGGCTGAGCCGGGCTGGGGTGAGCCGGGCTGGGCTGGGCTGAGCCGGGCTGGGCTGGGCTGAGCCGGGCTGAGCCGGGCTGGGGTGAGCCGGGCTGGGCTGAGCCGGGCTGGGCTGGGCTGGGCTGGGGTTTGGTCGGGTTTCCTCGCTTATAAACAACAAACAAACTGTATCATGGCGTCTTCACATCGCCCGTCACTTATTTCCTCTCCAAACAAAACCTACAGAAGCACAGCCCCGACTCCACCAGAGAGAGGGAGAGAGGGAGAGAATGTGAGAAAGAAAGAGAGAGTGAGTGTGAGAAAGAAAGAGTGAGTGAGTGTGAGAAAGAAAGAGAGAGTGAGTGTGAGAAAGAAAGAGAGAGTGAGTGTGAGAAAGAAAGAGAGAGTGAGTGTGAGAAAGAAAGAGAGAGTGAGTGTGAGAAAGAAAGAGAGAAAGAGTGAGTGAGTGTGAGAGTTTCTGACCTGAGAAGGGAATCACACTCCACGATCTCTTCCAAACTTTCCCCCTGAGATAAAACGACGTGAAACTTGTTGGGGGGAGGAGGGGAGAGGGGGGAGGGGAGGGGGGGAGAGGGGGAGAGGAGAGGGGAGAGGGGAGAGGAGAGGGGGAGGGAGGGGGAGAAGAGAGGGGAAAAAAGTTTGTGCTGAAGTTTTGGGGCGAAAGTGCCTCCGAATAACTGCTTCAACTCGGAGTCGCCTCACATCGTCCGTCAGAGAGGAGAGGAGTGTTTGGAGCAAAGTCGGATCAGCCCAGTGTTTGCTTCTCTCTCTCTCTCTCTCCCTCTGTCTCTCTATCTCTCCCTCTCTCCCTCTGTCTCTTTTTCTCTCTCCCTCTGTCTCTCTATCTCTCCCTCTCTCCTTCTGTCTCTTTATCTCTCTCCCTCTCTCCCTCGGTCTCTTTCTCTCTCCCTCCCCCCTGTCTCTTTCTCACTCACTCACTCACTCTCTGTCTCTCTCTCTGTCTGTCTCTCTGTCTGTCTCTCTGTCTCTCTCTCTCTGTCTCTCTGTCTCTCTCTGTCTGTCTCTCTGTCTGTCTCTCTCTGTCTCTCTCTGTCTGTCTCTCTGTCTCTCTGTCTCTCTGTCTGTCTCTCTCTGTCTCTCTGTCTGTCTCTCTCTGTCTCTCTGTCTGTCTCTCTGTCTCTCTCTGTCTGTCTCTCTGTCTCTCTCTCTGTCTCTCTGTCTCTCTCTGTCTGTCTCTCTGTCTGTCTCTCTGTCTGTCTCTCTGCCTGTCTCTCTGTCTCTCTCTCTCTGTCTGTCTCTCTGTCTCTCTCTGTCTGTCTCTCTGTCTCTCTGATGGTGAAGCTTTGGTCCCGGTGTGTATCGCCTCTTGTCGGGTGCGCTCCCTCAGTGCGGTTGATCGGCTCTGCTCTGCCTCGTCTATTGCCTTTGGTTCCTTCCAGGTCTCGACAATCGCACACTCCCCCGAACCCTGAACTCTGGCGGAGACTTTCCTCTGCTCTTCCCCCACTGAGCACTGACACCAACCGGTCCAGAAGGGGCAGAGCAGGAGGAGAGAGGGAAAGAGAGAGAGAGAGAGAGAGGGAGAGGGAGAATAAATGGATGAGAAGAGATGGGAAAAGAGGGAGAGGATGATAGAGACCCAACACACCCAAAAGTGGGGGGTGGGGGTGTGGGGGGGACAAATGGGAAATCATTAAAACCTTTCCGCGAAAGTAATGTTCGCTGACGGTACAACAGAAATAATAATAATGATAATAATCTTTGCCTTCGATATAGCGCCTTATCAAAGTCGTTGAGACCTCTCAAAGCGTTTCGCAGGATATATCGTCAAGTGTAGTGACTGCGTATTTTTGCGGGCGAAACCCGGCAGCCAATTGCGCACAGAAGTGTCCCACGACACAGTCGTGGATTGAGTGACCAACTTTCTTTTAAGGGATTATTACCAGATTATCACCGGAAAGCAACCCCCCCCCCCCCAATTGATTACCAACCGGGGTCCCGCTTACTGTTGGGTAAACAGAGGCGTGTGGACTAAGGAATCCGCGACTGAGGCCTATGGTTTTGCCTCGCCCGGGAACCGAACTCGGTCTCCTCTCGTTGCGAGGTGAGTGAGCTAACCACGATGGTACGGGACCGCACAATATACAACATGAAGGGGAAAATGTAGCCACAAAATTAATCACAGTAAAACATCAAATCTGAGAGCAAGTAAATCGATAGCAGAGAATCAACGAAGCAGACGCAAGGTATTGCGCAAATTATGGATTCCTATGATCTGGTTTGTGAAGAACAAAGTAAATTGTCTGTCATCACAGCCCTTTACCATCGCAGCCTCACTTCCCTGCATTTTCCCTACACTGTAAACTGCTGATGATTCATCGCTCCCAAGGGAAAGGGGGTCTGAGTTACCCCGAGTGCATATGTATATACACCTAACGTAAATAAGTACAGCCAAGATATATTGACAGCCTGATGATTTAAATAGTAGTGACAAAGTACGCCGGGGTTGAATTATCAGGAGTTTTTCCAGTATATTCTGTGAAGCACTTTGAGACGCCTCAATAACATGATTAATGCTAATATTTGGATTTAAGCGTAAGTGCCCATGTTAAAAGATCAAAAAGTGATGGGAGTTTCACCCGGCATCCGGCTCGTTGAGAGACTTGCATTTTCCTGATTGAAGCAGGGGAACCTCCAATCATTTTATCAGATTATTTTATCTCTCTTCCGCAGCTTTAGTGGCAATCTCCTCTGCTGAAATGTGCACAGTGTATGATAACACAGAAGTAATTTCACTGTTAGTTTCCGCCACACAGTGGTATAGACTGGTATAAAACAGGCAAAATTATTTGAGTTCCACCAGACTATCTTTATTGGTTTTAGAAGCTCATCTAAAGACGTGCCAAGTTAATGCCGGAGAAATTCCATTGAGGTCTAGACTTACTCTATTCGTGTTGCATTTTAGAACATCCAAACATTTTGCAACTGCTTAAATATAGCCCTAATTAATATTGAACCTGAAATTAAAATTAAAAGTTGTAATGTTTTTAAATAACTACAGAAAAACAGCTTCAAAGTTAAGACCGGATTCAACAATTCGCCAAATTCTGGATGCGGAACTGATGAAAGCAGCAGGTACTGTGTACTGATGAATGTCCAATTTAATTTGGGGGATTGTTGGCCAGGAAACCTAGTGAAACTCCCTTTTCTTTTTGATCTTTTAATGTGGGCATTTATGCTTGAATCCAAATATTGCCAATGTAAATTTTTAATTTGCAAAAGTAGTTTTTTGCTTATCTTACAGGAGAATAGAGGAAACGTGGACACCTTGTGAAGGTGTAAATGAAGCCTGGTCCCAGGCACTGAATGATAGATAGTTAGACCATGTTTTCATATGAAATTCTATCCACCATCATCTGTCTTGAGTATGCATCTTCCTAAGTAGATTATCAGTGACATTAACTATGATCTTCATGGGTTGTCTGCATCTTAAAATACACATTAGTAACCCCCATGTGATGGTTATGCTTCAATGGCTGCATTTGTTTTTAATTTATATAATTTAACCTCAACAAAATTAAATTATTCAACGCTAGGAGTTTGGACATGAAGCATGAAATGGTTTGTAAAATAGAAATAACTTTAGCAGCCTGGTCCTTCCCACAATCCTTTAACCCACTGTCACACAATGTATTTTAATAAATAAATGTGACTTGGATTTGGTCCATTTCTGGCCGGTGCTGAGTTAACTGATTACAATCAATCATTACTGATGAGGAAGTTTGCCACTGGAAAAGGAAAAAACCCACCAGCATTCAGGTTAGCAGAGCTGTCCACATTAATGGGCACTGTTTCACTTTGCTTGCTCATCTCAGGGCAAAATTAATGAAAAGTTGATCTATCTCCAGTCTGCTCAGTCATGTCTCACTGCCTCACCTTCTTTCTCTCTGCCTTTAAAAGCATCCTTCAAACTACTTATTCAACTGTACCTACGGTTACTTCCCTCCTTCAATCTCCCCACCATCTTTGTTCAGTATCTGGCACCATCTATGTAAAGCACTTTGCCTGTAAGATCATTTTATCTTAAAATGGAAGGTTGTGGAAACTTTTTAAATCCAGTCTATCTCGCAAGGCAATTTTCTGCAATTCTTAAAAAAAGAAAACCAGCTAACAAATAAAGATTGAATGTAAGAATCTGCCTCCTTCCTCTCAAATGACCATAATGTTAACAAATATAGGAACCCTTACATTTGGTACAGCACCTTTCACATCAGGAAGACGTCTCAAAGCATTTCACATGATATACAGTATAGTATAGTAACTGTGTATTTTGTGGATGAATGCACAAAATTTGACAGTTTGGGCACAGCAATGTCCCACAAACAGCCATACAATGAATGACCATTTTTATTGGCAGATTGTTGACCAGGACACTGGGTAAATTCCCTTCTGTATTCTGTGAGGCGCTTTGAGATGTCTCAAAGACGTGATAAGGCTCTATACCAAATGCAAGGATTATTATTATAAATGGTGCTACGGGATCTTTAACGTCCATCTGAACAGGCTAATGGGCCCCCATGTTTAACAACTCATCTGAAGTTCGGCACCTCCAACAATACAGCACATCCCCAGCACTGCTTTGGAGTGTCAGCCAAGACAGTATGAGTTCTAAAGTGGGGCTTAAAAACCCACAGCCTTCTGGCTTGGAGGCAAAAGTGCTATCAACTAAGCCACGTTGGCACACACATAAGTGTGATTACAAAATGCATTGAGCTGCACCAGCAGCTGAATATGTGTATTTGCTTATTTCACAATTCATTTCGGTCATTTTGCACTTTAATCACCAGATGCTGCGGAAATTCATGTAGTCCCAGTGCCGATAATGGAGAATCACACGAGCGTTGCCAACGTTGTGATTAATTGCCACTTTGCCTACAAAACATGTCGTTTTTGCATCTTGCATGGGTCATCAATCATCCGGAGATTACAAGGAGAAATGTAGGAGATTAGGATGAAATTCTCCTCTGGATTCCAAGATGAATTCACAAACGTGTTTTGCAAGGTCCTCCTTCGAAACCTAGGGCTTAAATCTTCTCATGCATGTCTAAACTGGGATTCGCTTGAATTTCATTTCGAAAGCCCATTCTGTGCCAAATGCACATAAGGAACAAGCTATAGTTTTAGGCAGGAAGTCTATCTACCCTAAACACCCAACGTCTGAAGAGGATTCCTTCGAATGCACACATACCTTTGTCTAAAAATGCTGAATCCTTTTCATTTCCACTATGATTCCGTTTTGGTACTCGGCAGCCAATTGCATACAGCAGTGTCCCACATACAGTTGCGATTGAGTGACCAAATTTTTTTTATATTACTATTTTTTGAAGGGATTATTGCCCCCAGAAATTAATCTGCCCATCAACTGACAATCAGATTCCTACATCCTGCTGGGTAAACAGAAGTGTGTGGAGTCAGGAAATTTGCCTAAGATTTTGCCCCGCCTTGGAATCGAATCTGGGTCTTCTTCCTTGCAAGGTGAGTGCTCTAACCCATATGTTACGGGACTCCACGTATGATATGCAGACAAATTAAATGTAGACAAATGTAAAAAACATTTGCAGGAAACATGCACTTAATGTAGATTGTTGTTGAAATACTTAGTTGGAAATGTTAAATGTTTCAGCAGAGACAAGGCAGAAATTTTCTGCATAAAATATGATTAGGCAAAATCCACTAATCCATGAGTACTACAGTTACCAATGTCTGCAGGTTGTACATAACATGTATCATCAATAAAATATTCTGTGATATGCAGATATGTAATTTTGATGAAAATATTGGTGAAAAAGTGATGTATTCTTAAAGGAGGCCTGTGCTTTCAATGCAACCTGGCTACTGGCCTGGTTTAAATTGACGTGTCACTGGAAAACTTATAAAATATTTTTCCAGCAGGAAAATCCATTCTTACAGCATATTTGGAGGCAATTCATTTTGACTTAAAATGTAGATTCCTGCAATGCTGTGCCAAGTGTACGAATGAGAGATTTGTGCTGTTCAGAATCGCGACTGACAAAGTCAGCGAAAAATCATGTCAATTTATTATAAAAATCCTGTGTAGATATTAATAATAGAGATTTTTCAGTGGTTTTACTTATGGCCATTACCGTTGTTTCATTTGTTTTTAGATAATGGATTTAAAGCACAATTCCTTTCTTAAGCTACTTATTGCGTGAGAACCAGATGGAGAGCAAAATGCTTATTATTTCTTTCTGCCCATTAGTTTTTAACATGTGCAGTTCCTCATATGAAGAAGCACTTGACATTGATATCTAACTGTGTGTGTATGTGTGTGTAGATTGCTCTACCCAGATGTCCATGAGAACGGAAAGCGGTAACCAAAGAGTAATGGAAGAGGGGGAAAAGCAGGACACATTCTAAACAAAAAAGATTACCACTTTACTGTGATGAACATTAAAATATCAATATAATTAATGTACTGGAAGCATGCCTTCTATTTCAATCTTTTTAAAAATATATATGTATATAAACTACTGTATTAAGAAAGTTAGAAACAACTTGCATGTTTACGCTAACTTATCATGTCGCAAAATCACAGAAGACTTCACAGGTAATTAATTACATGTAATCATAGTGTTTGTTATTTGAAGACCAACATTTGCACCAGCGAGATACCAACTGACACCAAGTGTTGTTGGCCACGATACTTGGGAATCCTCCCTTCCCTTAAATCCTATTTCCTTCTCGCATTAGTCAGTATGACATTAATTCAATTATGCATGTAGCTAAATTTTTATCATATAATGAGTAACAGGTGATTTCTGAAGGCATTACAAACATGAAATATTAGTGTTTATCATTCATTTTGTTTCTCTCTCACTCAGAAACACTCCAGGATGCTACCCTGCGTGAAGGGCACTATGTGAATGCAAGTTGTTGTTCTGACGCAGGGTCAGGAACCCAAAACGTTGACTCACTTTCCTTTCTCCAAAGATGCTGCTTGACCTGCTGAGTGTTCCCAGCGACTTCTGTTTTTGTTTCAGATTGGCAGCATCTGCAGTATTTTGTGTTTTGTTGTTGTTCTTGTTGTTGAAACATGCAACATCCTCGTGTTAAGGTCATTGCCTGCTGTAACGATTGTAGAGCTTTAGGAAAAAGAAAATCTGTGTGCGGAGAGGGGAATCATTGTGAAGTCCACACGTGAGGCAGGCCGACAGGATGATGTCATGGTGCACAGTCAAGCAATGAGCAGAGAGCAGAGCATTGTTTAGTCACAGTGCGTCGAGCATCTGTAGAGTGAGAATGATTTAATACATTGGGTGATTTGTTTGCCTGAGTCTGGTGTGGATGAAGAGAACATTTCAGTTGCAGCTGTGTGATAGAAAACGGTAGGTTCTTTATTCAGCCTGAGAAGAGGTTTGGCATTTGTAACTATTGTTTTTCCGCGTTTATTTTCTGTGAGGTGAATTTGTGGTATTTTGCTCATTTGATTCCTGAAATGTGTGTTTTATCAGCTAGTGGTCAGTTATTGTTGGCATTACCTAAGAGAATGCTGAAATAACATTGGTTCAGGATAGGCGAAAAGGAGAAACTAATAAATTGATATTGGTTCATTTTTAGACAGTCTGTGATGTTCGAGTGACAACTTTAGTTTTTAAAACAGATTTGATGTAATGTTAATATAATCTGTTAAAAAATATTGCTATTTACACCTTATTTCCTCATCTCATGCTATTCAACTCAGCCTGTGTGTAGCCCCTATGGCTCTGAGTCAGAAGGTTGTAGGTTCAAATCCCGTGCCAAACTTTCAGATGACTGTCTAGATTGCCACTCCAATGTAGTACTGTGGGAGTGCTACGTTGTTGGAAGTGCTGTCCAGATGAGGTATAAAACTGAGGTCCAGTCTGGATGTTAAATATCCTGTGTCACTATTCAAAAAGAGTTTCTCCTAGTGTCTTAACCAACACTTCTCCAGATCAAATTGATAAATTCAGCGAATGCTGTTTGTGAAACACTGCTACGTTACATTTTACAGTCAAATAAGGCACTATATCAAATGAAAGGGTGATTGCAAACAGAATGGAAAAGTGATCTTATTCAGTAATAAGGAAAAGTGTGCTCAGCAGTGTGTTTATGTATGTGAAGGACTGCGGCAAAGTTTATTTATTTCGATCAGAGACCAGCAATAGTGTGACATTGCATATTAGACAGGCGTATCTTTGTTAATTTGACGCATACTTTTCTATTTAAGACTTCTTTCACCTCCGCTACATTGCCTGCCTCCAACCGTACCTTGCCCCAAATGCAGCTGAAACCCTCGTGCATGGGTTTGTCACCTCACACTTGGATTACTCAAATGCACTCCTCGCCAATCTCCCCAGCTCCACTATTCAAAAGATCCAGTTCATTCAGACTTCTGCCGCCCACATACTTACCCGGACCAAACTCTGTACCCACATCTCACCAGTTCTGGCCACCATCGGAGGTTGCGCTTTCAGCCACTACGCCCCAAAAATCTGGAACACTCTCCTTCAATCCCTCCGCCTTGCCCCCTCTCTCCCCTTTTTCAAGTCCCGGCTTAAAACCTGAACCTATCCAATGCAGAGATTCAGATTCCCCCCCAATTCAGTGCAAAATGCAACATTTCTTAAACGTGTGGATGTGATAATTACTGAAACATCGCATGTTTAAGGCTCATCGCGATACTGGCAGGCTGAAAAAACAGGGGTTTGCCTCTGCCCTTAGCTTGTACATGATTTTTACTCAATTCTAATTTACTCGTTACGTGAATGAAAGAAAGAAAAAATGAACAGCGATGTTTCAAATAATTCCGGAGGTGCTGAGGATTGTAGAAGATGCATTTCAGCTGCTGTGCCCAGTCAAGACTTGCAGATGTGGTTAACAGCCCTTTAACCTATCAATCACACACACACAGTGTCCCTTGTACTGCACAGTGTTCCCCCACTACCTCCCTGCCAAGTTCATCTCCTACTGTTAGCACATCATTAGAAGGCCTTCCCTCCTGGCTACACCTTCCACCACCCCCCCCCCCCCCCCCCCCCCCCCACCCACCCTAACTAATGTGGCGGCGGGGTGGCCCTCATCTCCCAAGCTTCCCGCGGTCTATCCCCTTATTCCAATGACTGTTTCTCCTTATTTGAGCACCTCACCCTCTACCATCCCTCCTCTCTCTCACTCAAAATTCTCCTGGTTTACTGCCCCCCCAATACCCCCTGGCTCCTTCTTCGCCGATATCTTTGCTCTCCTCTCCTCCCTGTCCCTCTGCTCAGAACGCCTGCTCATAATGGGTGACTTCAAACTCCAACTAAACTCCACTTGCACCACATCCTCAGAATTCACTGCCCTCCTTTCCTCCCTAAACCTCACCCTCCACATCAACTGGCCAACCCACAAACGCGACCAGCCCTTCGACCTCGTCATCACACTTGGCCTCGATATTTCCAACCTGTACATCATGGTCAAAGCCATCTCAGATCACTTCCTCATCTCCTTCTCCTCTCGCATCCCCCTCCCCTCCATCAAGACTTCAACCATACCTTTCCGCACATGGAAAACGCTTCCCCCCGAGACCCTCACAAAAGCAGCGAACCCTGTAGCAGCCGTCAAGCTGCTCCATGATCGCCTCTCCTCCACCTTCAACTTCCCCGTCCCCCTGAAATCTAGGACTATCTCCAAACCTACCCGCTCCCCTGATACAACAGCCATCTCCCTAAAATCCAAACCTGGCTACTCGAGCACAGGTAACAGAAAACCAGTCTCATGGTTCACCACCAGCTGTGGCTCGAGCATCTTCACGCCTACCGCTGCTCTCTGTTGCAAGCAAAAAACATGCACTACTCAAACATCATAGTGGAGACCAACAATAACTCCAAAACCCTATTCTCCACTGCCCACCACTTCCTCCGTGCACACCCCTCAAGCCCCTCAATCATCACATCTAATGCCAAGTGCGAAGAGTTCATGGACGTCCTTACCTCTAAAATTGACAACATCCGCCTGGCAATTTCATCCCTTTGCCCCACGTCGCCTACCACCACCCCCATTCCGTCTCCCTCACCCACGCCGCCTTCAGCTCCTACCATGGCCCGCATCCTACATTCATTTGCCCCCATGCTTCCTTCTTCCCTCTTATCCCATCACCACAATGAAACCCACCACCTGCTGTCTCGACCCCATTCCCACCCTCCTTTCATCTGAAGGACATCACCTCCAACAATGCCATGCTTGTACATTATAAGCTCAAAGTCCCAATGTTGGGAGTTCAACCTTCTGACTCAGAGGACAGAGTGCTACCAACATAATAGCAAGCATAACAGGAATGAAAACAGAAGCTTGTCCATGAACACAACACCAGAGAGAACAATACATACCCAACATTTTATAGTAAAATAACCCTTGGGTTCTTCATTGTTTGTAACAGAAACTAAAAGAAACTAAATTTTGTATGTTAAGCTTTGCCCTTCGGAGAGGTGGAGAAAAATAATGCATCTCCAAGCTATGAAAAGGAGGCCCGGAGACCCCAAAATTTCACATGGTTCTAGCCTCAAGAACAATAATAACTTAATTTATACAATGTCCTTCATGTAAAATAATGCCTGAGAGCATATCACGTGGACAGGATCAAATGGCAAACATAATAATAAGAATCCTTGCATTTGATAGAGCGCTTTTCACGTCTTCTAGATGTCTCAAAGTGCTTCACAGAATATGCTGTAAAGTGAATTGACCGTATATTTGTGAGCAAAACGCGGCAGCCAATTGAGCACAGCAGTGTCCCACAAACAGTCCTGGATTGAAAATGAATAATTTATTATTGTTTTTGTTTGTGGAGAGATTATTATCAGGCGTGTGGAGTAAGGAAACTTGCCCAAGGTTTCGCCCTGACCTGCCTGGAACTGAACCCAGGTGTCTCGCTTGCAAGGTGAGTGCTCTAACCACTGAGTTACAGGACTCCACATGGGAGAAGGGAGGGGTGACAGTAGCTGCAGTCAAAGAAGTAGTTTTTACACAGGGTTTAAAGACAGATGGGGTGGGGGACAGAGCTGAAGAGGTAAGGAGGAAGGTAAAGGGCTGAAGGCTCGGCCACTGATGGTGCCATAGAGGTGTGCGTGGAGTGGGGGCGGTGGGTGGGCGGTTGACGGGGCAAAGCAGGTAATCTTAAATGGTTTTAAGAGTTCCGGTTAGGAGGATTTATGAAAAACTATTCAATTGAGTCTCTGTTTGGAAAGCTGGTCTCCAAAAACTGTTTCAAAATTTAGACTAAACTTGAGAATTTTGCAAACATTCTGCACTTTTTCAAGTGTTAAAGACTATGGTCAAGAATTTCCAGTTTCAGATTCCTTGCACTGGGAGAATGTGTAATCCTGTAACATTATATGTCTGGAACCTCAAGGGTGTTTGTAGGAACCGTTGACTGTTAATAAGTGTCTCAAGATCTCCACAAGTAATGTAATCCTTCGGTACAGAACGGCTGTCTGTGCCTGTCGAGATCCGTAAATGGTAAGACAGATTCCAGTTAAAAATACATAGCCCAGATATGGAGAGTGTTTCTGCTTAGCCAGCACATTTGGTTTGTGGGAATCTATTTTAATATATCAAAAAGGCACAGATGGGTGTGTGTGTGTGTAGGGAGGAAACAATAAGACAAAATCATGTAAGGGAGTGTCTCTGTTTGAAAATCGTTTACATCTACACAAATGTTGTGCTAAAATGCGAATTCTACGCTAAATCCAAAAATTGTGCTAACGTTTCCTTGTGTCCGGGAGCTTTTTGTACTTCAGATCAGAAAAGTTGTTAGGAATCTCTAATAAGAATATTCAGTTAACTTGTTTGCAATTTCTGGTGAAATGTTACCACAAAAAGGAAGACAATATATTGGGCTTGACTAGTACTGTTGCACAGACGTGAACTGGACTGTACACACCTGTCCAATATTTTATTTGATACTCGGCACAGAAATCTATAAATAGAACATCAACCATAAGGATTAAGTAAAGGGTTTTATTGCAGTGTGGCTACCACCCAGTCACTCAAGCCTTTATCAAAGGTCCACCCGCAAGTAATCAGGGTCTTACTCATCAACAAAATTAACCTGCTCTCACTGGCTGTACATTGGATTTGTACATCAATGGTGCCCACAATTTCATTTGAGATAATTCATTGACTTTTCTTTCAATGGGATTTTTATTTTTAAAACCAACTTGCATTTATAGAGAGCTCTTCACATATTTGGAGCACTTCATTAGAATTGCGGAGATATCAAGAGAGAGAATATTATAACAAGAGATGCAGTATTACATTCATAGAATCATAGAATCATAGAATGTTACGGCACAGAAGGAGACCATTCGGCCGATCGAGTCTGTGCCGGCTCTTTGACAGAGCAACTGACTTTTATTAACCCCACTCACCAGCTTTCTCCCCATAACCCTGCAAAACTGTCTTCCCCAGATACCTGTCCAGCTCTCTCTTAAAAGCTGTTATCGAATCGGACTTCACTGCCCTTTCGGGCAGATCATTCCAAATTCTAACAACTCGCTGAGTGAAAAAATTTCTGCTAACCTCCCCTCTGCTTCTTTTGGTAGATTGATCATCATCAATTAACATTGCAGCAATTATTTCAACACTATCTGCAAAAACAGAGGATAGGTAAGACTGATGATAATAGGTAATACAATGAACAATATGTGACATAATAGCATCTGGGGTGATTTCAAATTGCTATTATAATGTTCGAGTTGTGCTCTGTTGTGAACCACAGTATCTTTATTCTCACAGTTTATGATGTGAGCTGAACCCACTACAGTCAATTCACTTTATAGTGCATTCGTAGCAGTCTGGTGAAATTCTTTTTTTTGTGTGAATGTTGAGTAATCAATTCTGGAGGTTTACACTGTTGTTTGTGTGAATCTAAACACAATGGTTTCTCAGTCAACTCAGTGATTACAAATTGGTATTCTTTTGATTGTGTATATTTGTACATGAAATAAAATGAGCACCTTTCAAATAATTCTATCAAACATCAGCATTGAGAAATGAGATGAATCTCAATAGAAAATTTGGAAAGTGATAAAATGGTTTGTGAATGCAACATATATGTTCTCCACCACCCCCCCCCCTACCCACCCCACACACACACAAAAACAATAATAATAATAATCCTTGCATTTTGATACTGTAAAGTGAATTGACTGTATATTTTGTGAGCAAAACACGGCAACCGATTGCGCACAGCATTGTCCCACAAACCATCATGGATTGAAGTGACCAATTTTTTTTGAAGGAATTATTAATCCCGGGAAAAGCGATCCGTCAATTGACGAACAACTGGGTTCCTATTTACTGTGAGGTAAACAGAGGTTTGTGGAGTAAGGAAACTTGCCCAACATTTCGCCCTACTGGGAATTCGAACCCAGATCTCTCGCTTGCGAGGCGAGTGCTCATAACCACTGAGCTACAGGATTCCATGAATGCGGTTGTAGCTCTATATATTGAGAAGGAGGCATGCAGCTAAGCCCCATCATGGAGTCCTGTAATTCAGTGGTTAGAGCATTTGCCTCGCAAGCGAGAGACCTGGGTTCGATTCTCGGCAGGACGAAACCTTGGGCACGTTTCCTTACTCCACACACCTGATATTAATCCCTCAAGAAAAAAACCCAATATTAAATTGGTCACTTCAATCCACGACTGTTTGCGGGACACTGCTGTGCGCAATTGGCTGCCATGATTCGCCCACAAGAAAAAACAGTCAATTCACTTTACAGTATATACTGTGAAGCGCTTTGAGACGTCTCAAAGACGTGAAAAGCGCAATATCAAATGGAAAGATTACTATTATTATCATTGTTATGCTCATCTGACAGGTAACAGTGCAAACGTTAAAGGTGCATTGGATAAAGGAGGATAAAGGAGGACGCTGAACCAGAGAATGAGTAAGAGCAGATAACATCTTTCCGTTCTTTGACTGGTGTGTTTAATTGCTGAATTCTGTTCAGTTTAATTGTCAGTGTGTTTAATCAGTCTATTTATAATAATAATTCTCACATTTCCTATAGCGCTGATGGCTGACACTCCAATGCAGTGCTGGGGAGGTGCTGCCTTGTTAAGGCGGTGAGTCCTTCAGATGCGACATTAAATGGAGGTGGATCTTAAAGTTCCTATAGTACTATTAGAAAAGAGAAGAGTTTCTCCCGCGTCCTGGCCAACAATCCCCCAAATAAAATTGGTAATTTACTCCATGACTGTTTGTGGGGCATTGCAATGTGCAAACCAAACTCACTGCCATCTCTCCCCACAAAACCCAGTCCCCGCACTCTACAGTATATCTTCCTGACATGAAAGTCGCTATATCTAATGCAAGGATTATTATCGTTAATAATAATAATAACATGTTTCGCCCCCACAAAGTTAGAGGAATCAAACTTGCGGTATTTATCAGTTTAAGGATTCCGTTTAAGAAATACCAGACTTCTAGAACAGCAATAACATGTACAAGACACCAGCAAACCCTTGTCAGTGGTTACAAATATCGGCACAGTGCAATGAGAGATCATATTTTCTGTCCCTTAATATAATACACAGGAGGTCTTTCCAGTATCTTCCAGAGGGAAATGAAGGAGCCCGTAACTTTACTTCGCTTACTTCTAGACAGTGTGATTAGTTGACTTACCTATGCAATGAAGGCAATTATAATGTTCACATTAAGTCAAACTGGGCATGAACATTTCTGTGCTGACTAATGTCCAGGGTACATTGTTTTAAACGTCCTCTTTGAATCAAATCTGCATTTTGTCTTTGCTTTCCAGAAATAAGCAGATGTGAAGTTCTGCTTATTTCGTTTGGAAAGGCGATATAATAAAAATAACCCCTGTTAAACTCGGAATGAAGAGCCCACCCCAGCTCAAAGTCAGCTTTGATGGTAAATAGAAGTAGTAATATGACTTTCTTCGTGACGATCTGTACAACCAGAGGGAAAGGCAGATTATTTCTTGTGTTTTCTGGTGGAGAAAAATTCACGAGTGTATTTTAAGTAAAACAAACTCAGGAGGCTATTGACAAACTGTACTCTGGCTGTTGAATTAAAAGATTTAAAGCTTTAATGCTAGTTCATTGATGGGTGATTCACTGAGATTCACACACACACATATATATATATATCTATATATAAAGATGAAACGCTTGCGACTGGAAGCGTTAAACCACTCCACTATTCAAGGAATGGCTCGTGTTATTATTGCCCGAAAGTACTTTCATTGCTGCTGTATCAGGTTTCCTGGAGGTGAAGGGAAAGCGGACGGAAAATTAACAGCTTTATTCTCAACTCTTTTGCGCTGATTATCTTTGCATTTGCATTGATTGGAAGGAAGTTTCCGATGCGATCATAACGTTATCCACGACACATGGAGATGCAAAGAAGGAACACAGCTCTGTGCTCAATCTCAAACAGGACAGGGACATTGGCTCCAATTTCTACTGAAGATAACCACCAATATTTGATGCCCCTTTGCACGTTGCAGCTCAGAGGAATCCCCCCCCCAACCCCCCACCCCCAACCCCCCATCCAAGTGTGCCGTTGTTCTACGTTTGCAACTTGCATTTGCATTTCATTTGGATTGAACACTGAAACGAACTCCAAATTAAATCCTCGGAGCGTTGGAAGGAGAGAGTGAGAAGAGAGAGAGAGAGAAGAGAAGAGAAGGAGAAGGAGAAGGAGAAAGAGAAAGAGAGAGGAAGAGAAGACGTGAGCCTTTCAAGTTACCACCGACTGCGAGGAATTCGGCTCAGAAAGGGGTTGAAACGATCAAAGATGGAAAGCGATTGGGGGGGGAAAAAAAAACCCTTTTGCTCTGTCGAGTGATTTGAGGCCATTCATTCTCGAGTGCCCTCGTGAATGCAAAGGTCTGCGGTGGGTTCTATATCCGAACTGTTTGGGAATTCCGCTGGGAATGTGACAAATGCGTGACATTTTTTTTTTGCACAGAGGTGGGGGTGGGGGTGGGGGTGGGGGTTGGGGGGGGGGGTGGTGGGGGCATCTCATTTGGTTGCAAAAGAGCAAATCCGATTCCTCCCATTGGCCGTTGACAAACGAGGCGAGAGAGGGGGCAGAAACCTCACCGGGTATTTAGCCCATGAAAGAAAATGGGGAAGGTTAAAAAAGCTGAGTAGGGGGAAAAAAAAACATCCAGGTCCCTCGCAGGAGTTGGGGAAGACCAGGCGTTTCATTGGGACCTGTTTCTGAGCCCCTTAATAAGCCACCAATATGGTAAGCAAACACCTTTACATTCATCTTTCCCATCTGTTTGCGCAACGCTGGAATCTGTCTCTAATCGTATGAAGGACCCCCAACCCCCCCCCCCCCACCCACCCCCCACCCTCCATCCCCATCCCTGGAGAGTTCGCATTTTTTTTTTTGCAAAAAAACTTTTTAATGCATCTTTCCACCCTCCACCCTCCACCCCTGGGGAAAAAAAACCTCCTCTCTCTCTCTCTCTCTGCTCCCAACCCCCAGCTCGAGTGCAAACCCCCTTCTTGCCCCCACCGCCCACGTGAAAGGCACCGTAATCAATGCATTTTTTTGGGGGGTTGTAATTTATCCCAGAAAATATTTGGGATTATATAATGTTCATATAAAAGAGTTTGGAATTGATAACACAGTCCTGACATCCTCCCTGACGTGAAAGGCGCTATATATAAAGCATGTTCTGTTGCTGTTGTTGTTGTTGTTGTTGTTGAATCCCCCCCCCCCCCCAAAAAAAAAAGGTTGAAGTGATGGGTGACTGCAACAATTCCGATTATTTGAGGTGCTTAAATGGAATTCAACAGCTATTTTTTTATGTGTATTGAAAGAGATTTGGAAGAATGAATTGCTGGGAAAAATATATTTACAGTATGACCCAAAAGTCGTGACACCATTTGCAATGGTATCCATTACACTTATAACCTGCATTTAATTATAATGGGACAACGCTGGTATTGCGTTGTTAATGGTATTACCATCACGCTTACATTATGCATTTAATTGTAAACCTTTCGAGAAATTGTGATTTTAGGTAACAGGGTAGTTATCACGACTTTTTTTTTTGATGGTCCTGTGTGTTGCGAATGGGGATTATTTCGGTGCGCAGCAAAAAAAAATACAATCGTATGGTGTTTGGTTCTGTGTTCTTCCACACGCTGCAACTTCTTTGAATAGATATCACCTCCAACAGGGGCTGAAAAGCCACTGGATGTTGGTGGTCGAGTTTGCACGAAGCGCTCCTGCCATCTGTTGCTTGCGGGGTGGGGGAAAGTTGCATTGGAAATGCGTCCTGCGTTCGTCTACAGCGAAACGTGTACGAAACGACAATAAATCACACAAGAGGGCCAGATTTTTTTTTGCATTAAAACACACACACGTACGCAAAAGCAATGCACCGCATTACAACGCAGAGAGAGCGCAGTCAAGTGTTTCAACGCAGGTTAATAAAGATGGACAGCGACAGCTCTCCATCTGCAATAACGTCCACCAGAAGAGGAGGAGGAGGAGGAGGAGGAGGAGGAGGAGAACGCCTTCGAGAATTGTAGTGCAACGGTAAAAAAAAAAAAACAGGTTTCTAAAAGAAAACAACGAATGCTCAACTGCAAAAAAAAAAAGGTGGGGGAAAAAAAACAAAGTTTAAGAGATGCAAAAAAAGAGAAAAGCCACTGCGTTTTTTTTTTCTGTTGTTGCTGTGATTTGCGGTGAACTCTCTGTGTTCTCAGCACAACTCCTGCGATCTCAGTGAGTGAGTGAGTGAGAGGGAGAGGTTTTGGAGATGGATAAAAAGGCGCAGATTCGGGTTATAAATAGACCCGAGTGGTGGACGTGTGCACTTACGAGGCGCATTCCTCTGGACTAAGGTTTCTTGCATGAAGGACTCGCTCAGAATTGGGGAGCTGTACCCCCTCCACACACACACACACCCCACACCCCCGCAAATCTTTAACGGATCAAATACCAGAAGGAAAAAGACCTTCAGAAACCAGGAGGAGGAAAGACTCGCCGCCCACGATGCTCCATCAATAATATTATTCTTGATTCTCTCTGCTTTATCTCCCCATCTCGTACCAGGTCTTTCTTTTTGGAAGTGCATTCTTTTTACAAAGTCCTGTTACCCCCCCACATCCCCCCTCCACCCCCCATGTATTTCTGTTTGCACAGTGCACTCACCAACAACTGACACACGTCGTAGAAGTACTTCATTGGATTCCCTGCAAGTGTTTTAAGTGTTATTTCGACGTCTGGAGGATCCATGCGAGTGCCATCATTTTCATAGCAGATAATGAGTGATCCATTGCCATGTTTGGTGCGACGTCTTCTGTAACGTGGATGGAGTGAGGAGGAAGTTACTGGCATCAGACGTCGTGGCACTCGACTCATCTGCAAATAGAAAATAAAAACTAATTGCAAGAAAACAACAACAAGGGGTGGTGGTGTTGGGGGGTGGGGTGGGGTTGGGGGGTGGGGGTTGGGGTGGGGGACTTTGCGAGCACCATGTACTTGTTTGAATGCTTCAGTGTGCTTGTCAAAAGCCTGGGCAAAGAATCGACAACAATTTTTACTGACAATCATAGATTTATACAGCACAGAAGAAGGCCACTTGTCCCATCGTATCTGTGTCAGCTCTTTGAAAGACTATCCAAATGAATCCCACTTCCCTGCGCTCTCCCCATAGCCCTGCAAATTTGACCTCCCCAAATATCTACCTCTCTCTTGGAAGTTGTTATCAAGTCGGCTCGCACCCACCCATGAAGAAATATGTTGATCAAGAAATCAACGAGCACAAAAGTGTCGGTTATATTTTGATGACAAATGTTTTTGCCCGATATTTAGTGAGCTGGAATGACTGATAGGGCGTGAAGCGAAATTAACAGTAGACTTTTAGTAGCTAACGTGTATCTTAAAATATGCTGATTACTTTAAACGTTCTCTCTGGTAATTGAAACCTCCAAGGCAGCCCAACTACCCCTATTTGGAAAAGGATAATTCATCCAGTTAAAAATATCTGATCTTTGCTTCCAACTCAAGCTGCCTTTGCTTTGCCAAGCAGTTGCTTCTGTGATATTTACTACCACTCAAGACAGATCTGAACAGCCCAATCATGTGGTTCTGGAACTATTCGGGATCACAGGGAACTAGTCTTGAAAAGTCACTTTACAGTATATGCTGTGAAGCGCTTTAAGATGTCTGGGCGATGTGATAAGGTGATATATCAAATGCAAGGGTTCTTATTATGTTATTATTATTGAAATTGATTTGTCTCCTCTCAAACACCCTGCAATATTGTCATTATGAACGATTTTCTGAAATAAAATACCCTTTCCTCTCTATCGCTGCTCTTCAAAATATTAGCAAACACCTGATACACTATTGGCGAAGAGAAGGGACTTTCTCCTCCTGCCTTGGCCAGCAATCATCTGGAAATCAGTCATGGTCTTCACGGCTGTTTGTGGGTTATTGTTCAGTCCAAAATTACACACCAACTGTACTTCACAGCAACTACGTTAAAGCTAAGTAAAGCTTTTTGAGACATGTTGAGGCTATAGGTGCTATATCAAATGTAAGGCTTACAATGATTGCACTACAAGTATTACCCAAATGCATTAATTCACATCACCCCATCTCCCAATATAGTTTAACCTAAGGAAGGTCCAACATTCAAAACCTAATATATATTTCGATGGTGATTCATGTCATGAATAATAAAATTCCTTGCATTGGATGAACAGTATAAATCACCTAATTGAAACCTTAAGTCTCAAAGTGCTTCAGTGATTTGTTGTTAAGCGTAGTGACTGTGCATTTGTAGTCCGGACTTGAAACCACAAACCTTCCGACTTAGAGAATGGAGTTAGTTCTACCTAGTTGTGGAGTCCTGTAGCTCAGTGGTTAGAGCACTCTAACCACTGTATTATTAATATAACCATTATTAGTAGTATTATTAATATAACCACTATATTATTAATATAATATAGAGAGACCTGAGTTCAATTCCAGGCAGATCAGGGCGAAACCTTGGGCAAGTTTCCTTACTCCACACGGCTAATAATAATCCCTCCAAAACCAAAACCAATAATAAAAATTGGTCATTTTCAATCTACGACTGTTTGTGGGACATTGCTGTGCGCAATTGGCTGCCGCGTTCGCCCACAAATATACAGTCAATTCACTTTACAGTGCGTTCTGTGAAGCGCTTTGGGACGTCCTCCCGACGTGAAAAGCGCTATATCAAATGCAAGGATTATTATTATTATTACCTACTGAGCCAAGGCTAGTACCTAATGACAACATAAGCCCAAATGAGGCTATGGGGTAAGGTGAAATGGACTCCTGTGGCTGATTATGAGAGTTTGGGATTGATGGAATTTCACTCGGATGTTTTCTGCCCAACACCTCGTTTCCTTGCCATCTGGTCAGCTCAGCCCAAAATGACTTTGCTTGGGGGTATGTGCTCTCTGATTTGCTGCCCCAGAGAACCCACGTCAGCTGAAGACTGGAGGTAAATTCACAGGCAAAGGCACAATTTATACTTTTGCTGCTGTCGGAGTCAGGAGGAGTAGAGGTTGTGACTGTAAAAAGCCGAGGTAAGAAAACAGTTACGTGTGTTTGCATCCGACAACTTAACGTTTGCTCTCTGTCACCGAGGATGGAAATCAATCAATAATATAATACTCTTTCTTGTTGATAATCATTACTACGTTGTGCCCCAAATGGACGGTGTTTTGCAGATGTACCTCTTAATTTAAGTGACACGTCCTCAACACGTTCGCTAACTTATAGCAAATCCTTCCTCATCATAATATTCGACCAACGATTTGCACTGGATGTCACTGATTTTAGTGCAATATCTGGACCATTTATACCTCTACTCTGTGCCTATTTACCTGCATTTTTCACAGCTCTCTGTCTCCACTGGACAGAGATCAAAGGCTGTATCTGAGTTGCAACGAAATCGTTACACAGCGCTGGGGACGGAGAAGTGGTAAACTGAGTTTTTTTATTTTATTTGGATTAAATTGCCATTCGAAGGACCACGTTATACAGGGGGTCTGGATATTCCTTACAGTCTTTGCAGATGACCAAAGTTCCTCTCTCCGCAGCCCTTTGACGTTAAACATAACGTTAAATGTGTAAGTGAATGTGCAATTCAAAATATGCATTTTTTTAATATTTAAAAAAATATGAATGAACGCACCTCGACCCCAATATTGTTAGTCACTGGTTAATCCGGGTTGTGCCTTCCCCAGGACTCTGTTAATAACGTTTATTCGGATTATCTAAGAATGCCCCCCACCTCCACCCCCTCCTGAGTTGGTGTTTTCTTCGCTCTTCATCACCTGTGCGTTTCCGAACAGTTAAACCGTGTGGTAGTGGTGCGTTTCAGTCCCCAACGCCTGTCATGTCCTGGGATGGGGTCCAGAGCAACAAGAGTGGAGAAAGAGGGAGAGAAAAGGGGGAAAAGAATGGGGAGTGGGGGGGGGTTTGCAACTCGATTTGCCCTAAATTGCTTAAGGCGAAAGGGAAGACGAGGAGGGCAAACCGACACAGGGTCTAACTACACGTGGATTCACTCCCTCTGCTTTCTTGGAGCAGAGGCTAATGTTAATAATAATAATAATCCTTGCATTTGATATAGCGCTTTTCACGTCCGGGAGGACGTCCCAAAGCGCTTCACAGAACACACTGTAAAGTGAATTGACTGTATATTTGTGGGCGAACGCGGCAGCCAATTGCGCACAGCAATGCCCCACAAACAGTCGTAGATTGAAAATGACCAATTTTTATTATTGTTTTTGGTTTTGGAGGGATTATTATTAGGCTCTGTGTGGAGTAAGGAAACTTGCCCAAGGTTTCGCCTGGAATTGAACTCAGGTCTCTCGCTTGCAAACCGAGTGCTCTAACCACTGAGCTACAGGACTCCACACCAGCTACTCACCAGCTGGGGGTTGGAGTCACCCAGAACGCCAGGAGAGTTGCATAAGAAAACCGTAATAGCCTCAGCAAGGCAGGAGATCCAGCATCTCCTTAAATGGTTACACGAGATGTACTTACTCCAACTTTGAGTTTGCAATTCAGCAGCTCAAGTTGACACGCTAACCTGACTGACTTATTTTTTTTCATATTAAAAAGCCCCTGCCTTGTAGAGAGTTGTTGGCTTGGATCCAGAAGTGAAGTTTCAGTGTATTTTAGTTAAGAGTTGGAGGCGGGTTGTGAGATGCTGTCCGGTTTATTTTTACCTTACTCTATCTCCCATATTGCAGTCTGGAATTAACCATTTCCTTTTACAGTTCTTACTTGTAAAAAGTCGCCTGCAGAATTATTTTAGGGAATTGCCTACAACGATTTTGTCTAAAAGAAAATGCACAGTCACTACAATGTAGAGTAAAATCACGTGAAGCCCTCTGGGTCACCTCGGTGATGTGATATTGCGATATATTCAAATGCAAGGATTAATTATTATTTATTAGTAGTGTTAATAAAAAAACCTACCTCCTAGTCCATCAAACCTGCCACTTTGGGATATCCTTTACTGGATAAGAGTTATGATCCTTTTGGCCACCAGTATTTTATCCACAAAAGAAAATACCTCTAGGTATTCTAAATTGTAATTCAATGTGTGTAATAATAATAATCCTTGCATTTGATATAGCGCTTGTTGACAGAATCTATTGTAAAGTTAATTGACTGTATATTTTGTGGTTGAAACATCAATTACTTTAGCAAACTGCCTTTGGAAAAAATCCAAACTGATCTTTTAAATAGGGTTTCTTCAGAATTTGTGGCTTCAGAGTTTTAGACTACAGTGTGAGAGACCTAATAAAGAGATTGCCTTATTAGGCCCAATACATGGTGCAGTCTAAAAACGAACATCTTCATTTAATTACAGAATTTCTTTAACTCCCTCTGACATCCTCTTTTATTCGACCAATTTTATTTGTGGGTTTTTGATCAGGACACTTGGGTAACTTCCCCTCCCTTTTTGAAGAGCGTGATGGGATCTTTAATATCCACTTGAACTTGGTATTTCCTTCCTGATATCCCTCTACTCTTCTCATACTTGTTTCAGCCTCTAGCATGAGGCACAGTTTCTCAATTAGAAACAGTATTGATATTAATGTAATACAGTATTACTAACAAACATATTACATTGCAATGCCTCAAGTTCATATCAATGCAGATGTAAATGAACAGTAATAATGATAATACTAATCCTTGCATTGGATGTAGGACTTTCTCAAGTCTCCAAGACGTCTCAAAGAATATACTATAAAGTGAATTGACTGTATATTTTGTGGGCGAAATGTGGCAGCCAATTGCACATAGTAGTGTCCCACAAACAGTCGTGGATTGAAATGATCCACTTTTTTCTTTGGAGGAATTATTACCCCCGGAAAAGCAATCCGCCAATCGACTAAAAACTGGTTCCTACTTACTGCTAGGTAAACAGAGGGGTGTGGAGTAAGGAAACTTGCCCAACATTTCGCCTGCCGGGAATTGAACCCAGATCTCTCGCTTGCGAGACGAGTGCTCTTAACCGCTGAGCTTGCAGGACTCCTAATGCAGAGTCCTAAGACAGAGCTACTGATGCAGTAAGTCTCAGAAAAGTAGCTGCAGAACATGTTTTACAAGGGAGAAAATGTGGGGTCTATGACACCTGCATTGTCACCTGCAAACCACATTACGTGACCCACACATATTAAGGAAGCGGGTAAAACCAGACATATCAAGGAAAGAGAAAGACACTGACAACATCCCCCTCCCCCCTCCAAACACTCAACCTTTCTCATCCGCATTGAAAGCCACGATTGTGCGAATGTGAGGAAAAAAACACACTTGCACTGATACTCGCTGGCATCATTGCGACAATTATATTGAAACACAGCTTGGGTTTATATGAATCTGCCGCCCATTTCCCTGTAGAGTGCCATGATGGTTCTAATGAAATGTAGACATGGGTCAGGTGTGTATTCAGTGACAAAGTGAATTGTCAATAACATGAATAGTCTATTGGTCTACTGTGTTTTAAAATCCATGTGTGCCGACCTGCCTGTTGTGTGTACTCTACTGTAGGTCACTCTCCTTTCCTTTTCTTGCAGCCAATGACAGAACAACAAGCAGACGCGAGGTCTTTCCTCAGCGAGGAAATGATCGCCGGTAAGTGTCATTCAATACAAAATACCAAATTACATTTGTATAGCGCCTTTCACATCGGGAGGACATCCCAAGGCGCTGATAATCCAAAGTCCATCATAGTCCATTTGCACTTTAAACCGTTTTACATACAATTTGCAAACCCAGGAATGAAAATACAGATTGCTTTTCAGGGGCATGTGTTTTGTTAGGTTTAGTATTTGTAAAGGATGTTAGATTTGTTGGAATTCGTGTACTAACTAACCTCAGGTCAACGTTGCTAATTTGCTCACTGGTTCAGTGAAAATTCCTGTTCGCCATGCATGTTTTTTTGGAACCGGCAAAATAAGAGTTAGAATCACAGAATCTTACAGCACAGAAGGAGGTCATTCGACCCCTTGTGCCTGAACCGGCTATTTGAAAGAGCTATCCAACTAGTTCCACTCCCCTGTTCTCACCATAATGGTAAGAGTCAGCTTATGGAATAAGTCCCGTGAACAAAACGTTCATGGAAAGGAACACATCATAGATACCCTGCCAATCGCTGTTGTCTCACAAAGAGGAAGTAGGAATAGTAAAAGTGTAAACATGTCGGTGCCACTCTAAGAGTTAAATGGAGCATGGGATATTAGATTCTATATGCAGATGTGTGCAGATGTGTCATCATGTGAAGGATTGTGGCATACAGGATATAATGGGGTGAAAAATGTCACATTCCATAACAAGTTTGACATGATACCAAATGTCACAGTTCTACCTCACCGTTCTTGATAACTTATTGGAAAACATCCAAAGAGCACTATCAGAATGTCCCTCTACAGGATGAAAAAAGTAATGTTTCTCAATAAATCTAATGTGGTAATGGTCATATTGAAACTGTTGCGAAGAATTACATTTTCGTTCCTAAATTACATTGAAAATCATTCCAGGGTAGAAAACCTTGTTCTGTATTGGATGCTCCTGTTTTCACTGGATAACTTATGATCCAGTAGTTATCCAGTAAAAAAACAGCATGGCATTCTCCACAATAATGAAGAAGCCTCTTTGGTTCATTTGATCTCATCTTTTTAGAATACCTGCCCTACCATTTTCCCATCATAGTACTGAACTATTATTTTAATGTATAGCATCCAGGCCTCAATTGCCCTTCCTGATAACCTGTTACAGTTGTTAATTATCCACTGGTTAAATACATATTTCCTGGTACAAAACAGAGATCACTGGGAATACTCAGCAGGTCGTGCAGCATCTATGGAGAAAGAAAAGTGGGTCAACGTTTTGGGTCCATGACCCTTCATCAGAACAGATTTCCTGGTGTCTATCCTAAAATTGCCCTTTGCAATCCTAAACCTGTGTTCTCTTGTTCTGCTGTCTAGGGGCATCCAAAAGTATCATTCCGAGTTTATTTTCTCTATCCCATTTAAAACCTGATATTGTTATGTGACATTCCTTTTGAGACATCTCCTTTCAAGACTGAAGAGGCCCAGCTTGTCTAACCTTAGCTCATAGCTCATTCCTCTTACAATTGGGATTGTCCTCATTGCTCGCCTCTGCATTAAAAATGTGAGCTGTATTCAAACTACTTCTGAACTATCTGTCTCAGGCAATGCTCTCATTTAATTGTTTCGATAATGACACAGTCATAAATACTTATATTTTGTTCCTACAGAGTTTAAGGCCGCATTCGACATGTTTGATGCTGATGGTGGTGGTGACATCAGCACCAAAGAGTTGGGTACTGTGATGAAAATTCTTGGTCAGACTCCCACCAGAGAAGAGTTGGATGCCATCATTGAGGAAGTGGATGAGGATGGTGAGAATGTTTCTATCATAAACACTCAGCTTTGTTGCTCTTTTCAAGGCTGTGGGTAGCTAACAGTGGGCAGGTCTTACAAATCATTGTCCTTTCAACATAGGAAGCGGTACCATTGACTTTGAAGAGTTCTTGGTGATGATGGTGCGGCAGTTGAAAGAGGAGGCGAAAGGAAAGTCTGAGGAAGAGCTGGCAGAATGCTTCCGTGTTTTTGATACGTGAGTTGAAGTTTCGTAACTTGGCAGGACCAGCAGAGAACAGGATTTTGAGACAATCATTTCTGCTTCTACAGCAGAATGAAGATACATTTGTAAAATAAATAAAATAATTTTGCCCACAAAATATACAGTCAGTATACAGTATATTCTGTGAAGTGCATTGAGACGACTCGAATACGTGATAAGGCGCTATATCAAATGCAAGGATTATTATTATTGTAGTAATTGTGTTATCCATTTAAAGCTAAATTTATGTCAAATGACAATTTTGTATTTGATCTCGGTTCAGATTCCAGGATCAGAAAGCATTTATTTAAGGAAAATTATACATTGTTCTTAATATTATATTAATGTGACATGAACTTAAAATGATATTTCAAACTCAATGTTCACATCCATATTTGGCATAAACATTTAGTCTACTAAACACAGTTTATTAATTTTTTTTCTGGGCTGTCAATACATGTGAAACTGATTACTATGCGTTAAGAGCATCCAAAACAATCTGAATGTTCCATGCATCCTACCAATGCATGGAAATCCTTGTATATTGGAATGGAAAGCACACTCTCTCCCTGGAGATATTCATCTTGCTTACCTAATTCTGGAGAGTATTAGGCACAGACTGGTAAGAACCAAGGCTTGGGAGACCCCAGAATGTACATTGGGGTACAGCTGGAGTTTAACCAGATAAAACCACATAGCTTGCTGGAGTAGTGCTGGTCTGCCTGGCTCAGGAACCAGACCCAGTATAAATGTCCTGGAGGTAAAAGTACAATCACTAACCCACAAAGTCACCCGATTAAAAAAAAATTACTTTTCAATCATCTAGCAGGATAGAGTACAGATACGTTTCCCAGTGCTATGCAATGGAAGTTAGAAGGTAGTTTTATCTGTAATGCTATAAAATATTAGGATAGTTTTTTTCGGGTTTAGGTGGTTCTGGCTCTTTACTTAGAAATGCAGTTACATATTAATTCGGCCTTCCAAGAGTATTAAGAATTAAGGATATGTCATATATGGAGTTAAGGCAGAAGGCCTGGGTTGATGATTGATGCTTTGCACATTGATTCTAGGAATGCTGATGGTTACATCGACCGTGATGAATTGAAAGAGATCCTGATGACGGCTGGTGAGCCAATCACAGATGAAGAAATTGATGAACTCCTAAGGGATGGAGACAAAAACAATGATGACAAACTCGACTTTGATGGTATGTGTGTATGTGTTATGATGGTAAAATCAAATAGCATTTATATGTTCCTTGAGCTATTCGTACATGCTTGTAAATAAACATATTTTAATGAAATATTAATTTCTTTATTTTACAGAATGGATGAAGATGATGGAAAACATCCAATAAATATCCAACATTCCTCAATAATTTTTTCCTGTTTCATTTCACAAGTTTGAAAGAATCCATTAAAATGTGCCAATATACACAAAGCAAATATTCTGTCTTATGGCTCTGCTTCCCAAGTCCATCAAACTTAAAACATCTTAAGAAGTGATGTAATAGTACCTTTTACCTAAATCTCCTGCAACATTTTGGTGCAGCTCTCTAGCCAACTAATCCGAAATATATGTGATGGCTAAAAGGAATGCAAAATCTGTTAGTAGAATTTATGCTATATAATTGAATTGCTGACATAGCTGCTGTAGTTCATTGGTATAAAGGAAGGAGCTACACTCACCCATCTCTGTATTGAAGGATAAATGATTTTGCTAACTGCAAATAACGCAGTACTGCATATTCCAAAATGGTACCAGAACTTTTCCGAATAAAGTTGTTGTCATCTTTTTTCAGCCACTTGCTGTTGTATTTCATTTCCAATAAGCACCGATGCAATGGTTCGATCGCTGCTGTGTATTGCACGTTTATAGAATAATAATAATAATAATTGCATTTGATATAGCGCTTTTCATGTCTTCTAGATCTCCCAAAGCGCTTCACAGAATAGACTCTAAAGTGAATTGACTGCATATTTGTGGGCGAACGCGGCAGCCAATTGTGCACAGCAATGTCCCACAAACAGTCATGGATTGAAAACGACCAATTTATTATTGTTTTTTGTTTTGGAGGGATTATTAGGTGTGTGGAGTAAGGAAACTTGCCCAAGGTTTCGCCCTGATCTGCCTGGAATTGAACTCAGGTCTCTCGCTTGCAAAGCGAGTGCTCTAACCACTGAGCTACAGGACTCCACAAGTTAGGCTCATTCTCTCTTTACAACATCAATCTCTGGTTCAGTGTTTCTGCTTTATTTTTCATTTTTCGCGTATTGTATCGCACCATATTGATACTCATTGATGTACTTTCATGCATACCTTGTAGATCAATTATTCTATTTCATCGTGAAGATGGGTTAAGAACTCCTAGATAATAGCAAACATTTTGAGCTACTGCAGTTATAATAATAATAATCCTTGCATTTGATATAGCGCTTTTCACGTCGGGAGGACGTCCCAAAGCTCTTCACAGAACACACTGTAAAGTGAATTGACTGTATATTTGTGGGTGAACGCGGCAGCCAATTGCGCACAGCAATGTCCCACAAACAGTCGTAGATTGAAAATGACCAATTCTTATTATTGTTTTTGGTTTTGGAGGGATTATTATTAGGCTCTGTGTGGAGTAAGGAAACTTGCCCAAGGTTTCGCCCTCTGCCTGGAAACCTTGGGCAAGTTGGTGATACTGTACAGTGGAGAATTGGGAGCACAAATCAACAGGAAAAAGCTTCCAAAATTCAATACATTTCGGTCAATTAATGATCCTGAATCTGTGCAATAAGGCAAAAACTCTTCAATAATTGGATCCACATCAGTGCTATTTTGAATGTAAGTTGTTGTAACAGTACAGTCGTATGTCTTCAAATGGCTCAGTCGGTAAACACATCTCATGGTGTTGGAAATAAGCCGTGGACCGGACCAAACCCGGATCCAATCCCTCGTGGGCTGTTATGATTTACTTAACTGGAATTAAATGGGGTAATAGTGGTCGGACTGTAAAACTGGTCAGACTTTGGGCGGAATCAGCCCCTCATTAACCTCGTGGAACTCTCTGTGGAAACTCTTTTGCTTCTTCACGAAATTGCATTCGGTTGGTTTTAAGACACGCGAGTGGGTCGTGTTTTAGAGGACGTCTAATCCCGCGGAGGGGAATAAGATAAGGACAACGGCATTAAAAAAAAAGGTTATTTTGAATTTCCGTTCATTTTAGGAGAACGCACCGTGTTTTTTGGGTGTTTTTTGGGTGGGGGGGAGGAGGGGGGGTTTTGGAGTAGCCGTTTCGTTAACGCATTGACATGTATTTAGAGCTGCAAAAGAAAACTCGAGACATGTTACAGAAATAAATGATAGAGACCCCCCACACACACAGACCTCACGTCTCTTTATTTTTTCCCCAAATAACGGGGGGTGGAGGGTGAGGATGCAATCAGTCACTGAACCGGTTTAGCATCACCAAGTCAAGACCCAACAGCCTCCCCCCTCCCCCACCACCAAAAAAAACACTGACATCGCTTTCAGTTTCACTTCCAAACGTTTCCACTCGCCGAGGAAATGGCTGCTCCGATTGTGACCCGCACTCTTGAGGAAGAGTTGATCTGCTCCATCTGCTTGAGTGTCTACGCGGAACCGGTTTCGCTCAGCTGCGGCCACAGCTTCTGCAAGGCGTGCGCGGAGGAGTTCTGGCAGTCCCAAGAGGCCGGGGGCAGGTTCTCCTGCCCCGAGTGCCGGGTCGAGTTCGGCCAGAGACCTGCCCCGAGCAGGAACGTGAAGCTGTGCAGCATCGTGGAGCAGTTCCAGAAGGTCCAGGTCACTGCAAACCAGGTCTGGTGCGACTTCTGCTTGGACCAGCCTTTGGCCGCGGCCAAGACCTGCCTGAACTGCGAGACCTCCCTGTGCGACCTCCATCTGCAGAAGCACCTGGAGAAACCCGCTCTGAAGCATCACCACATGGTGGAGGCCACCCTGTCTCTGGCGGATAGAAAGTGCCCCGAGCACCAGGAGCTCCTGAGGTATTACTGCGGCAACGATGGCGTTTGCGCCTGTGTGACTTGCTACGTGGCCGGAGCCCACAGGAACCACGACGTGAAGACACTGAAAGAGGCGCACGACGAGAAGAGAGCCGCCTTGAGCCAAACCCTTCGGCGGCTGAACGAAGCGGGTCGGCTCACGGACGGCGCTTCCGCGGAGTTGGCGGACAACGTGAGGGCGGTGGAAGGGACGGGGGCGGACATGAGGGATAAAATCGCTGCTCTGTACCGGGAGATCGGAGCCTTTCTGGGAAAGAGGGAAAGGGAGACCCTGGATTGCATTAACGCCCAGGAAAGCGACGTCGTCAATCGGCTGAAAGTCCAACAGGAAGAAGTGGAGTGCAGGAAGCGCGGCATTTCCAAAGCCCTGAAGCAATTGCAGGTCCTGTACGACCAACGCGACCCTGTGGTTTTCTTCAAGGAATTCGCGGCTCGGGATCCGGGGATAATCTCCGCCGAAGAGCACTCCACCCAAGTGACCAAGGAAAGCCTGGACATGAAGATGATGTCGGTGATGGTGCAGAAGAAGCTTGAAGGTGTTGCGGGAGAAACCGATGCCTTGTTAGCAAAGCACGGCTTCCACACACAAGGCGGCTCACAGCTGACTTTCGACCTGAACACGGCCAACAGGCATTTGGTGTTTTCGAATGATCTGAAGACGGTATCGTGGAAAGGTGAACTCGAGCCGTACCCGAACTCCCCCGAACGGTTCGAGCACTATTCCCAAGTGCTTTGCTCTCAGGGCTTTTCCTCGGGCTGTTATTACTTTGAAGTGGAGATCCCACGCGAGCACACAATGTACCTGGTTGGAATCACGTACAAAGAGATCAAGAGAAAGGAAAACAGAACCGCGGCACTCGTGGGCTTCAATAATTTGTCCTGGAGTGTTTTTTGGCGTAACCGTAATCTGATAGGATTGCACAACTCGAAAGGAACGCCCCTGACATACACTGCGTATCCTTGTAAAATTGGCATTTGGCTGGATTACGACTCGGGTGTGTTGTCCTTTTACCAGGTAGCTGACACACTCACACACTTGTGCACGTTTGAAACTGTATTCACTGATCCAGTTTTTCTTGGGGTTTGTATTCAGGGGGCAGGATCGTTTGCTACTCTGTGCTAGTAAACCAATACCTCTCATTTTATGTGTTCAGGGTTGAACGTGGCACCAGTAAATTGCTTATATCATGTCACAGTGACTTTTTATTCTTGAGCTTGATCTATGATACTTCGACCAAAAATGTTTCACAGCCAGAATGTATTAATAATCTTCATTGTCAAGTAATCTGAATATGATTTGGTATTTTATCAGAAAAGCCATGCAAATGTATTATACATATGAAATAAATGTCATCTCCCTGATGGATTGGAAATAAATGATTCAGAAATCAGTCTATTGCTTTCTGAATTATTCACATCAGACTAGATTATTCAATTTGATTATATTCTGTTTCTCAATATGTTACCTATGATTGATGACTCCATTCACATTCCAATTATTTGCATTGAACAATCAATAATACGAGTGCACATTCTTCTGCTTTTCCTTTAAACTTTTGACATCAATTCACTCCCGTGACTCCCGTCTATTAACTAACCATGAACTTAAATATTTGCAGTTTGATTCATTTAATACTACCCTTTAATGTTTTAGTAAGTCAAGGGAATGTAAAGTTATTTTAAATAAATAAAATCCTGGATATTTCAATAGCTTGCAAAGTGTTAATAGTTTTGAAAGAATGTGTGGATGTAGTAAAGGATTAGCCAGGAAATAAACATGACAAAATAATAATGCACTAACCAATAAAGGAAGAGATAATATATGCGGGGAGGGGTCTTTATGAAGTCTTTAGGTGCAATTTGAATAAGATGCGAGTGTTTTAGTACCTATTTTAGTGAATCTCTTTGTTGTGTATCATTGGCCTAAATTTAATAAATAGTGTTTAATGCACAATCGGCTTCGGTATCATAATTTCTGCCTTATATAGAAGCCTTGGAAAGATGGAGAGAAAACATGCACGACCAACAACGAACAGAGCTGTTGTTTGCCCGGAGCCGAATGTCCTCTCACCTCCTCACGCCGCCTCAAACCTCTCACCTCGTTCCTCACTCCCTCTCCAGCCACTTCCTTCCACCTGCTGAGCATACTCCAACCCCTCTGCTCTCACCCTCGCTCGAATCTCACCCCTTCCCCACCCTCCCCCATTATCACCAGGATTGCCAGAAATCGAAATAATTTTGCAGCCCAAAGTCAATTACTGTTCCTGAAGTAGCCCAATATTATGTGTTGCCGCCCATAGGGAGCAGAGTGGCCAATTTCGGTCGGTGCTTTGAAACGCTGAAAGAAAGTGCGGTGGAAGGGGGGGGACCGGAAGTTTTGCAGGTCAGCCTTCCCAACTCTCCACAAGCCGCAGGTCATCCGGACCCCTGCAGCTCGTGTCCTCTTCCCGCACCAGGCTCCCTGACCCCATCAGCCCCACCCTCGCCCGGCTCCACCGGCTCCCCATCCCCCAGAGGATGGGAGGTCAAAATCGTGGTCCTCGCCCTTAAGGCCCTCCACGGCCTCGCCGCCCCTTAGCTCTGCCACCCGCTGAGCCTGCGTCAACCTGTCCGCTGCCCTCCGCTCAGCAGGTCGTGACCTGCTCCACGCCCACCCCCCCCCCCGCCCCAACCCCACACCCCCCCCCCACCCCCGGCCAGGCCTGCCCCACCCACTGTGGGCGGTCGGGCTTTCCGCCCCCACCCTCTGCAACTCCATCCCACAGTCCCTTCACCTCGCTCGCTCCCTCTCCCTTGCCTCCTTCAAGGCGCGTGTCCTCTTCGGCCGAGCCTTCGACCGCCCTCGTGCCCCCCCGACCACCCTCGTGCCCCCCCGGACACCCTCTTGCCCCCCCGGCCACCCTTGTGCCCCCCCGGCCACCCTCGTGCCCTCCGGCCACCCTCGTGCCCCCCCGGACACCCTCTTGCCCCCCGGCCACCCTTGTGCCCCCCCGGCCACCCTCGTGCCCTCCGGCCACCCTCTTGCCCCCCCGGCCACCCTTGTGCCCCCCCGGCCACCCTCGCGCCCTCCGGCCACCCTCGTGCCCCCCCGGCCACCCTTGTGCCCCCCCCGGCCACCCTCGTGCCCTCCCGGCCCTTGTGCCCTCCCGACCACCCTCGCGCCCTCCGGCCACCCTCGCGCCCTCCGGCCACCCTCGCGCCCTCCGGCCACCCTCGCGCCTTCCGGCCACCTCGCGCCCTCCGGCCACCCTCGTGCCCCCTCCGGCCACCCTCGCGCCCTCCGGCCACCCTCGCGCCCTCCCGACCACCCTCGCGCCTTCCGGCCACCCTCGCGCCCTCCGGCCACCCTCGTGCCCCCCCTCCGGCCACCCTCGCGCCCTCCGGCCGCCCTCGTGCCCCCCCTCCGGCCACCCTCGCGCCCTCCGGCCAACCACCTTTAAAAATTAAAATAACGAGTGTATTTTTTTACACACACACACACACACGCGCGCACACGTCGGTCCCGCGACAACACCGCGGGGGGGGTCGGTCGGGGTGGCCGTTGGGCCTGAGCGAACGCGCGCACGCGCACTGCGCCAGACCAGCCGCCCCGGCGCACGCGCACTCGGGGTATAACGGCGGGTCAACGGGGGGGGGGGGGGGTGAAGGAGTAGCCGGATTGGGCGGGTTCACGCCTCATTGGGCGGGTTGGCGCTAACCGCCCGTGTGAGGAGTAGGGGGGGAAATACTGCCCTTCGCGTTTGGCGGGCGCCTCATTTTAATTCGAGCTCAGGCTGTCAAACCTTACCGCCCCCGCACACTCCTCCTCCTCCTCTCCCCTTACGTGTAATATGGGGCTACTTTGGGGCGGGGATGTTGGGCTACAAACGGGTCCCCGGGGGGTGGGGGGGGAGGAGGCAGGCGCGCGCATGCGCGAGAAGCAGCCGCCGCCGCCGCCGCAGCAGTCGCCGCCACCACCACCGCCGCCGCCGGCCCCGGTGACTGGAGAGCCGAGAGCAGGAGGGACACCGCCGCCACTCGTTTACCTCAGGCAACGGTAAGGCCTCGCCTTGGGCACGGCCTGGGGTAAGGGAATTTCCCGGCGGGTAGCGCCAAAGGGAGCGATGGTGGTGGTGAAGGGGGTCGGTGGTGGGCGGCGGGCGGGAGGGAAGGGGGGGGGGGGAAGGTTCTCTGTAATGGCCGCCGGTGAGCGAGAGGGCGCCGCTCAACATGGCGGAGACAAAAGGAGGGTTGAGAGGGAGAGGGGAAAGCGGCCGCTGGGTGGCAGCGGGGCTTTTTTTTTGTGTGTGTGCGTGTGTGTGTGTGTGTGTGTGTGGGGTTGGGGGGAGAGAGAGAGAGAGAGAGAGACGGAGACGACCCGCGGTCCTCCTCGCGCTTGAGCGGTGCGGTGATTTTTCCCGGTCGAGAAGGATGGAGGATCTGCTCCTCCTTCGCTCCCCCCACCCCCCTCCTCCCTCCTCCCTCCCCGGTTGCTTGGAGTGTGATGGTCTCACAGGAAAGCCTGGAGCCGGGATGTGGGGGTGGTGGGGGAGGGAATGTGTGTGTGGGGTGGTCTCTGGTGTGTATGTGGGCGAGATTGTCTGTGGGATACTCCCTGTGTGTGTATGGGGGGGGGGGTTGGGTGGGATAGTGTCACTGTGTGTGTGTGGGGGGGGGTTGGGTGGGATAGTGTCACTGTGTGTGGGGGTTTGGGTGGGATAGTGTCACTGTGTGTGTGGGGTGGTGTGGTGTGTGTGTGTGGGGTGTGTGATAGTGTCACTGTGTGTGTGGGGGGGGTTGGGTGGGATAGTGTCACTGTGTGTGGTGGGGATTGGGTGGGATAGTGTCACTGTGTGTGTGGGGGTGTGTGATAGTGTCACTGTGTGTGTGGGGGTGTGTGATAGTGTCACTGTGTGTGTGGTGGGGGTTGGGTGGGATAGTGTCACTGTGTGTGGGGGGGATTGGGTGGGATAGTGTCACTGTGTGTGTGGGGGTGTGTGATAGTGTCACTGTGTGTGTGGGGGTGTGTGATAGTGTCACTGTGTGTGTGGTGGGGGTTGGGTGGGATAGTGTCACTGTGTGTGGGGGTTTGGGTGGGATAGTGTCACTGTGTGTGTGTGGGGGTGTGTGATAGTGTCACTGTGTGTGTGGGGGGGGGGAGCGGTTGGGTGGGATAGTGTCACTTGTGTGTGTGTGGGGCGGGGGGGGTAGGGGGTTGGGTAGGATAGTGTCACTGTGTGTGGGGGTGGCAGGTCCGCCCGCATTTATTCTTATTTATCGGCATTACGAGCCCGCCCGGGTCGGTGACGTTTTCTTTCCATAAATAAGTCGTCTTAGATGTTGAAGCCGTTTTTCTCCTCCCCCCCACCCCCCGCCTTGCAGAGAGAGAGAGAGAAAAAAATGACGAGGGTACTTTCGTCAAAGCGCCAAGTGTCCTGGCCGGGGGCTCTGAAATGCCAAAAGATGCTGCCGAGAGCAAACTTGGAACCAAGTCTGGTCTGAGCGCAGCTTTTCAGCCCTCCTTTGCAGTCAAATCTTTTGCCTTAATCTCAATCTCGGCGCCTAAAGCGGCTTTTTGTGTCTGGGTTGTGCGATCCGTGGGATGAAATGAAATGAAACGAAACGAGGAAAGCGCATTGGGGGAAGAAGTGTTTTCGGTCGCTCCTACTGTCTTATCGTGTGTCACCTGGGTATGAGTGGGTGACCCTGAGACGCCGTCTGGCGTGGAGGGCGCTATATAAATCCAAGTTGTTGTTGTTGCACATGACCGCCTCTTACCCTCATTCACGGACATCTCTCACCCACCAATCTGTCCTTGGACTCCAGTTTCTTTTTTTTATATATAAAAAAAAACAAGGGTGAGATTTCCTAGCACAAGGTGGGGGAAAAGACACTGAAAGGCAACCCGACCCTTTGGGTCTTAAGAGTTTACACTGTTCGCCCTTTCCTACAGCTCCCATTGCGATTTAAGAACTGGGACAACAGCAATTGAAGTTATCCGTAGATATACAGCAGCAACTGTGCATTGTCTCATGAAGTACTCAACATCAACGCAGCCATGAGTCATTTGCACTGCGTTTTTTTTTAAAAAAACATTATGCACTCTGCAAAATATATATATATATAACACACACACAGACACACGCGCTGCAACAAAAAAACCCCGAGTGTTCCGATTCATTTGGATCCACTGATTCATTCAGTCGTTCGTTCGAGGATTGACTTGTGATAACGTGCGGTTTAAGGTTTGGGGATTGAAGTCGGTTTGCGACTCGGGGTTCAAGCATTTTAACGTGTGGGGAGTGGGGGGAAACCCTCTCTCCCCCCCCCCCCCCTCCAGCCTCAGCCCCACAACCCGCATGTTCCTGAGGAAGCCGTTTTGCTCTGTGGCTTCCAGTGGGTGGAGAGAAAGTGCGCGGACGGGGACCCCCTGACCCGTGTGTGGGGGGGAAAGGGAAACACACACTCCGCGGCCAAAAAAAACACAACAACTGCCTTTACCTCTGGCAACGGTAAGGCGTCCCCCCCCCGGTATATATGTGCGAGAGAGAGCGAGAGATTGAGAGAGAGACTCGGCCTCTTGTTGTTTATTAATGGCCGCCCCCGCTCTTCCAGGTTGAAGGGCGCACTCGCAACATGGCGGAGACAAAAGGGGAGAGAGAGAGGGAGGGAGGGAGAGGGAGTGGGGGGCGTGGGATTGACTGTGTGTGAGTGGGTGGGGAGAGGGGGAGTTGCTCCGACCCGACCCCCGCAGCGACTCATGAGCGGCGCTGCGGTGGCCCGACGGTCGGTTCCTCCGGGTTTAAGATGGCGAGGCTTACAACCCCCCCCCTCCCCTCCCCCCCCTCCCTCCCTCCCCGGGCCTCGTGGGCCGATGGGCTTCGCCCGCAGAGAAAGCCCGGGGCGGCTCACCCCATCCCCGTCAAACCCAGGCCGCCGCCGCCGGCGCTGTTCGGCGAATCGTGGGGTCGGGCTGACGCGAAAGGCGTCGTTGTTGTCGTCGTCGTCGTCATTATTATTATTAAAAATCAAACGAAAGGGTTCTGATTTCTTTTTTTTAAAAAAAAACACACACACACACACACGCACACAGCAGCGATTTGGCCGAACAGCCCCCAACGATTTCTCATCGAGACGCTTATCGGTCGCGGTCCGCGCGAAGACGGTCGTCGTGGTATCGTGCGGGACCGGGCGATGCCCTGGTCTTCACGCCCGCGCACGCGCAAAAAAAATAATTGCCATCTGTCATGGTCCGTTGCCTGTTTCTGCTGTTTTTTTTTAGAAAATGCTGTACCTAATCTAACATTAGGATACTCTGCGTTGCGTCTGTGTACTCCGTCACTTCACTTCCACAACGCCTAAAAACAGCCACGGTTTAAAACATTGGAATAACGAACAAATCGAGGAAAGTAGCCCCGTTCTCTGAAACGTTGCATTTTCGTGTTTGGTTTGTTTTACGCTGAATAGATCTAAATATCTCAAAAACTGGATTACAAAGTTATTTTCTCAACATTCAACATCTGCGCAAAACCATTCGTGCCGAAAATAATCCTTGCATTTGATGTAGCCGCTAATCACGTTATCAAGACATCTCAATGCACTTCACGGGATATACCGTAAAGTGCAGTGACTGTATTTTGTGTGTGATTTATTTTGAGATGTGGCAGTCAGTTGTACACAGCGATGTCCCACAAACATCCACGGAGGGAATGACCAGTTTTATTTTGGGGGATTTTTGGCCAGGACCCCGGGAGAAACCTCCTTCTCTTGTCGAATCGTGCCATGGGAATCACCGGAACAGTCAGATGGTACCTCAGTTTATCGTCTCATCTGAAGGCCGGTACCTCCAACAATACAGCACACCCCCAGCACCGTATTGGAGTATCAGCTTAGACTGTGGTTCCAAATCCCGACAGGGCTTGAACCCGCAACCATCTCACTCAGAAGCGAGAGTGCTACTACTGAGCCAAGCTGACATGATGTGCTTTCACTAAAATACTGCAGTAACATTTAGTTTGCTGTTAAACTGTAATATAATGGTAATGTTTCAATTGAAAGCATATTCAGAGTTTTAACCAATTTTAGCAAGCCTAATGTTTTCCAGGATTTTAATTTCAGAATCCACGAGGAATAAATTGTAACAGGATTTGTGGTTTACTTGATAACAATAGAGAGTACTGATTTGTTTGATTTTATAATGTTTTTTTACATAATTTAGCAATTTAATAAAAGTAGAATCTACTGAAAATTTGAAGAGTGTGCCTTTTTGGTTGTTCGCAATTTATAATTGGTTTTAGGGAAATTCAGTTGGTTCATTACTAATGGCTTTCTATAATTTTCATTTAATAGGTCCATAAAACATGCTATATAGAACCTGATTCAAGCCTCTTGTGTTTTATGATTGTATGAACCAGCAAAAATGCGACTTGTAAACGTAATCGATATTCAAGTGGAAGAGCACTGACTATTTAGCTAAGTGATATCTTGAAAAAAATATATGGAGGATTAACAAATGCTTACGTCACATTACTGCTTCACAATTTTTTACGTGACTTAGAAGTTAAAATATGTTTATGAAGTTACTGGTAATTCTGTTGCACATATTGATGGTCGTCACCCAAGTAAGCAAAATCTTTGCTGAAATAAATTCTTCCTTCAACATTGGTACCAAATTATAACACAGGCATAATGAAACCTCCTTCTTCAATGTCGTAATTAGTGTAGTATTGAATGTGTGTGTTTGCATTTTTTATGATGATGAATTAGATAGTAGACCGTTGTAATATGAAATTGAGTTTAATTCATCTTCAACGCAAATCACAATATTTAGATTTCTGAACAACAGTGGTCTACAGTAGCAAATGAGCATCGTTTATTAAATGGAATATCACATTTTAGGGAATCGGTCTTATATGGTGGATGATATGGTTTTGCATTCGATCCTTTGTACTAGAAACAATATTAAGAATTGTATGAAATGACTGGGATAACTGTTTTTTCATAAAGAACAGTTATGCTTTTTTTTGTAATTTCAGGGAAGGATAAGTAATGAAGGGTAACAAATGATATTAAATCATTCAATATGTTGAGCATTCATTTAGCCTGAACAATGAATTGTGATGATCTGTTATTTGTTGTTGCTAGATATTAATAGTAATCAGATATGATTACAAAATGTGCATCTTTGTTCAATAATGAAATCGTAAGGTTGTAATGGTTTCCAACACTGACCTGGTTGTTTGTTTATCTACCTTTAACACTTGGTGTGTTTTGGAGCGATTGTTCTTGTTCTGTTTAATGCTCAAATATCTTCACAATTTAATATTATGGAATAGAGTCTTAATTCTTTCCGGAATTAGGTAAACCGGATGTGTTTCACCAGGGAGAGAGCGTGTATTCCATTCCAACTATCTATCTCTGGAATTTCCATGTGTAGGGGGATGCATGGGATTTTCGGTTTTGATAATCTTAAGCATGGTGATGGGTTTCCGCATGTGTCAGACACCCGGGTGACACATGCAAAAATAATAGAATAGTGTGAAAGCAAATAAGCTGAAACCCTATTAAGCCATGTTGTACATAAAGGATGATCTGCTGTTGTTTAGAATTAACAATTCTTAATAATAAAGTAGTGCTCCTACTTACAAAATATATATTCAAATGTGACAGTGGCTGGGCACAATTTTATTTGCTTCCAGTACAAATATTTTGTATTTTCTGGCGGTGGTGGGAGGTTGGGGGGTGCAAAGATCTCTTTTTATGTGTAGCTGTTCTTGCCATTTTAGGGGAATGGATTGATACAAATTGATCTTTTGACTCCAAATAAACCATTGCCTATGGCATCAAATAGGATGTAGACAATAAATTGACGTTTTATTCCTTTAATAAAAGCCCTGTGGTGATCAGAACATTGGGGAGCTTGGTTCTTAATCCACAATGCTTGATACCATTCTTGTCTGGTGCATATATATTTTATATATGCATATATAATATATATACTATATATGTATATAATATGATATGTATATGCACATATCTTCAATTATTGAGAGGTAAACTCTGCGATGTTTTAGTACCTTTTCCTCCTGTTACACTGTGATCTCATTTTGAAGTGAACAAAACAAAGCTTCAGATCATGGAAACTGTATTCTTTAAAATTTCTGTTAGGTGAGTAAACCTTTGCGTTGTAGAATCTATGTATAGATTCTGAACTGGAATATATTCCAAATGTAAAATATGTAGTGGTGTACTAATCCTTTGTTGAACTTGATTGCTTTATAGGTTTATTCCTATTGTTAGTGATCACTTACCAGAGTACAATTTGGGTTGTTTGAGCAAGTCATCTTTGAGTATGCTTTCAGTAGTTTATACAATGATCTAGATACAAAATATTTGCATTTTATACAGTACAACCAGCACCAGAGCCCACTAATAGTTTAATGGGCCATTCATTAAAAGGATGTGTACTCTGCCACAATTGTAAACTATTAATTCTCCTTTGACCACAGAACTCTAGTTTCGGTTTATCATTATTTAGCAGCTATTTCATGATGTGTATTTAAAATGGATTACTAATATAATAATTTCATATTTTTAAATGGGACAATATTTTGTAATTGACCAATATCTCATGTTATTATCAAGTGTATGAAGCATTGTTGAACATATGACTAATTTATTAAGTGGTCTATAAATTCCAATCTCACTTCCTAAACAAATTTTTTCCCACCTGTTGGAGTTAAAGTCTGGACATCTATTCTACAATTTTATTTTAACCACCCCATAAATTTTTGTAATTAATGCAAATGGAAATTTTCTTTTTTGTTTCACGTGGTAAAGCACCGCTTTGGATCAGAAAAATGTCCCGGAGAAGAAGCAGAAGCACATCTAGAGATCGCAGAATGCGTGATGACCGCGGTGCAGGTAACAAGACTGACAGCACCGATCCTCGAGATCTTGAAAGGCGCATTTTTGTTGGGAATTTGCCCACAGACTCCATGGTCAGAAAGGATTTGGAAGATATATTCCTTAAGTACGGCAAGATAAATGGTTAGTATTTGGAAGTATGATACTTCCCAAATGAATCAAATTTTTATTGTAGTCTTACCTTTTAGCTGAACCAAGTGTTACCACAGTTTCAGCATACATTGAACACTGAAATCTTCACCTGGACTATTCAGTGCAATTTATTAATAACTTTGTCCAAATCTTAGTTAGTGCAATTGAAGCCTAGGGAAATTCTGTCATCAATGCCAGTGCTCATGACTGAATGGAACAGTACATTAAATTATTCAGAAATATGGTATTTTGCTATCATTGAAGCAATACTAATTTTGAATTCCCATAGGAAGTAAAGAGTAATTTCTAAAACTTTGAATGAAATAAGATGTGGTTGTGACTCTTAATTTAAGTGGCAGAAACCTGTCACGCTTGTGCAGTAAAACAGTGTGGATGGGGAAATGTTGAATAAGTTGTCTATTCTCCAAGCTGATAACTGCATTTGGTATAGTTAGGATGAGGCCTGTTGGGATAATGTCAAAAGTTGCAAATGCAGTATGCTGTACTCAATCCAGGATCTGAACCCTATTTCCACTTTCTGCTGTCAGTATCACCGAATTTTTAAGAGTTAACGTCCAGATTAAGTGCAATGGCTTCTCCAATGCTCATGCCCAGGATCAGTGGAATTCTGTAAAGAATTCTGTAGAAAATTATTTGCTTGTTAGTAATGCATCATATGGTTGGAACAAAAGTGTGGAAGTACTAAAACTAGTTTTCTCATTCGTTTACCGTTCCTGTATCTCAGAATTGTGTTTTCTGCAATGGAGACAGTGCCTTTAAAATAGTTTTGAGTTACAAGAGTAGGCTTTCTGCTTTCATGTTGAATATTGGCGTAGCTTAGATCTCATTAGAACTTTGTTGCTTCACTGAAGTGTTTTTCCTTCAACTGCAGTGTTCTTGTTGCCAACCATTGGCACAATTTTGCGTACTAATGAGGTTGCAATTGTAAAACATATCAAACAAATGGAATGTGTTCAAAACATGATTTTTAGACAAAATGTGTATTCAGTGCACATTCATCGCAAGTGAAACTTGAGAATTACACTCTGCAGTTCAGTTTCAAGAAATATCTTCTGTGCAGAGGTATTTTATAAAATGAATAACCAAAATCTGTAATTGAAGTTCTCCAGAGGTATAATTCGCTTCAGTAATGAAGGGTTTTATCTAACATACAGCACACTGTAGAAGTTCGGTTGATTCCTCTGGTTTAACCAAAGTGTGAGTTCAGAAATTTATGCTCCTTTATACTGGAGTAGAATTTTGCTACCATGTTAAATGATGGAAATATAAAGGTTCAGTGGGATCTTTAGCTCTTGATGACTTGGGTAGATTTGTTTAAATTCAGTGCCCAAGCGATTTTGTGACTCACTAACATACTGTTGATATTGGAAAAGTTTTGTTTGACCTCTGCATTCACAATGTTCATTTTTTCACCATACTTTATTGTGGAAATATTTGAGTCAATTTTCTAACGAGTCCTATTATTGGACAATCCTTTTGGGCACTTTTACACATGGTTACCTGCTGCTGATGCCTTTTGTACATACGCTAAGTATGCAAAGTCCTATGCACTGAATAGATTTAAAATATTGGATATTTAATACTGGACTTCCAGAACAAATGGTTTTATTGAAATTAAATGTACGTAATCCAAGGTCATGCTAGGGATACTTTGTGTGTTACTTATGTAGTTTATCAAGTGACTGGTTCATCAGAGTTATTTAGGTTGAATGTACAAGGACTGAATTAATCAAAAGTCCTCTTGGTCTAGCTGAAATGCACTGTACACTGGCTCATACAATTTCCTGTACAAATCCTCCAATTCACTTCAGTGGGTATTATTGTACCTCTTTAGGGTTTACAAATTCAATTCACAATTGTATTCTATTTTTAATTTAGTGTTAGCATAAGAGCGTATCTGTAAAATCTTGAGAACATAAATTAACCAATAGTACATCTGATATGAAATGGGACGACTTGTCATAATTAAAGCAACATGAAGAAATAAGAATCTACAAATTTAGCAAAAGAACAATAAGTCACACTCCTCTACTTGGCTTAATTATGCCAAGTAAAGGGTGCAGTCTATTCACGTTTGGTGTCCGATCTCAGGTGGCACGACTTAACTAGCGCTTTCAAATTATCTTGAATTTTTGTCCTCGGTGATCCTGGAGTTACAATGTACTGCAATTGTATCAAACTTGCTGGCAATTCATTAATCTCTGAGCTTCTGGCTTGTGCTCTTGATTTGCAGAATTGGATCTGTACAGAAGCAGTGCCTCTGTAAGTTGTTAAGGTGATGGTTTCTGATTCATCTATAAATATTTACAACAGCAATGACCACTCGCTCTTATATATATATATATATATATATATAATGTGACGTAATAACTCGAAGTGCTTAACAGTGGTGAAGCTTGACGCTGAGATTTATTCAAATAAGTTGACATGCACTTCAGATCTGATGTCACTTTATTTATATAGGCTTCCTCTCGCATTGGATTCCATAAGAACAGATGTAAAGAAAATCCTAGTTCTGGTGGGGCATGCTTCTTCCCCTCCATATAGGGCTGAGGAAATTCAGTTTTTTTAATCTATTTCCTTTATATTCTATATTTAACCAAAGTAATCTAATTCCCTGATCTATTAGAGATGACTGAGTGTTCATCATAACATCCAGTTTCCCATGAGGGAAACATTTGACAAGATTCCTTTCCAAGAGTTCAAATAATAGCTTAGATTCTGTGTATATCATTTTAACTAGGGTTAAAATCTTCTGCCAGAAATGCATTCATTGCTTAATTTATTAAATTGTAAGGTTTTGAATCTTAGTTGAGTTTCAACAGTATTTTCAGTCTACTGCCAAGAAGACTAAGTACTTTGTTTCACACTGGATAGTTTAATTTATGCATCTCTGCAAGTTTAGGTCAAACTTCCAATGCTGGTTCAGTCTTCCTAAAGAAAATATCTGTGTCTTCTCTTTTCTGTTGATTTGATAGTGGTGCTATTTGCTCTGGTTAATATGGCATCAAGTGAACTATGAAGTTCGTTCCATGTGGTAGATACTTGAACTGTGTTCCAAACTTGCATACTAAAATTGTCAAAAATGTGAAAATCATTTCAACTATTATTATTTTAAGTAGAGCTGATCAGTTTGCCTATTATGAATGCAGCAATGATTCTCTTCAACATCTATAAAGTACCACACATAAGGAAGCATTCCTTTAGCTTCAGGTAAAGTGGTGAGTAGCTGGAGAGCAGGGAACGTTTACGTGATTATTAAATATTTGTGGTAAATTTTAGCTATATTATCCTTTCAATCCGACTTTGAGCTTGCTTCTGCGTACCAGAAATGATTGCAGATAACAATTTGATTGATAAATGTATAAACACAGCTTTGATCAACAGTTGATGTCAGTCACCTGAGAACGAACCCCTTGGGTTGTTTCAACGGTCTTCAGGTAAATGTTATACTTTTTCAAATGGCTCCAGTGACTGGCGCAGCCCTTTTTCATTAATCCTTTTGATTTATTTTCTGGGAGAATATTCAGTTGCGTACCTATCTGCGGGTACTTTTTTATTTTGTTGTACAACTGAAAAGCAATGATGTGTTCAGCCCTGTGAACGACTTGTGAGCCTAATGGCTATGATGTCATTAAATGAGTAATTCAATTTGTAATTTTTTGAAGTTCAGTAACATCCTTTTGGTCAGGAATCAATACAGGAAGCCATTTTAAATTTGAATTGATTGTGAAAGCTAACGGGAAATAATTCCAAAGCCTTTTGTCTGAATTTACTTACCACTTTAACTTTTAAACCATTGAGTAATTTCAATCAAAATAAAAAAAACCTGTAGACTTCCACTGCCCCTTTTATGCATCTGGAACAAAAAAAAGTTAAGCTAGGAATCTTTTTCCCTGTACTGAGGTAGGAATTTAAAAGCAATTCATGTTCTTTCTCAAATGTGGTAGATCAAGATTACTAATGTTCAAAATAAGGTTTTGTATTTTAGGTGCCTGAAAACGGTATAGCTTGAAACAACTAAATGGGTCTGGTATCTGAATTTTATAAAACTTGAAAAGGTGGATATTAATGGGCAGTTATCAAGTTTTTAATACCTACTTTAAGCATGTTTCATGTGTTCTTATAGACGCATAACCTTAATGTTTCTTGTAATGAAAAGTGCAGTAAAATCAATTTGCTTTTATAAAGCACACTTCACGTGAGGTAGCGCTTGGAGTCTGTATTTTGTCAAAATAACACTAAAAGAGATGTTAAATTGGCCAAGAGTGAAGTTGTAGATGCGGTTCTTTGCCTCCATTCATTATGGTTGCAGGTTAAAAAGGACATGCTTTTTCTTGGGGAAGGAGTGTGGGAGGTGTGTTTCTGGGGTGTGGGAGGAGAGATGGAGTGGGGAAGATTACAGAAGACATATTCAGTAAATTCCGACCATGCGATTTCAGTATTGAAGCTGGTATTAGTCGCTTTATAACAAAAAATTAGACTTTGTGGGTGCTTTTGGTGCACACCTTAGGAGTGCTTTGTAAAGATGGGATTGGATGTTGAGTGAGGGGATAGGGGAATTTAGGTTTGGATGAAGAGATGCATTTTTAGGCGGAGTTTAAAGACTGATAAATAGAGTTCTAGAGGTTGGGGCATAATTGCTCAGTCACCGATGGTGACATAGAGAGGGCACAAGTCCAAATGAGCCGAGTGGAGGGCATGAGCAAAATAGTAGGATAGTTAAAGATTAGAGATGGGGATGTGTTAGGGCATGATGGGATTCAAAAATGAAGGTGAGGGTTTTGAAGAAGATCGATAGATTCGTCTTTTTTCAATGTTTAAAACAATTTGGGAACAGGAATCTTGTCTTGATATGCAAATATTCCTGAATTGGTTTGAAGAGTTATGCGGTTCTTTATAGGTGATGCATTAATGTGTACTTGAATGAACATCCTAAAATGTTCTATGGGTTATGCTGACTTGCCCATTTTATATGAATGAGAACTACTTGAAGATATGATGTCTACATAAACTAGTTACACTTTATTTGGACTTGCTAACTAATGGAGACCAATGCTGTTTTTATTGAATCATACAAGCTTTATTGATAAAATTGGTGAAAACCAATTTATTCATGTAGAACTAATATATTAATCACCACGTTAGTGAGTTGATTATGGGTGGTATTGTTTTGTAATTCTACTTGTAGTGGATGAATCTAAGATTTTAAACCTGCTGGAATGTTTTGATTTTGCTCACCCATCTCACATATATATGGAAATGTATAAAAACAATTGGCAGTGCTGTTGGTCTTAAATAATTGTGTATAAATATACAGCGAAGAAATATGTCCTGTCATTGACTGGTGTTGCATATAAATAGATTTTTATTTACAATAATGTATAAAAATTGAACAACAATTATTATTCATAAACTACTTGGGGTTTTGATTACTTGGTTAATTTCTTTAAATATTTAGCATATGATGCTATTTGAGATTACACCATTTGAAATCACCTTTTCAAATGTTATTTTTTTCCGAAAAGGGAGAAAATGGTAGAATTTAGAGATGCTACCCTTTCCAAAAATGCCTTTCTAAGCTTTTTCACCTCTTTTTTACCTCTTAACTGAAATTTGCTTTGTGGGAAGTTGTAATATGAATTATACATATCCTTCATTCTGACAGTATGTTGGGAGTGATACCATGCAAGGATGAAGTTGAAATAATGTTCAAATTGTAATTGGCTATGTCTTAACCATTTTTTACATTGTTCAGTAATATAATTGATATGTTCACGGCCATATTTTTTTATATTTTAAAAAATCCCTCAAATTTATGTTGAGCGTGCAATGGACTTTGAAATTTTGCTTTAATTGTTGACTCAGTTTGCTGCTGAAACAACTTGCATCAAGACAGTTTTTTTGGGGGGGTTAATCCAAGAAACGGATACGACTTCTGTGTGAAATGCATTTCAGGAGCATAATACTCGATTCCTTTGTAAAAAGGAATAGTTATTGCATGTTAACTTTGAAAGTGCCCAGGTTTTGCTTACTAGTGATGCTTATGTTTTGTATTAGGTCATCTTCTGAATATGTTTTTTTTAAATTATTTTGGTTAGTGTTTGAAACCTAGGTTCTATTGAGGTTAAAATGGCAATGTCTAATTCAGTTGTGCATAAACAGTGGTTGTATCCTACGTAATCGATTTTTTTTGGGATGTCTTCTGTTTTGCTACAAAGTTGAAGCAACCACTGCTTTTGTGCAAACTGTCAACAGTTCTTTAAAGTAATATATACAATTGTACTTAATTATGTTGACTTTAATTGTTAGCAAATATGCTGATTTATTTTTGTCTGAAATAAAGTTATGGTAGAATTTAAGATGGGATACTGTCTGATTTCTATTAAGATTATTGACTTTTCATATGCAGACAATACAGATGTCTGAATGACTTGAGTAAGCAGAGTGGTTGACACATATCCTAGCCAAATGGCTATTCGAGTGACTAATTCTCACACTATACTTCAATATTTAATGGATATTGACACAAATTTCAAGTGCAAGCTAATTCAAACATTGTGAAAAGATGGTGTTGATATTGATCATCCATTAGACTGCAGTCTCATGCTCAACAATGTCCTAATGAATTTTGCTCTCTTGATAAGCATTGAAAGTAAATTTTGCAAATACTTTGCATCTATGGATGGAAATGTTCACCTTCAATTAGAACTAGAATAACTGAACCAATTTGGAACAGACTTGATTAAACGTGTTTCAAGTGTATGTTAATGTAGAAGCGGGCCTTTCTTGCTTGGTCTTCAATTTGAGACTTTTGCTTGATTTCAAAGAGTTGAATTTTTTGCACTATTAGCTTACCGTTTCAGTTTTGTAAATACAAATAGCAAAGGAATCGCTCTAAGCTAAGTTTTGAACTATACTGATTTTCATTGCTGATTTCAACAAGTAAGCTTCACTTCTGGTATTGTCTGCAAGCATCTCTCTATCAGTTACATTTACAGTTGGTTTGGAATTTTGGGGAGAATTACATTTTGCTTTACCTATAAGAATTTTAAAATATATATTTTAGGTAGAAAATGCCAAATGAAGTAGTGATTTGTTTGAATTGTCAGTCACACACATTTTTGGAGTGTTTTCACCAACGCATAGGAAATTTTGCTTGGACAGTTGAAGAGGTAATGGACTTCGGCAACATTTATTGAGCGCCTGTGAACTAGACATTGCCAGTTTAACTTTCAAGTGACAAGAAAAGTAATTTTGCACTGTTGAAGGGAGATTTTTGAACATCTGGAATTTTTCCACCCATCAGGTATGTACATTTTCATTAACAACATTAATTTTGCAGCTTTGTCTATACACCATGGATTTGGGTTTGTGCAGTTTGACCGTATTGAGGATGCTAAAGCTTCCGTGCAAGGAGAGAACGGGCGAATGTGTAGAGGGTACAGATTAGGTAAGAACTTGAGAAAACGGCAAGTGTCTTCAATTGTATACTTTGAATGCATTAAAGGAAAATTGTAAAGGAGCGTATCGCTTAACCGTTTTTGTTTGTGCTCATTTTTATTCTGGACTCTGAATTTGTGCGCCAGCCCTCATTTTCAAATGAACTGAAGTGAAAGCACACACTTTCTCTTAACACTAGTTTGGCATGTCTGGCATTCAAGTGTGTCCTATGGTTTCAATCTAGCTTATCATGAATCTGATAATAATGCAGAATTTTGTTCCAACCATAATTAAACATCCAGTACAACTCAGAAAATAATCAGTATGGAGTAAACAGAATTTCAAGTTCCAGGGATGTCTCCTTCCTGTTGCGATTTACCCAAAATAAATGGGTGTGAAGATCTGCCATAGCTACAGTTTTTCATCTGATTTTTGACCACGACGACTATTGCGGAGGAACATTCTTTCCATTTTTCTCGGCTTGAAAATCTGGTTGCGTGTGTAATATTTCTACCAAAAAATGATACCCTTTTCAGTAATTAAATCAGATGCCAGTTTTGTGATTTGTTTGAAAAAGTGCACTTGTAAGCAATTGCTTTATGCATTATCTATGGTAATAAACGACTATGTAAATTTGTCTTGTATTTGCATTCAAATGCACTTTCTGTTTTGTTTTGTACAAATTGGTTGGTTGGTTCTTTTCAGATGTTAATATGGCAGCTGAACGAAGAAATTCGAATAAACCTGCACGGAGACCCAGTCCTCCGAGAAGGTAATAAAACTTGTGCATCTATTTTCACGAAGACAAGTTCTGGAATGAAGGACATCTTTTGTTGTGTTTCTACATGGTGTTAGATTGAAAATATGGAATTTTTGCGCAGGGACTTACAGAATCTGCCTTTTTAGGGCATGGCGATCTTGGAATTATCTTGAAATTTATATGCACTTTTAAGTGGTGCACAATTTAAATTTTGAGATCTTATTTTTTCTGTTTCCGACATGGTGTTCTGAATTGCTACTATTGTGTAATATAGTTCTAAATCCCTTCATAGGAGCTCAAATTGCAATTCACATTTTCTTACAACTGAACGAAGATAGCACATGCATTATCAAGATGTGGAATAAGGGAATTTGTTAAATATATTCTATTTTGAGGCTTTAGAATAAATTATTCATTTTTGGCATGCTTGCCTACTAATATTTGCATATCAAATAATCTTATCTGTTGAATTTAGATGTACACTTAGTGCAAGTTTTAACGGTAAAACATGGATCTTTCTGGTCCACTCTTTTTGCCCTTGGTACTACATTTTGCAAAGATGAAATGTAATTGTAGCATTGATATCTCTTATATATGTCAACAATGTAAACTAGTTTCTATTCATGCAAATTTAATAAAAACTGGTGCACATTCAATCGTGAACTGCAACTTAAGTTGAATTTCCAAATGTTCTCTGGAAAGTTAACCATGCGCCGTGGTTCCTCATTTGCGCATTGCTTCACATTCCCCTATTTTACTTGCAAAGTGCAAGAAACATGGAAGTTTTCAGCTGCGCATCAGTATTGGTTTGTAACTGATGATTTGTAGTTGTATTCTTTGTCGACTTCTCCATTTAATGGAAAGCATCTGGAGGATAGTTGAAGTGACATTGGTTTCATGAGCTGGCACCTGCAATATCTCTACTCACTTTGCAAAATTGCTAATATCTAGGCATACTGCAGTCCTACACTTGCGCAACCTTCAGTTGATCCGTTATGTGGTCAATCCAATTCACTTAGGTTTATACATAAACCTTGGGAAGCTAAAAGGTGTGGACCTTAAAAGCTGAAAAGCAAAGGATGGGTCTGATAATGTATTGCTAAAAGTCATGACGAACAATTGAAGTATCCAGCCAAAGATTGAATGAATTGAAGATGCAGTCAAATACTGTATATCGTCTTGAAGGACCAAGTTTACTGCGCGACTGGAAACACTTTTTTTTGTTTTTTTTTCTCTGCGAGTTCAGAATTGCAGAATTGTAACATCAACTTGTGTTTGGCTGACATTATCCTGCCTTTGTGCCTTGCTACAGTATCTGATCTAATAACTAAGAAACTGAAGAAACAAAATGATTACCATTGGGTGAATAGTAGCTGTGAGGTGTGTTCAACATACTCAGTGCTCTGTTGAACAAACCATTATTACTTAGTGAAATCCGCTTCGGACTTCAAAAAGCAAATATGTGTGTCTGCAATTTTGGTACAGTTGTTTCAAAGCATAATAAACATCTAATGGTGAATTATAGTAGCTGTATTATCACCTTATGATCACAAAGTTGGGGTAATTCAACTTCTATTAACACCTGTACAATTTCCATTTTCTTCTTGCATCTTCATTTTTATTTTTGTTCCTCCGATTTGCATTGTTTTCTATCCTTTGGTTCCTCAGCACTATAACTAAAATTTTATAGAGCAGTGATCACCCTGAAGGTAAATGTAGACAACTAGCATGAACATGCCTTGCTTCATATAGTTCGTGGGAGTTTGGATTTTCATTGTCTGCAAGACAATTTGAACTCAATAATGAGGAATCAAGTGATGCTAAGGAAGTGATTTTTGTTGCAACATAAAGGAATCAAAATAAGCAAACAGACGATGTCGGCATGTTGCAGCCTAACCTGTTCCATTTCAAAGTTATAGAAACTACTTCTGACTTTCTGCATTCATCCTGATAATAGTTTTTTGCAAGTCAAGAGAGCGCGACAGAATCGTACTGTTGCAAGGCATTTCCTAAACATTTGAAAGATTGCCAGTTCTTTTTGTAACTCCTCTGATAAATACACAGTGGAAAGTATCCGGTTCTTGCTAAAAAGCTTTGAAACTCTACAATAAATTTCTTTGAGTCCTTATCTGCTTTTTGCCAGTGTTACATTTCCCGTTTTGCAAACGATCCGAACTAGAAACTGTGAAGCTTGTTGTATAAGATGCACCTTATACAATTACTGTAAGAAATTGTAATAAAGACTGAAGAAAATACTTTCTGTGCAACCCAGAATCTTTGTGAAAATCTGCAATTCTAAATGTTCTTCTCACTCACCTCCCCAGCCAACCGCTCTTGTGTCCATACAGTATTGTGAAGTACAAATCATTGCTCATAGCAATAGTCCAAAACTGGTATGAGAGAGAAGAAAATAAGGAGCTGAAATTTAACCATTGTGAAATTAGCTGCTGACAACTATCGGGGTGAAAAGAAAATCAGGTTGACTTCTGATTTGATTCAGTGAGAATTACCATGTGGCACCATTTGTTGGTTTGCACCGTGTTTCAAAAGGGCAACATCACACGCTAACACAGATTATGAGTTAGACTTGTACTGGAAACTACTTTTGATTAAAATCTGAATTGTGCTTCGTCATTTGTTTAAAAACTTTCATGCCAAGGATAAAAAACATTTTCTTTAGCTTACCATTTAGTCTTCAATTAGTTCTTAAATTCTCTACATGCTCAGTTTAATAAAATTATATCATTTACACTGACAATGCTAACCATTGTCCTAATTTTGATATTTATGCCCTTGAAAGCATCAAAGTACAAAGAAGTATTCATATGGCATTGTTAGATTTCCAGTACATAAACATGTTGTATGGTATCAAGTACACAGCCTATAGATTTCAATGTATACAAATTTAAACACACTTAAAGCAATTGCATTTTGGGCAGTTTTGGTGAAGTTCAAACTGCTCAACCGTAACCTGTTGCTGTCAATTGCCAAATTCTTGTTATCTTGTTTGTATTTAATTGTGTTGGGTCCCCTTCCTACTTTGTTTGACGATCCTTCTGGGGTGCTTCATTTACTTTTGCTAGAGATCCATTTGGTTTTGGTGATGAACGTGATGTAAGGCGAGATCGTTCTCCACTCAGGCCTCCCAGAGACGAACGCGATGCAAGAGACTCTGTTTATGACCGGTACAGGGATGTCAGAGATCCCAGAGAACAAGTTTACAGGTAATATTGTTACTTTTGTCCACCGTGCATTTCCAATCAAAATTGTACCCACTTAAAGAAATGAATCCTCGTTGAGTAGTTTAGTAAGGTAGTTTAGTTTGGATACTCTAAGCGCTAAGCATGAGAATGGGTTTCTTGTGTCAGAAAGACTGCTGACACACCCCCACCACCCAAAATAAAGAAATAAATTGGGACCCTCTTGCAACTTGTCCAAGATGGAATCTGGCTTTAAGATTTGTGTTTAATGTTGTGCCTCCTCTATGGTCACAGATTTTGATAAGGAAGGCCCTTTGCTCTTAACCTTCTGGAATACGAGCTTTAAATTAAAGAATTAACTTGCTTCTTTAATCCAGTGTCCTGAGCTCAATCATTGCCCAGTCACCAGTTTACAGCTGTTTGTTTCCCTAATGTCAATAAAATGAATCATTTCCCCATGCCTTTAAAACCAAAGACAAGTACAGCAGAGATGTAGGATATTCAACCCATTATTCCTTTGCTGCGTCTCTGAAAGAGCTATTCATTTAGTTCCATTCTTTCTCTAAACCCTTACTATATTTCTCATTCTCTGGTAGTTATCTAATTTCTCTTAAAAGAGAACCACTGTTTTACCAAGGGCATTCAACATTCTAATATTCCCCTATTTTTTAAAAAAAGTCGAATGTTTCCCTTTACTCTTTTGATAATGACCTTAAAACTATACCGTCAAGTTACCGATTCATTGCTATTGATTGTCAGTAGAAATAATTGCTACCCTTTACTTTTGTCAAATTTCTTGTCAATTTCCTTTGTTCTAGGGAAAATAACCCCAAGCCTCCTCATAAGAGATATCTCTCATTCCTATTATTATTCTAGTAAATCTCCTCTGCACCCTGGACAGCTTTGACATCCTTCCTATTATGCAGTGTTCAAAAAATGGATAAAATGTTCCAACTGTGACCTAAATAATTGGTCTTTAACATGGTGCCCATACAGGAACAAGGAAAAAAGGAGGCATTAGGCACGTGACTGCTAGAAGTGGATATTTTCTTGACAAAAGTTTATCCCATTTAATTTCTTTCCCCCCCCACCCGATGCCTGTCATACATCCTTGTGGAAAGCTCTTAGTCTTAGTTACCAAAGGTATGCATTAAGTTATGCACATGACAGATTTTAATTTAGAGTTGGAAGACCTTTAATTTAGAACATCTGTGCAATGCATACCATGGTTGTACTGTAATTCCAGGCTTTCACTGTTTCCACAACCTACAAGATGCATGTCATGACCTTAAATTTACTTTCTTCCAGGCGAGACGAAGTATATGATAGATACTATCGCTATGATGATGTTATGCGGAGAAAAGAAGAGCCGTATATGGACAGATTCAGGGAGCAGTGGGAATCCAGGGGACCTCGGGAGGTTGATGGTAAATAGCCAGTAACAATATAGGTTATTCTTACTATGTTTCTAAAATATTAGCAAATTATGTAATAGACTAAGATAGACAATTGAAAGTATGTACATATTCGATTTTAATCAAATTTATTGTGTAAAATGTAGTTTTGATATTTCTACTCCAGATCCTATGAGAAGAGAACGTCGAAGAGAAGAACTGTATCGACAGTACTTTGATGAAATCCAGAGACGCTATGATGCAGAAAGACCTGTGGATTGTTCAGTTATTGTGGTCAACAAGCAGCAAAAGTGAGTAGAGTATTACAAAATTTGGTTCTTTATCAGCTTTCAATCTCATTATCAACTCTGCAGCTTGTGTCCTCTCCTCCACTAAGCTCCGCAAGCCTATCATCCCCAATAATTGAATACAGTCAATTGACTTTACAGTCTATACTGTGAAGCGCTTTGAGACGTCTAGAAGACATGAAAAGCGCTATATCAAATGCAAGGATTATTATTATATTCTCACCAGGCTCCACTGGCTCCTCATCCTGCAGAGGATTGAGTTCAAGATCCTTGGCCTCGCTTTTAAATCCCTCCATGGTCTTGCCCTCATGACTTAAGCGCTCTGAGACGCTACCCTGCGTGGAGGGCGCTATTTAAGTGCAAGTTATTGCTGTTACCCCAACCTACTGTGACCATCCAGCTCCCGCACAATCTTGTGTGGTGTTCCTCAGGGCTCTGTTCTCGGTCCCCTCCTCATTAACCTCTACATGCTCCCCCTTGGTGACACCATCCGCAGGCATTGGTGTCAACTTCCACGTGTACGCGGATGACACCCAACTGTATCTCTCTGTCTCCACCCTCGATTCCAGGACAACTGATATCCTGACAGATTGTCTGTCTGACATCCAAGTCCTGGATGAGAGCCAACTTTCTACACCTGAATGTCAGCAAGACTGAGGTTCTCCTGATTGGCTCGCGCCAGCACCTCAGACACTGGCAGCATCAGCATCCACCATTGCACACTCCACTTCACCAAGCCAGTTAGGAACCTGGGCGTCTTGTTCGACCCTCAACTGTCATTTCTCCCCCATATTCGTGCCTTGACCCGCTCTGCCTTCCCTCATCTCCACAACATTGCCCGACTGCCACTGCCTCACCTCTCAGGCCCCCAAAACCCTCATATACGCATTGGTCACCTCAAGGCTTAACTACGGAAACTCCCTCCTTGATGGCCTCCCCAACTCTTCCCACCACAAGCTGCAGATCATCTAGAAATCTGCAGCTCGAGTCCTATCCCACCCCATCACTCCCACCCTTGCCCAGCTCCACTGGCTCCCCATCCCTCAGGATAGAATTCAAACTCCTCGTCCTACTTTCAAGGCCCTCCACAGCATTGCTCCCTCCTACATCTCTGACCTCCTACATCTCTGACCTCCTACATCTCCGACCTCCTACATCTCTGACCTGCTGATCCCCCATTAACCTGTCCGTTTCCTCCGCTCAGCAGGCTCCAGCCTGCTCCAGGTCTCACGCCCAATCTGCCCTACCATCGGCGGCTTTGAGCCTCTCTGCCCCCATTCTTTGGAAACTACATCCCACAATCCCTTCGCCTTGCTCCCTCTCTTTCCTCCTTCAAGGCATGACTCAAGACCCTCCTTTTTGACCTTGCCTTCAGCTGCCCTCTGCTCTACCTCATCCCAGCCCTGCCCCCCAAGCTCGGGTCATGATCCCTGACTGCTCAGCGCCTTGGGCGTCCTCCTGTAGTGAGAGGCACTTTACAAATGTAATTTTGTTGTTGTTGTCTTAGACCCCACTTGCTCCCTCCATTTGGCGGTCACTAACTTGCTTCATGTCCATCTCGGAGTTCCTCCACCTCGTCGTTTCTCTCGCCTCCTTGAAGGTTCATCTCTTCGTCTGTGCCTTCAGTCTTCTTTCCCCCCACCACCCAATCCCCTGCTTGTGTGCAAACCCTTGACTGTCCAGTGCCTTTGGATGTGAAAGTTGCTATATAAATGCAATTTGTGCAAATATGTTTGCCGGTGTTTTTGACCAATTGAATGATCCTGTTATGGAAACGGGTTGCACGAAATTTAAAAGCACGAAGATGAGTATAATGTGATTTTACTGGAATTCTAAAAACATTGCCTTGGAATGAGCTTGTGGTGCTCTTATGCCTCCATTCGCTTTGGACACTGCACCAGTGAGTATGCTTATTGGGCGGCTGTAACTTATTTGCATAGATTTTCACTCTAGATAAAACGGTTACAAAACTACCTGGTTTGGGATACAAAAAGTACTGCAGTGTTATTTTGGGTTACCAGCAGACAGTTTGTTTCTAGATCATCAACTGCATCATGGCATTTCTCTTATTTAAGAATGTTATTTGTATTATATAGTGAGGACATTTGAGCAATTCTCTGCCATTTTTAGAAGAACTGTTAGTCTGGTTTTAGTATATGTTTATTCTTTTTAGTTTGATTGAGAAGTACATTGTAATATAAGATATTAACCTTTCTCCCCCCCCCCCCCACTGTTTGATTAGGGATTATGCTGAATCTGTTGGAAGAAAGGTCCGTGACCTGGGAATGGTGGTGGATCTGATATTCCTGAATACAGAAGTATCACTTACTCAAGCCCTTGAAGATGTCAGCAGAGGAGGAACAGCATTTGCTATAGTAATTACCCAACAGCATGAAATCCACAGATCATGTACTGTTAATATTCTGTTTGGAACGCCACAAGGTAAATGATGTTTTAAAGTTTTTTAACACGTCTTACTTTGGATTTCATTCTTACAATTCCAATGAATTATACTTAGTTACTTAAAAAAAACATTTGTCAGCCAAGCTTTATTTATAAATTTTCAAGTTGGTGAATGGTTGATTAATTTTTTTGCCCTCTTTCTGTTTTACCATTGCCATATAATCCAACCCACAACAACCTTCAATATCTAGTTTCAAGCGCTACATCTTTCAAATTAACTGCACTAATCTAGCGAGCTGATTCTTTCCATATGTCTTGTTTTCTGCTGCTAAAAGGTGAACTTCATTGGGAAATGTCAATTTAGATTATTTTTGGGAGGTTTTAGAATCTTAAACCAAACCCACTCCAATTCCTCATTCATTTAGCTGTCCTGTTGGATTATAAGAAGAAGTGCTATGAGAATGCAAGTGCTTTCTATTTTTGACTGGAAAAGAGCAGGTAGTCTTTAATTCCAGATTTTTCATTCATTTTTTTATGCAGAATTTTGACCACCTGGTTTTGCATTTTTCCTATCCAGAGCATCGTAATATGCCAATGGCTGATGCCATGATGTTGGTTGCCCGAAACTTTGAGCGCTACAGGAGTGAAACACGTGAAAAAGAACGTGAAGAAATTGCAAGAAAAGCATCTAAAATGGCAGATGATGTGATTATGCGTGAACGGGAGCCACCCCAGTCACAAAACACCATGGAAGATAGAGGAAACCCACCTAGCCTCCAACCACTATTGAACTTGCTTGCTGATGGACGGTACCTTTCTGTGGAGGAGATGGATAAGATAATACAATACCTGAGAGACAAGAAAGAGAGATTCATCCGCGGCGGAGACTCCATGCATGGTAACTTTTCATAACTTAGAAAGATTGTGTGTGTGTGTATAGATTCACAGATACTTCTAGTTATACAACAACAACTTGCACTTATATAGCGCCCTCCACGCAGGGTAGCATCTCAGAGTGCTTAACAGTGGCTGAGCAGAGGGGTGAAGGGAGGTGGTTGAACATAAAAGTTTTCAGGCGGGACTTGAAATTTCGAGGGGAGAGAGGGAGCGAGGCAGATTGATTAAGGGAGAGTGTTCGAGAGTTTTGGAGCGTAGTGGCTGAAAGCACGACCTCCGATGGTGGGGTGGAGGTTGCGAGGGACAAGCAGGAGGCCGGTGCCAGTTGAGTGGCGGCTCCAGGTGCTGGATTGGGGAGTGAGGAGGTAGGACGGGTTGGGAGGTGCCAGAGATTGAATGGATTTGAACCCGAGAGTGAGGATCCGTTCTGCGATGGGGAGCCAGGGGAGCCTGGCCAGAACTGGTGAGATGTGGGTACGGAGTTTGGTCTGGTCAGTATGCAGGCGGCAAGATAGCAGGTGGTGACTTGTGGGTGATTGTGGTTGAGAGGGAGGAGGGAGAAATGGGGGCAAAGGAGTGTAAGAATGGGGGAGTGGCAGGAGCCGTGGTGGTAAGAGAAGACGGTGTGGATGGTCTGGGTGGGGTGGAAGGGGACATGGGGGTGGGGGGATGTTTTCAGTTTTTGAGGCAAAGAAGTCTTAAGATCTCTTTGCACTTGATGTTTGACGTGAGGATAGTGGGGACTTGAGGGAATGCACGGAGGAAGTAATGGGCGGTGAAGAACAGCGTCTTTAGATTGTTGTTTGCCTCCAGGATGTCCTTGGAGTATGGTCTGGGTCAGTATGCAGGACTTTTATCAGTAAACGTGGATATTGACACAAAACATAATATACTAGAGTATTCCATGCTGATTTATTTAGTTGTTCCAAGTGTTGCAACAGCTTTTTGGATAATCTAATTAATGCAACTGTTTGATATTTGAATGTGCAGCCAATGCTGTGGATCGCACGAGTGGTGATGTAAGTGGGAACAGTAGTTGAAGGATTTGCAGAACATTTATGAAAGTTTTTTTTTAGATCTCTATATTGATAATGATAGATGAGCACGGTTGTTTCTGCTGATTCAAGAGTACATTGTTGGTGTGCTCTGTGACTACCTTGGCACTGGAAAGTATCAGCTTGAGTACTTGCAAGTCAACTATTTGTTCCTTTGAGAAGTATCGCGAAACAGAAGCTAGCAGTAGTTAGGTGAAAGTAATTTGATGGGTTAAATAATAATAGGTAGTAAAATGATAGTCTGATGGGTAAAGCTCATTGCAGTGAAGGAACAAGGGCATGTGGTGGGAGGGGTACAAGTGGATCACTACAAGTAGAATTCCAGGTACAAAAAGCAATCATTGAGTCAAATTGGTGCTTTGGCATTTATGTCCAACTCAGAAATTCAGTACATTAAAATAAATGCCAGGATTACAATTTTATGTAGATGTATTTAAACTTAATACTCTTGTTCCATTTTGACAGGATCTATTCATAATCCGGCACCAATACCAAGGCCATCTATGGGTCCAGCAGGATTGAATCCACTTGATGCTCGTGCCCAGCAGTCACTGCCGACTAATCAGCCTCTGAAGGGCGGACCACAGGACACACAAGCAGCACAGCAGCAAGAGCTACAAGCCAAGATACTCAGCCTCTTTAACAGTGGAACATCTGGCTCAAATACGAATGCTGTAGGAGCACCAGTCCAGGCCTATGGCAGTGCACTCAATACCCAGCCTCAAAGAGTTCCCCAGATTCCCCTCAATAACTCGTATCTATCTCAACCACAGCAGCGAGTGGCAGGGCCTAATTCACAACTTCCACCATTAATGGGCCCAGTAGTTGCACCAAGAGCAACTACTATTCGCTCTCCACTTCCTCAAACCCAAGTCCTCTATTCCCAGCAACAACCCCGAGGGCCAAACCCCACTCAGCCAAGTGTTTTGTCACAAGGCCAGAGATCTGGTGTTGCAACAGGTATAAACTTTGATAACCCCAGCGTGCAGAAAGCATTGGATACCCTGATTCAGAGTGGACCATCTCTATCCCACTTGGTGAACCAGGCTTCTACCCAGTTACCACGTCCTGGGCAGCCCATGAACCAACCTCCTATGGCTGCTTATCAGCGTCATTATTGAGCTGGGAAAAGATGCCATTTATGGAAGAGCTGTCGGCACTCGCTGAACCCCTTTAAGGCCGCTTGGGTATCATAAACAAATGCAGGTTTTTGGAAAGAGTGGATTATTGAACCGCATTGGCTGTTGTGTTTTGTCAAGTATATGTAAAAGAGGTCAGATAAAATGTTTAAAAAATGACCAGGTAATTTACCTTTTTATACAACACTCAATTTTGTATATAGACAGCCTGCATTTGTTTGTGAGCAAGGCCTTAATTGCAGACACTTGGTTTATGTTGACGTGTTAAGCTTTTTTAAACAAAAAACCTTGATACGTTAACCAGATGATTCTGTGTATTAAAGCATGAAGCTGCAGACTTAAATCCAGTCTTTTTAAATGGATATTTCTAAAAAAAATTAATTGAAATCCACGATAAAGTGTAGAACTCTTTACTAAAGTAAACCTGTTTTTATATCTTAATGTTTTTTGTCACTTCTTTTATAATTAGATTCTCCACCAGACCGGTTTGCCATTGTCGTAACGGTTCAGTAACATTGACTTTTTTATTAAGTCATTTTTTTTTTGCTGGTACATTTTCTGTCTCTCCCTTTTCTGTACATGCTCCGCAGCTGTGGGCAAGTGTTTTACATGCTTAATTTGTAGCCAGTACCATTTGCAGTTGTGTAATGGCGGCAGTTGTACATTTCTTGGAAGTTCAATGTTTGAATCCTACCTTCATCTGGTTTGTAAAGAATAAAAGTTTCTCTTCCATTTTTCACCATTTGGTTGTGTATATATTAAAGATAGGTGGGAAGTTACAAGTCAGCTAAATGAGAGTATTCAGACATCCCATCCTGAGCTTGGGAGCAAAGCATTTAGTGAGTATTTGGGATCTTGTTATCCACTTTGATATTTGGTCTGCATTGGAAGCTGATGAAAATCCATTGGATAAAGTGATAGAAGAGAAGTTGGGATTTAGGTCAGTGAGCAGAGAATTTCAAGAGCTGGAAGTAGGACACAACAGAGAATTGCAGAGATGTATTCTGTGAGGTGCTTTGGGACATCTCAATGATGCGATAAGGCGCTATACGACTCTTCGTGGATCACTGCTGTGCGCAATTGGTTGCTGTGTTTCGCCCACAAAATATACAGTCAATTCACTTTATATTCTGCGAAGCGCTTTGAGACGTCTCAGTGGTGTGATAAGGTGCTATATCAAATGCAAAAATTATATATCAAATGCAAGGATTATTATTATATCACTAATGCAGTTGGTGCTGTGCATCTGGATGAGGTTAAGAGAGGAAACGATTAAGGCCCTACCATGGAAGCTTTCAGCTGCAGAGTGATCTCATTACAGGTTTTATGGTTAGACTAACCTTCCTCACCTCCAATTGTGATCTGCCCATGCCCTCTCCCTAGGAGAAAAATAACAGCAGAATGTTTCATAAAATGGTTTCTTTTATTGCATTTTGTGACAATAGTTCTAAGGAGAAAAAAAGTTGATATCAAGTAATAAATGATCACTATTCAAGTTGTGGACAGCAAACAAAATAACACCCAACGAGTACAGAAATTCTGTAGTGAATTACACGCAAATACAAAGCAATGTTTAACCATTTTAGTTTAATATGTTTTGCATTAGCATAAAATTAAATGCTAACTACAGAGAACTGCAGGTCTTATGAACAATGATCCAGTTGCCTGCAAATGCATTCACAGCAAACGTTAGGAAATTGCTATTACACTCGACATCACCTAGCTTCACAAATCCACAAGGAAAAAAAATTAAGCAATACAATAGTAGAGGAGTTCTCATTAAAATGACTAATCACACTATTAACACTCATGTAATATATTCCATGTCTGCATATTAGTGTTCATGCTCTTTTCTTGGTGCTGTATTGAGTATTTTAATTCAGTTGCTTTCAGGATTTGATATTCTTTTGGATCTCCACATAATGATGCATTTTGACAAGCGTTGTTGATGGTACACAATATTAGGTGAAAATACTTAGTGGCTCTCAATGTGATGGTTAGACTTTCCAGTTAAACTAGTTGGTAATACAAAATAAATGTTAATAACATAGCATAATTACTCACTTATTTTTAAAAAAATGTTCCCCTGGCTTGATTTGCCTGCTTCCAATTTTAAAATATAGAATTCTCTAAAGCAGTATTTAAAATAAGTATCAATCAATGACACATGAATGAATTAATAATGCATCTTTACAGCCACCATAGTTCTGATAAAAGGATTCTTGACAATACCAAATTTTCTGTACCTGTCAACCATCTGATTTTTAGATAACCAGCACTATGCATCTAAACAAATCCCATCAGTTTAGAGAACCTAACTGCATCAATATTTTTTCCGAGGCTGATTTGGTCAACTGAAGTAACATAGCCAAAAATTATTAGCAAGTTATCTTTTTCCCACTTTCCCGGAAATATGCAGTGAATGCAATACATTCAAAGAGTGTATTTATCTCCCCCACCTCTCCCCATGGTCTAAAAGTGATAAAATTGAAGAGAAGTTGTGATCGATATTGACCTAGGTGATGGCAGTTTAGAAGCTGTTAGTTATTATGTAAACCCACCATTTTATATATGGAAAATAGAATATTGTCACTTTTGACAGCACATTTTGCAAAGGCTGGATTTACAACAAAATCCATAGAAAGGATGATTTAAATTTTTTTTAACATCTTGGTCGATATCTTTATTAGGAAATATGGTCAACCCGGTCAAAGTCAGGAACAATTTAATGTATTTATGAAAATCTGTATTTTTTTTAAAAAAAGTGGCATTTGACAATGAAATGTTACTTTTTCCTCCAACTAAAATAAAGGCAGAATGCCTTCTACAAAACCATGGCTGAATAGATTATTGATAATGCTCATCTGTGTTCTTCACTAAATCACTGTTTTTACAGTTAAGTCAAATAGGAATCTGCTCCATTGAATTTAAACATCGAATGACATCAACAATTGATGCTGAACACTACTCATTGAAGATTAAAATACACATTTACTAATCATGCTTCTATAAGTGCAAATGACAAGAGTCCTTTATGATTTAGGCTACTGGCTAACTAGACATTGTGCAAAGGTTTTTTTTGTGGTATAAGTAGTTCAACATCATCACGAATTCATGCAGGTTCTACCAGAGCATGTTATATACGGAAGCCCTCGCAGTGTGATATTTCAGAATCACTAATTCCAGTGAATTGGATTCTTCCCTAACTGGTGGTTAGACTGACAAAGACGTGTTTACCCATCATCTGTGTTGCATTTCATTTGCAACAGCTAACCAGAATAAAGAAACCTGGTTTAGATTTTGATACTTCTATACCAACATGTTTAGTACCTTAGTTTGAATTCAGTAGTGGCAACAATTGTATGAATATAATACGTACGCTATTATACTGTATTATATATTTAGTTTCCCCAGTTTCTCTTCCATGCGATGCTCCTTACCACAAGTTCTCATTTAACCAAGCAGATAGGATGTGAACTCCCCCATGCTTAGCATTGATCAGCTCACAAGCTTCAAATCAAAGTTTCTTTTCCCCATTTAAGGTCAAATGCCAATTGTGATTGAGAGAGCAGACAACAAATATATCTTAAGCGTGTGCTATCAAAATCTCCACGAGAAGGAGCACAGACACAGCATGGTTGTGAATGAGTAGATAAATTCTCTCCTCCTTCCCAGATTAAAGGACCCATCACCTCCCTCTGTTACTCACCATTAGCAGAGCAGTATGACTGAGTTTGGTAACTCGGTAACAAGCCAGAGCCTTTAGGTGATGTTGTGGAGTCCTGTCGCTCTGGTTAGAGCACTCGCCTCTCAAGCGAGAGACCTGGGTTTCGATTCCCAAGCAGGGCAAAACCTTGGGTAAGTGTTTCCTAACTCCACACGCCTAATAGTAATCCCTCAAGAAGCAAAACACAGTAATAAATTGGTCACTTCAATCCACGACTGTTTGTGGGATGCTGCTGTGCTCAATTGGGTGCTGCTTTTCGCCCACAAATATACAGTCACTTTACAGTATATTCTGTGAAGCGCTTTGAGACGTCTAGAAGACGTGAAAAGCGCTATATCAAATGTAAGGATTATTATTATTAATAGCATGCAAGAAATAACGTTACCCAACATTTGGTGCTACCCGGCTAACTAATTTTCTGTGTGGCAATCAATAGCTCACTGGTTATAACTTGCAACTGGTGTATGTTAAATCAGAATCAGCAGCCTGTTCCTAGTTATTAGGTTCCCCACCCAGAAATTTCCCTGTGCAATTGTTTAGAGTGGATTTGAGAGCACGTACTTGTAGCTATGATTCAGTGCAACTGCTGACACTTCTACTCCAACTGGTGAACTCAAGAGTTTAATGGGCTATAGTGTGAATTGAAGAATGGGGGCAATGCATGTCCAGATTTTGTACTGGCCCTTGTGGCTGGTGTTGAGTCATTGCTGATGGACTGGTGATGTGATACCTGAACCAGGCTGGTCTGTAATGGAATACAGACTGACCAGCCAGCAATGGCTCAGAAATCGAATAAGGAGATAGACCATTTAGACATTATTTGATGCCTCTCTTTGTGTTTGAGAGTTTGTGCGTGATAGTAGTTGGGGGAGAGAACGGGACATGGGTATTAATTCATTTATAGCATAGACCAAGATTCTGGACTCATCTAAGGAATGGTTTGATCGTGTAATGAGGCGATATGGTACATCCATACCACTGCAATAATTCTCACCATTAGCAAGTTGTTTAGATGAAGCTATCAATCTAAACAATTTAACAGCTATTCTTAACCATTCTAAAACTTTGCTTTTTTTTATTTTAAAGAGTCAATCCTATAATAATGATTCTCATAAAATTGCAAGTTTGGGAAAAGCAAAATCATTCTCTTGTTTAGTCAACATGCTTTAATGGTTTCCTTGATTTTTTTTGCAACATCAAAGTACAGCTCTTTAACATATGAAATCTATAATTCAATCCTGTCATGTAGAGATTTGCAAAATGATTGTGTATACATGAAACCCAGCTTGGTGGTTCAGTGGTTGAGAATCCAACTGACTCGTGCCAAGCTGATTCCCTTAAGAAAATGTCACTGTTTCGCCATATACGAATGAAACAGAAAAGAATCAATGGTTTATCTCTAGACTTATTCAATGAAGGAACAAGTCTTCAGTTCCATTAGGTAATCCTTAATGTGAGACAGATGGAATCAGCAAAATTCTGGTTGAGATCAGTCCCTATTGAGCACAAGGATTGCACAAGGACATTACCAAAGACAATGTCAATCAGTTGCATATGCATCAAGGAGGTGGCAATGCACTCAGATAATTGGAAGACAATGAACATTACTTCGACCCTCTCGTGTTTGGCACATATTATGGGAAATTCAAGATCCATTGCAGCTAATCTACAAGACCATCAGTGTCTCGTGACGTACATCAATCAATGCCACAAAATGAGTTTAGAAACAGTGAAAGAAGGTTTTGAGGATGTCAGCAAGATATTGCTTATTCTGAACAAACCATTTCTTAATGGTTTGTTCCAGCCCTACTTCCATTATTACAACCTTGAGATAGTATCTTTTATTGTTGGCCACATGCATGTAAAGTTATCAAATATAAAATCCTTTTAAGTACCTCAGTCCTTTAAAACATTATTTTACAGCCTTTAATATTTAGTAACATTTTGAGAATTATCTTACTAATAAATGTATGCATAAAACTTCCCTAATCCCCACCCACACAAACGAAAGAGGAAATGTATCTTCAAAATCTGATCTATTGGTTGTAAATTTTTGACATATTGATACGCACTGCTCTGTAGTGAATAGGAATAACTTCTGCATTATAAATCCAATTTGCATTTACCGCTGAATGTTATGAGTGTTTTGCCAGGAAGACTGTTTCCCAGAACAAAATTTGCTTATTAGCCACAGCCTGAAAATAGGAACGAACAACATATTTTAATTGGCAAGAAACCTTTAATAGGCCATTTACTGATCTTAGTAGTTAGGCCGGAAACAGAATCCTGCTTTTCAAATATGTTCGATTTATTCTGACATTCTCAAGGATTGGAGAGTGGAAGAGCAAAGAAGAAGTATAAAATACCCCAATCCAACTCTGCCTTTTGTTACTTTTGCAGTCAGTTAAAATAAAATGTAGGCAATAAATGTCACCTCATGTTCTATTGTCCATCGTGGATGGAAAACAGTTCATCCCACAAGGAAGAAAATAGCTGTGAGTTATGAAGCACTGCATATTAAAGTGCTCCAAGACATTGTCCCGGGTGATGGGTGCTATATAAATGTAAGTTATTGTTGGAATATTAACAACTGAGAATACCTCCTTCCCAAAAATGGTCTTCCTTCTGAGAATACCACCTTCACAAGTTAGCACACTCTCTCTCAACTATCCCCGCGTTTGCTGACCAGTCGATTATATAACTGTTTTGTGGAGCAGATTGTCATTTTCTATAGAGCTGGAAATTTAATCAGGATTTCAATATCACAGAGTGTCTGAGTCATATAACGTTTTTACTCAGAGTTATTGCGGTCTGGAAGCACTTTATGAGAGGGTGGTAGAAGCAGATTCGATAGTAGCTTTCAAAAGGGAATTTGATAGGTACTTAAAAGGGAAGAGTTTGCAGGGCTATGGGGAAAGAGCAGGGGAGTGGGACTTGTTGGATAGCTCTTTCAAAAAGCCAGCACAGGTAAGATGGCCCGAATGATTCTATATACCAGTGCTTGAATTCTGGACTGGATTTTAAACGCAGACATAAACACCTTAATTGTGTTTGCGAGCTCGTGTCCCAGGATATTTCTATAGTATTTCAGGAAAATACAGGAGAGAAAGAAGCCTCTTTTTAAATTAAAAAAAAGTCTGGTTACTCACTTTTGTCACAACTTGGAAACGGGTCATAGATCAATGTAATTTGAAAGCAGAGAGCTGTTATTTCACATTTGTTTTTGCATTTGGTTAAAACTGTTAACATCATTTGAGAAACCTAAATTAGCAATATGAATTTAAATGCAGATAAATTAGTCACTACCATTGACGGGTAGTGACTGTACAGAAGCATCCTCTCCCCTAGAACACTCATAAGCCTTGCCATAGTGATATGTAACAGTGTAAACCCGCTGAGATCTGCCTTTCACTCAACAGAACAGTAGAAAATGGCATAGTAAATGGTACAAACATACCCATTCGCATTAGCAGCATTCAAAACCAACAGAGATTTTAAAAAAAGGAAACATGGCTGATAAACTGCAACTTCTAGCACAAGTAATACATCTCTTATCAACTAAAGAAAGCAGAAAATATATGCTCCAAACACAGTAATTTCAACTCATGTATATTCTTTTTAAAGAAGTCGACTGAAATATAGATTTAAATACAAATTTCTAGTTGTATCTGACAATGACCATTCAGTGACTGATTTCTGAGTGATTTGTTGCTATCTGAATTGACGAACGAAAGCACCATGTATTTAACTGCCACAAAGCAACAGGCCAGAGGCATCAGTAGAAAGAACAGCATTTGCCTAATATTTAAACACCTAAACTTAAATAATCCAGGCACATATCCTTCCTTGGTTCAAATGGGTTTAGGACCAACGTCAGAGCGGTCATGGTTTCCAAATTGGTGGGTTCAGCCTTGTCTTATTGTAGAGAGAAATCATTTGTTGTGAATATTTTGTTACAATTTTGCTAAATATTTAGCGTCCATTCAACTGGGAGATGGACAGTTTGGTAAAAATGTACAAAGAAAGAGATTCGACACGTAACTGCGTCCTCTCTGTATTCAACGGTAGACTGTAGTTAACTCCTGGTAACGCAACCCTGGCTTAACTTGTCACTACCACTTAAGTCATCATGTTGTCCCAGCCACATTTATTTATGCACTTATACTTATGCCTAACTTGACACTCCTGATAACTCGCTACTCCTGACAACTCGTTACTCCTGAAAACTCGTTACTCCTAAAAACTTGTCATTCAGTCCATTTCTCCTGAAGTGTTAAGTTTATCAGTTTACTGTATGACACCCGGTCATTCAGCTGTGACAGTTCCTCCTCCAGTCTTGTGGGCTCAAAAGCTGAAGTGAGATGACTCAACACAGGGCCAAATACCTCTAGATGATGGTATAAATAGTCTCATAATGTACCACTTTTAAAATCGTAATGTCTAACATAGTCTATGCTGGAGAAAATCAATCATTTTTTTTCCGTCTAACTAACCCCCATCTGGAAGGTTTAGCGAGAGTTACTATAAAAACAGTTTTAGACTCCAAGCACGTCATTGCTCTTAAATTATTGTGTGCGTGTGTGTGCGCGTATTGCTGTTTAATTAGATTTAGAAAAATGCTGTGAAATTTGTTGGGGGCCAATGGACCACTTTTTCATGCAGTAACTTGCGCTTTTCATGACAGTTGCTTTGAAGAGTGTAAATAAAGGGTTCTTTGTCTGCGGTGGTGGAGGGGTACTGAACAAGACGGGATCTCACATGGGTTATTTCAGCAGCCCTAAACGACAGCCAATAAGATGCCAACAGGCTCCCGATGGCATTGGGTCAGACATGCACTGTTACTGCTGACCATTTTCCAAAAGCACCAATGATTCACCAACAAACAGTTAGAGCCTATCTGCCTTGGAGCGTAAGACCTAGCCTTGCAATTGTGTTCGGTTCTGCTTTGATGCATTAACAAAAAAATCTTTGAAAGAAAATGTGATCGCCTTGTGACATGAAATGATATCAGAAGGGAAAATGCGATGACTTTGAAATAGAAATGGTCTCATGTTATTTACGTGTTACGAAAATAAACCAGAGTTCCAACTTTAAGACACAAATTTCATTTTTTATTTAACTATTCAAATAGACAGTAATATGAAGAACCCACTACTGTAATATATATATTAGAAAAATAATGAAATAGACTAGAGCATTTTGGTGACACCGTGTGGCTAGAAAATGCATAGCATGACTTTGTTTTGTTCTCATCCACAAACACCTAAATATTAATCTCTTAGCAAAACATAACTTTTCTCAGTAACAGCACAAACTTAGAAAGAAGATTTTGACAAGGAGTTAACTCTTGTAATGAGAAAAAAATTAAGCTATAGAGAAAATGCCTTGGAAATGAAATCGATCTGATGGCTATTTGGTTACCATATATCCCAACTCAGCAGCGATCCTCAATATCAGAATATCACTCGGCCTATATGTCTGTATTCAAAAGAATGTGCGTTTGATTATCAAGCTTGTACAATTCTATATTTTAATTGCCCTGATAAGCAGTTGCAGTGTGCTTAATGTAAAATGTTCCTCCGTAGTTTAATCAATAATCTGGTCAAGATTCAGTTTTGATTCCAACAATCTATTGGGACATAATTATATAAGCTCCGGTGTCTGACTGTACATTGCAATACTGTGCCTCTACTGAATGAATGATAGGCAAGATCATTCTATGCCAATACTTTGCTCTTTTTCAGATAGGACACCAATTTCCCCGATAAGGGGCACTGAATGGTCAAAAACGAATACCGCTAATATCATTTGCAGCAATACATTGAAATGCATACAGTACAAACAAAAAATATCATCACAGGGAAATGCTCACAAGACACAGCTTTTGAAATGCCTAATGGTCAGCTGCCAAGACATGGTTTTCTTCCTCCATTTTATATTATACATTAAAAATCTGCCAGTGATTTCAACATTTTGCTCTTATCCATTTAATTGAAATTGAACCCAAATAAGGAACGATCGATGTGATATGTCGAAGAAAGATGAGCCAAAGTAATGTGCGGCATGGAACTAACCTTTTCATCCTAGATTTTATTTTATAAATAGACTCTCACACTGAAATGTTTAAATTCAGAAACTGTGTAATAAATAGTTACTTCATAGGTGCTCTTCTAAGATCTGCAACTTCTTCAATAACACAACTCAGCCCTTTTCGCAGCTTCCAGCAAGTTATTGATTTTTAATTAGTTTAGAAAACTATATGTACACACCCTGGAATATTTCACTTTTCCTTATTCGGGGTCTCTGAAGAAAAATCATTTCATACCTGTGAAAATATCTTCATATTGCTGGTAGCTTGTTTTTCCCCCAGCCATTCTCCCCGAACAGTAATCAAAACTTAAGTAACATATTACTGATTATATTTGTTTGATATCTTAATGCAGGCTAATACTAAGATTTTATTCATTCGTTCATTTAATATTTGTTTAAATAGTCCATTCATTCTGTAGCAATATGTTCGAAAATGCACACCTCGGCTGATTATGTTGTGTCAAACAGAAGTTGCTACTCCGGCTAATTTTAACTAAGCTTAACTCCTTTTGAAGGACGTGAATGGAATTTGAATCAAAATGATCTCTCCAGTGATTTGCTGTGAGTTTGAGAACACAGATATAGTTCCTGGAACCGGAAACTTGCATCTTTTATAGAACGTAATTTACTTTGTGGATAATGGCTACCGTCACTTGATAAATGAGTTATCTATATGAATGAGATCATGAGTTCCTGGGAACAATTGAAAACACAGGTACAAGCAAGAGACAACTCTAAGCAAAGTAATTTAATGCATGAAGCTGTGTCGGTGAGCATTCCCCTTCGTAGTCCTTTCAGTGCTACTTCCTATCCCGTCATCAAGGAAAACGTTTCACAGAACTGTTACCAGGAACCAGATAGGAAGCTTCCTTAGCTGCATGGAAAACACTATACAATGAGAAGAAACTGGGAGTCACTGATAAAAAGCTGTGATGGGTTCATTGCACAAATACTGGCAGTGAACTGGAGCTCAGGAATAGATGGTGATGACCTCACGACCACCCCCACGCACTAACAGCACCCGGTCCAGGCCTTCTGTCAACACTTCCAGGAACTCCATGTCTGCAGAGTATGTCAAAGGAAACATCCTTTATAATAATAATAATAATCCTTGCATTTGTTATAGCATCCTATCACGTCTTTGAGATGTCTCAAAGAGCTTCACGCAATATACTGTAAAGTAAATGGCTGTATATTTTGTGGGCGAAACATAGCAGCCAATTGCGCACAGAAGTGTCCCACAAATAGTCGTGGATTGAAGTGACCAATTTATCGTTCTTTTTAAGCAATTATTAGCCATGGAACAGCGATTCGCCAATCAACTACCAACTGGGTTTAATGTAACATTAGCAAAGTAACATTTACACAGATGGGTTCAGGTTCCACTCAAGTGTAGATTTACTCTATTTTCTTAGCATTTAATTATAATAATAATAATTTCATCCTAATAATTTTTTTTGCATTTGATGCAGCATTGGATTCAAAGTTAACACCGAATTCAGCAACTGAACAAAATTCTGGATGCTCTGAAGAAATGCTGAGAAAATAGAGTAAATCAGTATCCAGGGGGAGTTTGTCTCCCTCGATTTGCAACTGCATCTAAGACTAAGATGTAACATACAAATAAACCATTTCTGTCCATTTAGTCACCTTTGTTCAGCTCTGCAAATAGCAAAAAATATTGCTAATATTTTGCTAAATGGCTTCAATTTTGCTAAATAATAATATATAATGATGGCTTCTCCTTTGCCTTCGTCAACTGAAACAGACATATTTGGAACATTGGAAAAATCGAACATTACTAATGAACTCCACTTGGGAAAGGATACAGTTTTCGTCGCCCTTCCGGTTTTTGGGAGGCCCGGGCATGTTCATCAGCACCAGCTTTGCGTCTTGGGACTTTTTCACAATGACTTCATTTAGCTTGACTGCAGTGTGCATCCTCCTGACGTTGGACTGGTTTCTGATTGACAAGGAAGGTACAGTTTCTATCATTTGTAAATTGCAGAAGGGGCAGGCGCTGGCACACACAGATATCCACACTAACACAGCGACACACAGAGAGAGAGAAACACATCAATAAATCTCAGGGTAAATCAGTAGCCTTAACTTATACCATGGCACATTTGCTATAATAGTTTCTGTGGTAAAAACTTGTAATAATTTGCAGGGATATGGGGAGGGAGGGGGGGGCAGGTAAATGGGACTGAACTGATTGCTTTTTCAAAGGCCCAGCACAGACATGATGGGTCATCTGTGCTGTATTAAGAAATATTCCAGTCTCCAGCAAATAATTGATTGATAAAATTAAAGTGCCAGTAAGTACTGTAAATCCTGTAAATTCCTGATGTATGAAAAGGCCATTCAGCCACGGAGCAAAGCAATTATTATCCTGCTCATCTGTATGTGTGTCACTTAGGTACAGTCTTAAAGCAAAGTATACCTGATCATTTAACACACACATAATGAGGTTGACTTACAGGTTCTCCCATTCACTGGAAGCATAGAGAGAATAAAAGTGAGAGAAAGGCCAGTTATAGATAGTAATAATAATAATCGTTGCATTTGATACAGCACTAACAACGTCAACGCTTCACATGAATTTGTGACACCGTATAAGACAACGTAGCCAATTTGCGCACAGCAAGGTCCCACAGACAGTTATGAAATGAAGACCAATTTATCTCGAGGGATACAGAATAAACTCTGTTTTAGAACCACAGGATTTTTAACGGGCTGGTGGGACCTTGGTTTAAAATCCTTACTGAAGGAAGGTGCCTTCTGCAATGCGGCAAGCTGCAATATTACACTACCGGGGCCAGTATAAGGTCAAACTAGGGTTTGAATCCACAAACGTCTGACCTAGTGACTCAGTAAGGCCAAGTCTTATAAATGACCTCAGGAATTCACCAGGTAACTTTTTTTAAAAGAAAAATTTAAGATTAAAAGTTTTTCCTATGGCATCCTGAACCAGTGCTTGCTTTGAGTTTGGTATCTCTTCCTATGATTTACGCTCCATCCCTTCAGCTAGTTTGTGTTCACTCTCTTTATTGCTGCCGCATACTGTGCTGATCGTTTCGACAATCTTCATGTCTTTGAATTCAAACTCAAAATAGGAGGGATTCTATCCTAGCTCCTGTGAAGTTTAACAAGATTTGAACTGTTGGAAATGATTAAACAAGCAAGTTTCTCTTCAGTCTTGACAGAACCCAACTCACAAGAGGTTTTTAAAATTTTCATTGGATTTGAATAAGTAAACCTAGAAGAATGCTTTACGATGCACCAAGACAGTAGAACAAAAGAGTTGCAATGAAATTTCAGGACCGGCACAGGAAGTTTTTCTTTACTCAGAGGGTAATTAACAACAGGTTGCCAGGCAGGGTGGTTGAGACCAGAACACCGGACTCATTTAAAAAGCTTGATACTGTGGATGGGAGGGAGGGAGGGTGTTCTGGAGGGAAGAGATCGGATGAGCCAAAGGGCGTTTTTCATCCAAACTAATCTCGTGTTTTTGTGATGAAGTTCAGAGATTGAAAGGGTCATCATCCAAGGCTTGAATGCAGATGTAGATTAAAGCAGGAATTTGACTTAAACTGTGAGAGCAGAACTGGAGGTTTCAAACACCCGGCCTATCCCCACCCAAAAAAACTTGGCTACCTTTGAAGATCCAGGAACTAAATTTGTGATTGTTGAGGGTGTAGGTGGAAGCCCATTGTAGGCGGGGTTGTTTTCTTATGTTCCATTACCTTAAGGAAGGTTAATAGTCTTTGCATTGTGTACAGTCCAGTAGCCTGAGAATGCAGGGGCGGAGGGGAGTTAGGCTTTGTGATTTTCAGATGCCAGAGCCTGTCAGGCGTTAAGGCTTTCAACAGCCTTGGATTTCTATATGCTGTCTAACCCTTTGATTTCTATCGAGTGAGGTTTAAAAATAGCTGGTTACATAACTGCACCCTGGTAATTGACAAGGCTGCTTGCTGAAGGTGCAGTGACAGACAGCTCTGGGGAATGCTTCTGTTGGTGCCCTGCTTCGCTTTCCTCAAGAAACAGTCACTGGGTTATGTAAGAGAATTATAACTAAATGAATTCTGATGGCATGGCGAGCAAAGCAGATACTGCTCATTATTATAATCAGCTTATTTTCTCACTCTGCGGTTTACCAGCCGAGCTACAGATCTTTAACAGACCAAGAGCATGAATAATTAATGTTTACAGAGAAAGATTTTGCCATGAATATGCTAATTATGTAATAATTCTGTATCTATTACGCAGGCTGGTAGAAAGGAATATAATCACGTTTTGGAGCCTTGAACATTACCAATGGACAGAGTTTATTTTAGTCCGCGACTAATGTTTTATTTTCAGTTATTGATTCATATTATTCCACTCCACTATTGCACGGATGAACCAGCACTGTGACAATATCCAGGTGCCCATGTGATGTAAGAAAGGAATACAAAAGAATTGACATTTATCCAGCGCCTTTAACATCAGGAGTATGACACACAGCACTTGACACTGCTTCCTGGGTACCTGAGCTGAAGAGGGTGGGATGGGGATGATGACTGAAAGATGACAACGGTCAATGACTTACATTTTGAGACCTGTCTTGAATGCAGAGAGGGAGGAGGGTGAGTTGGAGGGATTCCAGGAGTTTTGTAGAGAGTAAAATGGATGAAAGCCTGTCTGCCAATGGTGGGGCAAATCAAACACCCATTTACAATTCACCCTCCATCTCGTTCTTAAAAAAAGAAATGCAAACATCCCTCAAAATTTGCACACAGCAATGTCCCACAAACAGACGTGAAGTGAATCACCAAAAATGTAGGAACGTAAATAAAACATATCCTTGCATTTGATATAGCACCCTCCGTGTCGTTCAGACATCTTAAAACTCTTTATAAGATTCCCGGGAGAAACTCCTTTCTCTTTTCAAATAGCGCCATGGGATCGTTAACGTCCACCTGAACAGTCAGACAGGATCTTGGTTTAAATACTCATCTGAAGGAAGAATACCAACTAATATTGCTTAAGGAGTTTATTGTATACTACTATTACAGCACATAACGAGGTCATACAGCACATCAAGTCTGTACCAGCTCTCAGAGCAAGGTGTTCATTCAATCTCCACTGCCTTGCACTCTGCCCACACCTCATTAAGACTTTATCTATTCAGTTCCTGTTTTTCTTGCTGATTCTCTCACACTGTGCTTCGTTTCCCTTAAACTATCATTAATCAGTCTCTCCCCGATCTCACTGACAAGACTTCATTAAAAGGAATAATTTTCAGCAACATTGGATATTTTGGGGGGGTAAGATTTTAAGTAAACAAACACAGCAAACTTTGCAGTAAATTCTCTGAGTTAACAGTCCCATCAACTGACACAGGGAGTTCTGAAGGGAACATTATCGTCATCCAATTAGCACATAGCAATGTGGCACAAACAGTTGTGGATTGAGTAACCAATTTTTTTTTGAGGGATGATTACCTCCGGAAAGCTATCCAGCAATTGATTAACAACCGGGTTCCTATTTAGTGCTAGGTAAACAGAGGCGTGTGCAGTAAGGAAACTTGTCTAAGGTTTCACCCTGCCTGGGAATCGAACCCTGGTCCTCTTGCTTGCGAGGGGAGTGTGCTGACCACCACTCTACAGGATGGAGACGTGAGTTTTTCTGCTGTAACTGTCTGCCCAGGATTCACAGAGGTAGCGCTCCACCAAAGGTATATCACGGTTAACTGCATGTGCAAAACAGTGAAGTGGAGCAAAACAGTGAAGTGGAGAACATTCACCTGTGGTATAGATGCCATAAAGCCTTCCAGCTTTATCCCTCGTAACACCTCCACCTCTTGATCAAAACTCTCTTTGGACTGCAGTGAAGATCTGTGTGAGTGGATTTGAAAAGCTTCGAAGTGCGGTGCATTGTAATGGTGGTGAAAATGCAATTCACTACAGGGTCTTTCATGGGCCTGTGTTACAGCCAGGGGATCATAGAATATAGAAATATAGAATTATACAGCACAGAAGGAGGCCATTCGGCCCATCGTGTCTGTGCCGGCTCTTTGAAAGGAGCTATTCAATTCAATCCCACTCTCCGCAGGGAGATCGAAAGCACGGTCGACGAGGAAGGTCTTGAGGTGGGTTTTGAAGGTGGCGAGGGAGGGGGCGAGATAGAGGGACTGCAGGATGGAGTTCCAGAGGATGGGTGCCGAGTGGTGTATTTATTCCACCAATAAATGGGCGAGCAAGGCGGGGGACGTGAAGCAGGCCAAAGCCTGCTGAGCGGAGGGAGCAAACGGGGTGGTAGGGGGTTAGGAGGTCGGAGAGGTAGGGGGGAGCGAGACCATGGAGGGCTCTGAAGGTGAGGACCAGGATCTTGAACTGTATCCTCTGTGTGATGGGAAGCCAGTGGAGTTGGGCAACGATGGAGGTGATAGGGTCGCAGGAGAGGACATGGGCCTCAGAGTTCTGGATGATCTGCAGTCTGTGGAGGGAGGAGCTGGGGAGGCCGATAAGCAGTGAGTTTGCAAAGTCGAGCCTCGATGTAATGAAGGCGCGTATGAGGGTTTTGGCGGCCTGCGGTGAGACAGTTGCGGAGCTGGGTGACGTTGCGGAGGTGGGGGAAGGCAGAGCGGGTCATGGCGCAGATGTGGGGTAGAAAGGATAGTTGAGGGTCAAACAAGACCCCAAGGTTCCGGACTGGCTTAAAGTGGAGTGTGCAACCACAGACGGTGATGCTGTCAGTGCCTGAGGTGCGGAGGCACTGACAGGAGCCAATCAGGAAAGCCTCAGTCTTGTTTATGTTCAACTGAAGAAAGTTAGCTCTCATCCAGGACTTGATGTCTGACAGACACTCTGTCAGGACAGCAGTGGTTCTGGATTCAAGGCTGGAGACAGAGAGGTAGAGTTGGGTGTCATCCACATACATGTGGAAGTTGACCCCGTGACTGCGGATGATGTTGCCAAGAGGGAGCATATAGATGTTGAAGAGGAGGGGATCAAGGACAGAGCTCTGAGGAGCGCCGCACAAGATGGTCCGGGGCAAATATTCTATTTGTTTATCTTCTGTATTTGGACCCGACATTCATCATAAGCCTCCTTTTTCTGTTTTATTTTAATTCGAATTTCCTTATTCATCCAGGGAGGTTTAGATACCCTGCATTTCCCCTTTGTGGGAATGTATTTGTTCTGTCCCCGAACTACCTCCTCCTAGAAGGCTTCTCATTTCTCGTTAGCAGTTTTACCTTCCAATCTTTCTTCTCAGTCCACCTTGGCTAGGTCCCTTTTTAACTCATTGAAATTAGCCCTCTTCCAGTTGAGTACCTTCACCTGTGATTGCTCCTTGTCCCTTTCCATAAGTACTCTGAACTAATGATGTTGTGATCACTGTATGACACCCAGCAATGGGAAGCAATTGATGCATCTTTTTAAGAAGACAGAAGAATCCTAATAAATACAAGCTCCTATAATCTAATGCCAATAATGAACTGGAGACTGTG